TCGAATAACAAGGATTTTCATCCACTGTAGGAGTTTTGTGGTATAAACCAAATGATGTATGTCTTCATTTGTTCCTCATACAATCTATCCGCCCTCGTTGATGCTGTGTGTATATGAGACCACTCTCCTACCACTGAGCCATCGATCACGCCTCTTCAATTTAAATAAATATTTTTAATTCTCCACTCATGGGATGGATTGCCCTTGTCAGCTATAAGCTGTTTTTTCAAAGGGGTCCAAGCGAATACAAAACATACAATCAGAATAATCAGTACAGTTATAAGAATAAACAAATGAAAACACAAAAAACATCATCTTTGAGGCCCCCCCCCCCTATGATCTTAGTTATCACAAAAAATGTATGGGGGTTAGAAGCCCCCCCCCCCCCCCCCCCGTGCTATATAGGGTTAATTTATGCAGACCAGACCTTGTACAATATATTAATTCACAAAATACAAAGATACTGCTAAGATACGGTGGACAGATGTTGTAAACAGAGCGAGTTTTGACCATCGTATTAAGCGATCTAATTTCAAGCTATCATATGGATTATTTGAAGGGTACATATAATCAAGATTCATAACAATACAGAGTGATGTATTTTGTTATATTTGCAGTTGACTTTAATAGATGAGTCTTTATAGCATTTGCCCAGACTGCGCTACAGTAATCAAAATGGCATTGAATAACTGATTTATAAAAAGTCAAAGCAGTGTACTGATAACGTTATTATCTATATACATATGACAATCTTTAAGTAATATTGACTGCCTTCTGGGCAATACGACATATATCGCCCGAACCGAAGGTGAGGGTGATATATGACAAGTCGTATTGCCCTGAATTAGGCAGTCAATATTACTATTATTAAACACATCAGACATCTAGAGCAAACAAGAAACTCTTACTATCTTATACTCTTAAATTATGTAGGCTACACAGGGTTTCCTAGCATTAGAAGTTGCAAAAACATTGTCAAACCAGCACTGTTCATCCAGTGTTTGACAGATTTTCGATACACTGCAAACAGTTTGCCTAGGGTGTGATTGTTACGTCACAATAGAGTTCGTGCAAAGTGTGCATTTTCTTATACACGATGCGCAATGTACATTACAGTAGCTGATGCGCGATGTAAATTACAACTGGCTCTATATTATTGCTTATTAGTTTAACACGCATTTTGCCATTGACTTTTCAGAGCGGGCTAAAATATTTGTTCATTGGTTTACTATATAACCATATTGACCGGCAAATTACACACAAATCCCATTGACTTTTCTGAGCGGGCTAAAATATTGTAATTTTGTTGGCTTATCCATCAAACCTTGAGGGCAATAACATTTAAAAATTGCCCTGCTCAGATGTCTGATACGGTTAATAATTATTAATATTGTGTAATCTCTTCAAATGCTGTTGAGTGCCTATACACATTACTTCACATTCCCTATTGTTAACTATTAAGTTATTGTATTTTAACCAGCATGATAATCCTGAAAGATCTTCAGATAGTTTGCGAAAAAATTCTACTAGGTCTTTTGATGACTTAAATGTACATGTGTTGTCGGCATATAATGCTGTCACATGAGTGATTATTATCGGGCATATCATTAACAAATACAGTATTAAGAATATTAGAGAGAGCCCATAACGAGCCTTGGGGTACTTCGCATGCAACTTCCCTTTCATCAGAAGTATAGCCGTTTACAGATGTAAATTGTTTTCTCCCATCCAAATAATATGTGAACCACTTGAAAGTGCGTGACCAAAGTTGTACATTTTAAATTTTCTATTAAAATATATGTATGATAGACCGTATCAAACGCTTTTTTAAGATCAATCATAACTAAATCAACAGAATGCCTAAAGAATTGCTGTTCAGACAAAGGTCGATCTGTGCTGATTATGCATTTTAGCCTTGCATATGAATTGCAGTAAAAAAAAAATAATAGTAAATGGTAATAATTTAGATGAGTCTGTGTAGGTGGAAGCATATTTGAGACCACGCCAGTCTCATTATTAATTGTTTTCTTTTTTTTACCCAGACTAATTGAATAGTGAAGGATATATTTTCAATTTAGTACATATTAGTTTTATGATTGAAGAATGCTCTTTGCTATTTCTAGATTTAATGAAATCGTGATGACATTGTGTTATTAATTTTCATGCATTTCCTGAATTAAAGTTAATTGAAGTACCCACGCAAAATCTCCTTCACCTTTTTCTGTTTTTCTTTTTTTGACCTTACACATGGCTGTCGGCAGTCATGCGATTTGGCATGCTTTCCAACATTTTTTTTTCTTCTCTCATTGCAGCCAGCAGCGAACGCTTTTGTTGCAAGGAGCTGTTCATGTTCAATCGCAATATATTCAAATTAGTATTGATATCATGACCATAAAAACTACTTAGGGCTTCAACTAAAAGTAGTACCCCAGGGACAATTATTCTCTTTGATCTCCGATAGTCTTTCCGGTGGTCTTAAATAAATTTCATGGGGGAGGGTTTAATTATCTGAGGCAATTTGTTTTGGGCAATTTGTCATGTGTGTATAGTCATATTTTATAGTTGTAGTTGTCTTGGGCCGGGTAATGGGGGGTAATTGTCCCGGAAAGTTGTGGTCTAATTATATATATTTGTTGCCAGATATTGTTTTGCTAGTGTCATAAAGAGAGCTCTCAAAAGGAGAGGGGGCCTCGATCTTGCCTGCACAAAAACGTAATGTTTTTATGCAGAAAGGCTCTTGCGTAATAAATATTTCCAGGGTTATGCAATGTGTATGAATACACGTGTACACAAATGATTGATTGATTGATTGAGAGAGAGAGCATATAGCTCTCATTTATTTCTTCCAATATGTACAATTAAAAATCAAACAAGTTTACAGTATGTCATGCATAATTTCATGTTTACATCAAAATAACAGAGTAATACATACATAAGAGCTAGTAATACAAATAAATGAAAGAAAAGGGTGTCCCGAAAAAAGCCTCAAGGGCTTGTAAGGAGGGGATCACCAGAGTAAACAAAAACAAAAAAACAACAAAAACAAACAAACAAAAAAGAATAGTTGTTTACAAGTGAATTATGAATAATGCTAACGACAGCTGGAGGGGTGTGACCATTGCGACGCCACACTCCAGCACTCGACAAAGCTGAGTAGCTAGGTAAATTGACATTATTTAATTTAATCATTTAGAGAGAAGGAATCTTTTCATTCGTGTTTTTAAAGAGTGCATTGAATTGTGTGTGTTGAATGTCAGAAGGCAAGGAATTCCAGATAATGGGGCCAAGGTAACAAACTGATTTTGAAAGTATATTAGTTTCTGTTTTCCAGAGATGGAATTTGGCTGACTGTCGAGTAGAGTAAGCATGGACATTTTCGTTTAAACAAAACATTTGAATAAGATAAGGAGGGAGGCGTTTCGTAAAAAACTTGTGCATCAAAGAAGCAATTCGATAATTTGTTTGAGTCATACACATTTAATGTTGAAAAATGGCGGAATAAAGGTAAAGAAGGGGCTAGATAATGAGCATTGGCACAGATTCAAAGTGCTCTTTTTTCAAGACGATGTATTCGTGATAATTTAGATGCATGTAATGAAGCCCATACCACATTTCAATACATAACATGAGGTAAAATAAAAGTATTATACATGGTAAATAGCAGTTTAGGTGGTAATATACATTTCACATTATTCATTATCCCAGTAATTTTTGATATCTTACTACAAGTTACATTAATGTGAGAGTCCCATGTTAAGAATTCATCTAACGGTACGCCTAAGTATGTAAAAGTAGAACATTGTTTCAACTCAGACCCGTTTAGTAACAGTTTTACGTCAGAGTAGTCAGGTCTTTTTATTTTGTTTATTCCTGAAAATTACAAATTTAGTTTTCAAAATATTTAACGACAATTTATTACAAACAAGCCAATTATACACACGGTCCAGGTTTATATTAATCTTACGGACTAATGAATTATATGTGTACTTATATGCTTTGTTAGCTCAGCTTTGTTGTTGATGTTTTTTTAAGTATAGTTTTGTTTTGTTTTGACCTAGCTAGGACAAAGGATAATTATCTTTGAAAACCCCTCATTAAAACAGACTTATATGCAGTCATTAATTGCCATATCCCGGCTACCTGTAGCAATTAACTCTGAAGCCATGTGAAAACATAAACCCTGCAGCCAGTCCATGCAATTACCTGACTTGCTTTTCTAAACTCATGGTCTACGGGGACAAGATGATTCCTGAAATATGGCTTTGGGCATCAAAGAATTTATCAATGATACTTTCAAAGGAAAGGGAAAGACAAAATAGAAAGATATTTAAAGAAGGTGGCTCTTGGGTGTGGGATCTTCAGTCAATGACAAGAATACGTGCTTCAGTCAAAGGAAATCATGTTGCAATCTTCTGTTTTTACCTCTTTGTTTTCAAGTTTAATATCATATGTGATCTGGGCCCGGTCTTACAAAGAATTGATATCAATCACAATTTATTTTTGATTGGTATCAATCCTATGTACATAAGAGATAGGAGACTGCAAACTTGCGATTGATTGGAGGACTTGCAATTGATTTGGATCAATCACAACTCTTTGTAAGACGGGGCCAAGGTTTCAATTGCTCCATCCATTCAGGTTTCCAAACAGGAACATGGGTTGCATTTGGGTTCTAGGTTAGGTTTGGGGTAAGGGCCAGGGGTAAGGGTCAGGTACAGTGTTTGGTCTGAGATTGAATTTAGGAGTTCGGTTAGTGTAGGATATTGACCACTGCAATTGTCGCCGGAGCATATGTGTCGTACAACCATCTAGTGAACTAATGAACTAGGGAGAATCAAGTCATACATCAATGTATACAATACCTGTAGATTATGTCTCTTTATTCTATCATCCTCCTGTCAATATTCCTTAAAGCCTGATCATTCCTTTTGAATTTATATCTTTAAAAACGTCAGATTTTCAATCATTGTTTGCAAAGTAAAATTTTCTTTTCATAACAGAAATCAGCCATTAAGAAGAAAGAGCAGAAGAAAAACAGGACTCGTGTGAGTCAGAAGTCAATTGGAGGAGGAGGAGGTGAAGGAGGTGGAGGTGGAGGAGGAGGAGGAGGAGGAGCAGCAGCAACAGCAACAGCAACAGCAGCAGAAGGAGTAGGACAAGGAGGAGGAGGAGCAGGAGCAGGAGCAGGAGCAGGAGCAGGAGCAGGAGCAGGAGCAGGAGGAGGGCCACAGACGGCTATTCAAGGGAGTCCTGCTCAGTTATCTGTGAGTATTTTATATTTTTGTAACATGCATTTTTTTTAATAACCACAAGGTGTTGTTTGAAGTTGTTTTTAAGTGGTCGTACTAAGTTGAGAAGCAAATTTGCGCTTTGTATTAAAACTCCAAGAAAATTAAAAGGCTTTATACAAAGTAGATTTGATTTGATTGGGTACTGGAATTAGGCATCTAACCCTCAATCATTTAATAGAATACAAAGTTTGAAGTTGTAAGCATTTCTTTCTGAATCATATGATGATGTATAATTAATCTCACCATTTATCATCGATTGAACAGAACAAGCAGATTGGAAGCAAAGTAGGAGAGAAGATCACACCCAATAAAGATGTCTCACAAGTTGGAATGTCAACCGTTCAGCTAGATGGACCGGATGGAAAGGGTGCAAGTGGCACCCCCAGCGGCGCAGGGAGCAGGGGCAAGAAGCTTGTGGTTAAAGAGAAGAAGAAGAATAAACAGCCCATAGTATTCTCAAGAGATGGCAGAGCAGGAAAAGGGGCTAAAGACAAGACAGAGTCGAGCAACGAAAAAGATTCTCAGGTTCGTTTCAAATCAATTAATTGTTAAACAGACTCAAAATCTGACTGAAAATATAATCTTAGTATTTGCTGTGCTTGCCTGTTGACTACATATCGACTACATATTTATTATAATTACTATTATTGTGGAGGCATGGTGGCTCAGTGGTAGAGCCGTGGTCTCGTAAATCGCTTGTGCAGTAGGTGTTTTCGCAATTGATCACCACTATCACCACTATATATTTGGGAAACCTTTATTGTTCCGTAAATGCTGAAAAAATGTTATGTTTACGAGGTTTAAACGAGTCCCCTCACCTGACTTCATGTGTACTCTCGTGCTTTCCTTTAATGATTTTTGTCTCTTAATTCTCATTATTTCCTCTGACAGGCCATGGAGGAGGCTCCTGGTGAAGCAAATGAAGCAGGAACTGCCAAAGACACATCATCAGTGCCTGCTGGCTCAGGCGGAGGACTGGGTATGTAGCCCCAATCATAGAAGCGCTGTTTAGAGTTTGGATATTGTCTATCTATATATATATACACTGTATGATAGGTGGACAGGCTAGGGTAGATAGACTGTATAATAAAGGGAAAAACATTTATCAATTTAAATATTTACAAAAACTTGAAGATCCTTGCCTTTTGTTGATCTAAAAAAAGACAGTTTATTAGATTGGTTGAATTAAAAATGGATGGCAAGTAAATCCCAGATTTTTTAAAGGTTGATTTCCACCCACATATGATATATATATATATATATATATATATATTTATATACCTCATACATAGATTGTCATTCACTGATTGGTCAAAACTATATCACATGACAAGGAGCATTTCGATCTATCAAGTATCATTGCGTCAGAGGGTTTGATAGCTACTATCAAACCCTGGAATAGGACTCCTAACCCCTCCACGACTTTTGCGCACACAAATTTTTTGAGTTGCTAGGCTACCGCAATCGCACGGTTACGCGCAGCGCGTAGGAATTCAATACTCTTGCCTTGGACTTAATGTTGGATTTTTCTTATTCTGGTGAGTAAATTCCTCTTGATCTCGTTTCCTGTTTATTAGAGCTAGATCTAGACCTTCAGCTAGACCTAATCATGAATCAATAAAAAGGATGAGGTATATAAAACAAATATGGACTGCTCTGTAATCGGATGATGGTGGGAACTACCACTCCCTCGGTGGTGTTCACACTGGCCCTTCTATCAACCCCGAGGCGAAGCCTCGGGGTGATAGAAGGGCCGGTGTAAACACCTCCTTGGGAGTGATAGTTCCCACCATCATCCATGAGCAGTCAATATTTGTATAATATGTCCTGATTGCGTGTCATGAACAAGAATACAGGATTACGACAAAAAGAATGAAAGCTAGCAGTTTTGTCAGACTAAATTTAGTATACAATCACCTGTATGTTTCCCAAAGAGGGAAACTTCAAGTATGCTATGGAATCAGTAAAAGGAAAATTGTCGGATAGTACTGAAAAATATTACAATGTAAAATGTGGTATAGTGGATGTGTCACCAGACTAAGGACCATATGGTTCTCTATTCCAAGTCCTACAGTGGCATCAATTAACATCAGAAAAAGGTGACCATGGGGGTTCAACAGGTACCGCTTAGGCATTTTTGGCTGTATAGAGTGCAGTAGTGCAGTCCCGCTTCGAATGCTTTCATTGACTTGGAAAGTTGGGCTAGACTTAAAGCCAAGGTATTATTAAAATGTTATTTGTAGGCGTCTTGAGCATCCACTGTGATGTATATGTTTACAATATGAATATAGTTAATATAACATGAATCATTATCATAATGAATCAACAAATAATTTTAAATCCAGGAGTGAGTTGTATCAATTCACCTAGAGGTAACTATAAGAAAACATTGAACAATTTGTGAGTATTGCATACATACATACATGTATGTATGTGTTTGAATATGCTTATTCTTTACAGAGGAGGGATGCAATGAGAAGAAGTTTAACATTTGCAAAAATGGCCATCAGTTCAGATCAGATGTCTGTAACTATTGTGGTAACAATCAGAATCATACATTTCCATCAGCCTTCGCATGCCAATTAAACTCTTTATTGTAGAATAGTGATTTTTATTCCTGCATGTTTTTGCTTGCTGTGAAGATTTAACCCTGGATATAGTCATTCAGATATCTTTTTTTTTTTCTTCTCAGAAAGTCTTGTTAAGTCAGCTCAAGAATGAGCCAATTTATTTTCCTCCTAATTACATCCTGAAATCTTCCCACATTGTCCTTGTCGGTACAAAAGTAATTGATGTTTTTTATTCTAAATTTAGGATATCATCATGATACAATTTTCCAATAATAATTGTCATCTGACGCAACTTTTGCATCTTGATTCCATTTACTTTCTATGTCTGCGCCGACAGAAGGTGGTGGCTGAGGCATAGTGTTTTGGGGGTTGTCCGTCTGTCCGAACATATATCCGTCTGTATGTTTTGGGTTAGTAGGTCAAAGGTCTATGGTCACAGAGGTCAACTTCTGAAATTCCAGCTATTAGCCTTATTATTGCCAAAACAAAATAGTGTTTACTTTAGGCTTATACAATCTCAGCTCTTGAAGTGGTGAAAGTCAAATGGGGGTTTCAATTTTAAACGACAAGTTTTCGCCATGGTGGTTCTGGAATGGAATCATGGGTGTTAATCATTGATTTTGTTTGCAAAATTGACCTTGAATTTATCCACATATCAGTTGTTTGGGTTGATTTAGACATAATGTAAAGTCTCAAATGTTTAATATCCAGTATAAACTATTCTTTCATTTTCCATACAAATGCAACAGAACTTAAGACTGTAGGATTTCATTAATTTAAAAGTATAAGGCTGATCCGTATCAAATATCATAATCTTTGAAAAACTTTGCAAAAGAGCTATACTACCTGTAACATAAAATACACCTTTTTCTGTGAGGGGTCATAAAGGATTAATTTTGACCTCTAAGGTAATAATATATGTTCAATTTAAGAAGAAAAAAAATGGTCTTTTAAAATGCCGGCAACACTATTATTTATCATTTAGAAATAGAACAGTACTAGTAGAGAGTTGCACAGTGAATTAAACGCTGTAAATTGACAACTAAACATTTTAGCGATTTTAGCCTTGCATGTGATTACAAAATGGGCCTTCTATGACTATTTTCCAAACAGTATTTTACCCTTAGTAGTCCATTTAAGACAAAGCAGTGTAATCATCCTCGCCTCATAGTTGCATGCTTTTAATTCTGTGATCTTTTAAGTCAATTGGGGCTTTTATTTTCCTTAGTTTGATATTCTTCAGGGGCTCTTTATCTTTCTAGTCTGTAAAGTCTGAATATTCTCATGCCTTTATTGAAGAAAAGAATCTATATTTGGGACATCAATCAGAGGAAAAGAATAGTATAACTCTGGATATTTCTTGATATGTTGAAACCTTGATTGTTTGATGATTTTGTATGTAATCAATCTATTGTCCTCATTATGAGAATACTTGGTATTTCATTTAATACTTTGATAAGGTTAATTGGGACTCCAACAAAGATAGGTTGTTTTTCTTCCAAGTTGAAATTGAAATGCGCCTTGTGCATGCTGTGACATGTGACTTGATAATGCATGTATTGAAGAAATAGCCTTTTCAGTCATTACTCCAAATCTATAAAATGTTTAAATATATATAGATTGTGTCAACGGATGTGATTCTTGATTAACATGTAAAATTTTGAGGGGCCCTGCCCTATTTTAACAAATTTTTAAAGGATAACCCAAATAAAGATTGCTTTTGATACAGAAGAATAGGAACATTGCTGAAAAGGGGTGTGGTGGGACAAACCCCTATTTATTAAAAGTATGAGTTAATCACCATATCTCATGATCTGCAATTTTAAAACAAAATTTTTTCTACAGGGACACATAAAATCATCTCTTTTGAGGTGGAAGAGTGTTATTAAACTCATATACTGTAACACAGAGTAATCTGCCCTTTTTGCTCCAGACTAAATATTGCTTGTAATGTGCTCCCTCAGTATATTAGGTCATGAATACTTATAATATTAGCTGAATGCTAAATTTGTGTGCGTTTGATTCTGATTCCTGACAGGTGCCATGGCCATGTTCAAAGCTGCCAATAAGCTCCAGATCAGTCAGAAGTATGGGCCAGAACAAACGAAGATTGCCGTGGCACCCCAGGTAGACGACGTCATGGGTGATGGTGGGCTCCAAGGCGACGAGACGGGAAGTCCTCCAACTGGTGATGATGAGATGCACATGGAAGACCATGCAGGGTCTTCTGAGGATGAAGGTGAAGGAGTAAAAGTGGGATACCCCATGGAGGAGGAGGAAGAACATAGGAGCAACGAGGAAGATGGAGAAGAAGATGAAGAAGAAGGGAGAGCAACTGTTCAGAAGAGTTGCATCACTTCCGGAAGGAGCATGAGCGCCAAGGAAGGTCGTGTCAGATTTGACATCCCAGGGAAGCGGGCCCAGTCGGCTGTTTCCAGGCTGGCAGGAGAGCGCGGCAGAGGGGGTCTGCATCACCATCCTGCAGGGTTTGACAGCGACGCCTTATCAATGCTCTCTTCCATGGGCAGAACAAACTCAGACGATGAGCTAGCAGATATTCCCCAATCCAGACAGAGTTTTTTTGATGACTCTGATTTCAATGGTAGCCCCACCCCTCCGAACACAAACTTCTCTGTCTCGATAATGTCCAAGGCGAGCACGAGACAGGCCAGCCTTCAAGGATCTCGTATCGGTTCTGGTCTGTCGAGGTTTGAGACGGATTCTCCTTTCTCTCCCATGAGGCTACCCTTCTCGCCGTTGGCTGCCCCGTCTCCTCTCAGGTTCTTGGATGAGGGAGGGAGGGGGCTGCTTGACATGGACCGTGGTAGCTTGGCAGACGATGTAAATAGCATCAGCGATGTGGCCCCGGTCAACTACAACAGAGCTATTCCTTTCAGTGCCCCACCTGAAGGGCGCAGAGCACGACCCAATACAGCAGAACGTAAGATTCAATACTTGCCTCTATATTATTAATGATTGTAACGTAAGGTGTTTGTAATGTGAAAACCACTTCCAACTAATCTGACCAAGATTGCAATGCAGAGGAATAATAAGAATACAATTCAACTACGGTAGGTACATTAAGTCTTCAAAGACAAATGCAGGGACAATTGAAACAAATATTGTTCATGATGCCGTGATTTCTTCGCACATTTATCTAGATTTGATACTGAAGGTGAGGGTCGGGCTGTTGCTAACTATTGCATAAATGAAGGCACACGTAAAGATATTTACATAGTCTTTCTTCCCTTCAATTGTATTTCCCTGTTAATTTGTATATCTGATATTTACGTGAATACACAAAAGAAACTTCTTATTATTCATTACTTTTCAAAATTTAAAGGCATTGTGTCTTGATAGTTGTACACACTTAACGTAAAACCTCTTGTTCATTAGAGATGTTTGTATACATTTCTCCCATGAATAGGAATGAAGGAAGAGCAGCTAAGACCCCTCACAGCAGGAGATGACCCCCATGTGACCTTTCAAGATGAGGTACGTCATCATGTGATATTGCTAGGTTCTAAGACATGCTCAAGCTACACTTGTTCTGCGGTCAAAATTCTTTGTTTATTTCATTTTTGTAAAAAAAGAATCAAATTAAAAACATGTCTTCATACAACAAAAAAATTTGTAAAAAAAAATGTTTCACTTTACAATTTATAAAAAAAAAGAAAAAGGAGAACTGAAAAAAAAAAGAGCCTACGATGGTTTTGTATGACATTTACCATTAAGATATGATGCATGCTCTGGCAAGAATTTATCCACTGCCATCGCTGCATTAACCAGCTTCCCAACTTCACCCCATATCCAAACACTCTACTACTAAATCTTAACCCCGAACCTAACTCTATCTAACCTGAACCCCAAACCAAAAATCAAACCGAACTCCAAACCGGAGCCTGATTTTCTATTTTTCCTGATGTACTTGTATATTTTTTGTCCGTTGTTCCTAACTTTTCCTAGATAAAAATGTATTTTTTTCCTCTATATTTCTTTGTTTTTTCTGATATACATTGTGTATGCTAGTTTTCTTTCATTTTTATTTTCCTTCTCTCATTTCATTTCCAGAGATATTTCTTTGTTTTTCCTTCTCATTTTCTATGTATTATGTATTTCTTTGTCTTTCTTTATGCACTTCAGTATTTTTTATTTACTAATTTTCTATCAATCCGTATGTACCTTTTGTTTATCCTTCTTCTATCTTTCCTTGTGTAATTCTTTCTTTTTCCCAATGTATTTCTTTGTTTACTGTATCTCACTTTCTATATCCTAGTGCATTTCTTTGGTTTTTCTTCCTTCATTTTCTATCTATCCTTTTGTATTTCTTTTTTTATCTCTCTCTAGTTTTCTATTTTTCCCTGTGTCTGTGAACCTCTTATAGCGCTAGTTTATGGGCCACTTTCTGGGGCTGGCCCGAGACCCTCGGGGAGATAGACTCTTATTTTTATTTTTTAAAAACCTAACAAAAATTCCAATTTCTCTAGCAGGACTTTGGAAGCATGACAGAACAAGAATTTCAGAAACACTTGGACTTTGTGAGGTGAGTTTAACCCGTTGGCTACTGAATTATGGAGGTTTCATAATCTGGGGCTTTCCGGGTTGCGTAAGCAAAAGGTTATAAACATGTCCATCTGAAGTATTGAAACCATTTCTACCTCAAATAGTTCAATTATGTCTGTTGTTGTCAGATAAAACAATAAGAGAGTCTCATCATGATGATATGCAACTCGACCGTCACTAACAGTAATTGAGATATTTATAGAAACTAATAAAGGATTTTGAGTGGGATGTTAGATTATGTTAGACACGTTGATGAGCTTTTGAAAGACTGCTTGATGAGCTACTCTTTTCAATGCTAGTGCATTATTATCTTGTGCTCGGTGTCCAAGGTAAAGCCAATTAACATAAGAAATAACTGCATGAAAACCTTTCAATGTTAATTACCTCATTATTTTACCTACTCATTATGTTTGGGCAATGACTTTCTAATTAGTACTGAATTATTGAATGAAATGTAATATGTCCTCTAAACTTCTTGCACAGCCTGTGTAGATGGATTTATATCGGTACAGATATGCAATTTTAATGCATTTCTCAGTGAGCACCGGAAACCATGAGATGTTGAATGATGATGTAAGTTCATCCAGAAACTCTCGCAAAAAATTTGATATGGCTTGACCGATTCCTTTGCGAGATTGGTAGGCTTGTGAATGTAGCTAGGCAAACCTGGATCATTAAATTATATCATTTGATCATATTACTGGTATTAATTTGCAGAGAGACTTTCCAAAGCCATAGAGTAAATCATGTCAAAATATTTTATTCTAAACAGCTCACCGACTGATCTGAGTGGCTATTTGAAAAATGATGGACTTCAACTTGACAAGAATTGGACAGACAGGATGATCCAGCGGTGAGTCAAAGCAAACTGTTTGATTTCATTCTCAACTGATAGAAAAAGACAGAGTTGAAATGAACTCAGGGCGATTCCAAACATTATGGAATGACATTTTAAGAGCATTTTCAAATTGAAAGAAGAATATCATGTATAAAGTCAACAAATTAATGATACTATATTAGCTCCTCAAAAATAGTTCTGCAATTCAAATTTCAGTTACCATGTTAGTGGTGGTTATTCTACCCGACTGCTAAGAGTTAGATGATGTTTGAAGGTTTGCATGGTGGTATGAATAATCGCGGTAGAGGTTTACGGTACACCATGTGTAAAGTCCTAGAGGGACTAAGGAAAGTGGATAGAAAATAGAAGTGAAATAGAAAGGCGAGAAAGTGGAGGTTGGAAGGAATGCTAAGAGTTAGTAAGCAACCAGAGGACCCACAGCTTTAGGTCCTCTCTGAGGGATCTGGTCATGAGGATTAATGTCTGTCCAAAGGGTACTACGCATCGACTTAGTTTCAAACCCGGGTCGCCGGATTACGAGACCACTGCTCTACCAATTGAGCTATCGCGCCTCATCATTGATTTCTCTCTTGTTATTATATTACCATACATGACGTTGGAATTGTGCTTATATATTTCCCTTTACAATGATGCCTCATTTGTAATGATTATGTAATCATAGAATGTGCAGTACGTACACCTGGCCGATATGGGGCCAAGTCAAAAGCAGAATGTTGCCAAATGCATTGTACTTGTCAGTGAAAATCTTCATTTACTAGCTTGGAGGATGGATTGCATTTTAATATTGAAGTGGTCATGCATTAATGCCAATGGTGTATTCAATTTGATGCATGTTGCCACATTTCACTCAAACTGCACATTCCATGATTGGATAATCATTACATCATAGCATCATAGTTTTTGCCTATATAGTTCAATTTTTTAAAGGGTATATAGTTCATATTTTGATGAAAATACCTGAAGGTTGAATGTAATTGACATCATAAAAAATGAAGCCCTTCATGTTAGCCTGTTAGACATGCATACGTCTTTCATAATTGTTCTCTGACCCTGTCAAAATTAATCCTCTTATGTTTGCATATTTAGACTAAAGTTTTTCATTATCCATTGTTGTCTGCATGACCCTGTCCACATATCAATCCTCGTTGCCCGAATTCACAAAGGAGGTTTGTCGACAAACCTTGGTTTTCGTACGTCATATGACGCGTTTTACACGTTTTTTACAAACCTGGTTTGTAAAGAACAAAAGGAGGTTTGGCGAAACAAAAGGAGGTTCGAGCTCAAACCTTGGTCTGAGCTCAAACCTTGCTTTGTAAATTCGGGCCCTTATGTTTGGTATTAAGACTTAAGTTTTTCATCAATGCTTTCTGACCGTACCGCAATTAATCCTCTTACGTTTGAGCATTTAGACTTCAGTTTTCATTATTTTTTGTGCTCTGACCCTGAAGAGTACCAACACTGTAACATCATAAACATCTTTTTTCAGAATTTCTCATTTTGAACTGCATTTTCTGAAAGAGCATCAAAAATTAAGAAATCATGTTACTTTTGCTCTGGTACCTCATCTTATGAACCAGAGCAAAATAGCGGGTGATTTCCTAATTAAAATCTATTTATTCGGATGGGCATATCTCAGCCAAAACTTATTAACATATTCAATTGGTTTTCAACATTTGGACATAACATTATTTTTTATGCTCTTTTAGAAAATGAAGTCCAAATTGAGAAATTCTAAAAATATATTTTTTTAATGACTGCTCTATAGCAATAAATCCTTTAATTATTGCCTGTTTAGACATATGTTTTTCTTCATTGTTCTCTGACCCTGTCAAAATTAATCCTCTTATGTTTGCATATTTAGACTAAAGTTTTTCATTATCCATTGTTGTCTACATGACCCTGTCCACATATCAATCCTCTTGGCCTGAATTCACAAAGCAAGGTTTGAGCTCAAACCTCCTTTTGTTTCGCCAAACCTCCTTTTGTTCTTTACAAACCAGGTTTGTAAAAAACGTGTAAAACGCGTCATATGACATACGAAAACCAAGGTTTGTCGACAAACCTCCTTTGTGAATTTGGGCCCTTATGTTTGTTATTAAGACTTAAGTTTTTCATCAATGCTTTCTGACCGTACCGCAAAGAATCCTCTTACGTTTGAGCATTTAGACTTCAGTTTTCATTATTTTTTGTTCTCTGACCCTGTAGAGTACCAAGCTGTAACATCATAAACATCTTTTTTTCAGAATTTCTCATTTTGAATTGCATTTTCTGAAAGAGCATCAAAAATTAAGAAATCATGTTACTTTTGCTCTGGTACCTCATCTTATGAACCAGAGCAAAATAGCAGTGATTTCCTAATTAAAATCTATTTATTCGGATGGGCATATCTCAGCCAAAACTTATTAACATATTCAATTGGTTTTCAACATTTGGACATAACATTATTTTTTATGCTCTTTTAGAAAATGAAGTCCAAATTGAGAAATTCTAAAAATACATTTTTTTAATGACCGCTCTATAGCAATAAATCCTTTAATGATTGCCTGTTTAGACATATGTTTTTCTTCATTGTTCTCTGACCCTGTCAAAATTAATCCTCTTATGTTTGCATATTTAGACTAAAGTTTTTCATTATCCATTGTTGTCTACATGACCCTGTCCACATATCAATCCTCGTGGCCCGAATTCACAAAGGAGGTTTGTCGACAAACCTTGGTTATCGTACTTTAATTACATGACACGTTTTGTACATTTTTTACAAACCTGGTTTGTAAAGAACAAAAGGAGGTTAGGCAAAACAAAAGGAGGTTTGAGCTCAAACCTTGCTTTGTGAATTCGGGCCCTTATGTTTGGTATTAAGACTAAAGTTTTTCATCAATGCTTTCTGACCGTACGGCAATTAATCCTCTTACGTTTGAGCATTTAGACTTCAGTTTTCATTATTTTTTGTTCTCTGACCCTGTAGAGTACCAAGCTGTAACATCATAAACATCTTTTTTTCAGAATTTCTCATTTTGAATTGCATTTTCTGAAAGAGCATCAAAAATTAAGAAATCATGTTACTTTTGCTCTGGTACCTCATCTTATGAACCAGAGCAAAATAGCAGTGATTTCCTAATTAAAATCTATTTATTCGGATGGGCATATCTCAGCCAAAACTTATTAACATATTCAATTGGTTTTCAACATTTGGACATAACATTATTTTTTATGCTCTTTTAGAAAATGAAGTCCAAATTGAGAAATTCTAAAAATACATTTTTTTAATGACCGCTCTATAGCAATAAATCCTTTAATGATTGCCTGTTTAGACATATGTTTTTCTTCATTGTTCTCTGACCCTGTCAAAATTAATCCTCTTATGTTTGCATATTTAGACTAAAGTTTTTCATTATCCATTGTTGTCTACATGACCCTGTCCACATATCAATCCTCTTGGCCTGAATTCACAAAGCAAGGTTTGAGCTCAAACCTCCTTTTGTTTCGCCAAACCTCCTTTTGTTCTTTACAAACCAGGTTTGTAAGAAACGTGTAAAACGCGTCATATGACATACGAAAACCAAGGTTTGTCGACAAACCTCCTTTGTGAATTTGGGCCCTTATGTTTGGTATTAAGACTTAAGTTTTTCATCAATGCTTTCTGGCCGTACCGCAAAGAATCCTCTTACGTTTGAGCATTTAGACTTCAGTTTTCATTATTTTTTGTTCTCTGACCCTGTAGAGTACCAACGCTGTAACATCATAAACATCTTTTTTCAGAATTTCTCATTTTGAACTGCATTTTCTGAAAGAGCATCAAAAATTAAGAAATCATGTTACTTTTGCTCTGGTACCTCATCTTATGAACCAGAGCAAAATAGCGGGTGATTTCCTAATTAAAATCTATTTATTCGGATGGGCATATCTCAGCCAAAACTTATTAACATATTCAATTGGTTTTCAACATTTGGACATAACATTATTTTTTATGCTCTTTTAGAAAATGAAGTCTAAATTGAGAAATTCTAAAAATACATTTTTTTAATGACCGCTCTATAGCAATAAATCCTTTCATGATTGCCTGTTTAGACATATGTTTTTCTTCATTGTTCTCTGATCCTGTCGCAATTAATCCTATTATGTCTGCTTTTTTAGACTAAAGGTTTTCATCATCACTGTCTGACTCTATCGCAATGAATCCTTTTGTGTTTGCCTAGTTAGACATAAGTTCTTCACCAAGTTCACCATTAATTGTTCTCTAACCCTACTGCAAAAATGCATTTCTATGTTTGCTCAATTAGACACCACTTCTTGAAGATGCAGAAGGATCAGCGAGTCAAGAGTGCAGCCGACAGACGTCAGCTCCTTGAGCTTCGCCAGCGCCAAAGACGAAAGGCACTCCTGGGTCATCATCAGTGTTCTTTCGACGGCCCTGGGTCTGGGGGCCGTCAGAATGGTCAGTTTGCTGAAACTGAATTCTTACCTTTTTTAATGAAGTACAGTGTGTCCCAGAAAAAAATGAAACCTCAAAAACAAATGATAATTGTGAGAAAAGCAAGAAGTTATATTCATATAGCTCATAGTTCGGGTTTCGTTTTTCTAGGACGCACTTTATAACTCACCCAGTGAACTTTACCAGATGGGACTCTTTTGATAAGAGGCAGAAAACACAGAGAAACAAGTAAAAAACCAAAAACAAGATTTGAGGAAAATCAGACAACTAATAAGACAGTTTTTACATTATTGATGACATGAACAATTATTATTATTGAGATTACTACATAAACAAGAGAGAAATTGGCAACTCATTTTTTAGTTTGTGATGTCATTCTCTTGCGATGCAATTATGTTTCCTTAGTTTGATATCATAAAATATCCTTTGTGTCTCTTCCAACCGAATTCATCATGTCTTTACCCCTATCTTTTAATGACTTAGAAACAGTTTGATATGGCAATATTATGATGTCAAAATATGCAAAACAATGGGTTATTAAGAATTACAAGCTCATGTCCAAGTTGCCATTTTTCCCCATTACCGTATCTCGAGATCTTCATAATTTGAACACATTGAAAAAATGTAAAACTTCCTAGCTTCTCCAATTTTCTTCAGATTTTTTGTTGGATCAGCTTCTCTGATATTTCGGCTTTACATAAAAGCCTGTTATGCAGGGGCTGGCTGGAGATGACTTATAAGTGTAACATAACAAGGTTAATTAGGATCACAAATATATGTTCATTCATAAAAAAGGGCGTTAAATCCTCTATAATTTCAGAGGGATATCCAATTTTTTTTATTTTTATAGATCATTAGCACCAATTAAAATATTTAAGGCCAAGTTGTGGAAGTTGGCCAAACATCCTGTTCCCACACATTCCTACTTCCAGTACCAAATCAAATAATTGGTAAGATACACTGACATGTACACAAAGAAAGCAGTTTTGTGCAATGCTTCCTTTGATGATTTGAACCCCTTGATGAGACTAAAAATCTCTCATTTAAATTCACCAACAGTACAAGACGAATACGAGCTTAAGACTTATATATGATGCCTTGGAATAAAACAACATAGCTGCTGTAAAAGCAAAATTATCTTGGATTGCACCTTTTCTTTCCCTTTGAAAATGAGTATTAACTTGAAGAAATAGATGTGGAATATTTCCTTATTGGTCTTTCGAGCACAATGAATTTTTTTTTTTCAAGAAAAAAAAAACACAATACAATTTGCCCTTTCTTAAGTCCTTGAGCCATATTTGTGTAGTGTGAATTCAGACACATTTTGTAATCTCATTGCTTGTATACGTTTTTATATTTATTCTTTCCTTCTATTCCCAGAAAATCTTACCCAGTCTGATCCATCACTGAATTCAAAGAGGAGCATGAGGGCAAAGAGTGCTCCAGCACACCAAGCCAGGCAACTCTCGTCCCGATCACGTGACACACACTCCCCACTCGGCCAACGCAAGCAAGCATTGGTCGGCAGAAACACCGAGCAACAGCCAGCGTTCACCCAACGCCAGCAGGCTTTTAGGCCGTGTAGCCAATGTATCGATCAACAGGTAGACCATCCTAGGGTCGACAGGAGCCTGGCAGGCAGTCCTGCTGGGCCCTCAACGGCAAGTTGGAATCATCGGTCTTCAAGTCCCGGTGATCATCAAACCTCGAGATGTAAAGGGGAACATCGCCCTCTCAGTCAGGGAGGTCAGCAGGAATCTAGACAGAGGACAAGCCAGCAGAGTGATCGTCAACTTAAGCAGAGTAGAACAAGATCAGACATGGCTGCTGAAAGACCTTACAGGTCAGTATTAGAATCCTAGCTATTTTAGATATCTGTCACACTATAAAATAAATCTTTAGTCAGTTAACCTTGAATGCATGTGCCCGTCCATTGATACCATGCTGTATCCCGGCCAGCCAATAATCTCCACATTGCCTTGTTTGTCACAGTGAAACCTGTGCATAAAGACCGCTCAAGGGAGACATGAAAAGTGGTCTTTTTAGGCAGGTGGTCTTTATGTACAGGTTCATTTACTACATGCTTCAAAAAAAGGGAAACAGAAAATGTGGTCTTTATAGACAGGTAATCTTTCTATATAGGTGGTTGCTAAAGCAGACTTGACTGTATATAAAGCTAGAAGAAAACCAAATGCAAAATGTTTCCCAAACTACCAATGTAACTCATGAAATCAATTGCCAGAACATACTTGACCGATGCCAACATTATACAAGCAAAGAATCACATATTGTGAAACACTGTGATGCATGTGATGCACTTATCACGTGGCGTTGGACCAATAATGTTTCTGCATTTGTATGGTAATTAATTTGTTTCTAAGCCATTGTCACGTTCTGCTTTGTTCCATTTTCATCTTGCCCTTGTGATGTTCAAGAGTGGTCAAATCTCTTTAGCCTTTATTTGAAATAAAGGCAAATTCTGTTTATTTAGTAACTCTCAAGGTTCAATTCTTATCGACTCATTTATCTTTTTGTCTGTGATACTAGTGTTAATGTAGTGCAACCTCCAATATGCCCACACGTGACAGTTGCATCATGTTTAATTCCTATTTCTATTTTAGTCTTGTCTTGACTTTATTTTTGTCTCACCTGCGTAGCAAAAAAGCGAGACATAGGCGTCGCTTTTCCGGCGACGGCGGGGGTTAAGTTTTGAATTTTTTATATAATTTTGAAAGTATAAGTACCTCCAATCATGTGAGTAGAATTTCATGTCACAAAGTCAAGATAAAAGGTCATTTCAGGTCAACAGACTTGGACTATGTTGTGGCATCATCATCAAGATTTTGAATTATTAGCATATTTTCAAAATTGTTTATTCAAATTCCATGAAACTTGTACCCAAGGGTTATCAAGTATCACAAATCATATGACACAAATTCCAGGTCACAAGGTCAAAGGTCATTTTAGGTCAGTAGACTTGAATTATGTTTTCACAACTTAATATGAGAATTAATAAATCATTTTTTAAAAATTAATTTGTTCATATTTCATTCAAGTTATCGATCCTGGTACAATTAATAGTAAATATTCTTCTGATGATTCTTGGTCAATATTCACTTCAAAATGCTGATTATATTCAGAGGATTTCATTTTTGTCTCGCCTACGTAGCAAAAATCGAGACATAGGCGCCGCTTTTTCCGGTGACGGCGGTGTCGGCGGCGACTGCGGCGTCAACATCAAAAACTTAAACCTAAGGTTAAGTTTTTGAATTTTTGATATAATTTTTAAAGTATAAGTTCTTGGTCAATGAAACTTTGACTATAGGGTAATCAAGTATCCCCAATCATGTGAGTAGAATTTCAGATCACAAGGTCAAAGGTCATTTCAGGTCAACAGACTTGGACTATGTTGTAGCATCATCATCGAAAACTTAACCTAAGGTTAAGTTTTTGAATTTTTGATATAATTTTGAAAGCATAAGTTCTTAGTCAACGAAACTTGGACTATAGGGTTATCAAGTCTCCCCAATTATGTGAGTAGAATTTCAGGTCACTAAGTTAAGGTTAAAGGTCATTTAAGGTCAACAAACTTAGAATTTGTTGTGGCATCAACATCAAGATTTTCAAAATGCTTCTTCTTCGTTATTTTTCAACCAATTTTGATTCTGATTGTTTCATATGATAGGGCTAGGAGGGGGATTTTAAATTTCTACACAGAATCGTGAAATTCATTATCTATGCTAATTTATTCGAAATCACAAAAAATGCTTCTTCTCCTTCATTTCTTGACCGATTTTGATTTGGTTTGCTTTACCGGTATCTGGTAGAGCTAACTTTGGTACACTAAACTTATACACCGAATTTTGAAATTGTTCTCCATTAATTAATTATGGTAATTTATGCAAATTTATTCCAAAAATAACAAAAATTGCTTCTTCTCCCTCATTTCTTGACCGATTTTGTTTGGGTTTGCCTTATTTGGTAGAGCTAAATTTGGAACACTAAACTTCTACACAGAATTTTGAGATTTTGCTCCATTGATTAATTATGGTAATGAAATGAAATTATGTCCCTTCCAGGGCACAAATTTTTATTTTTTGACCAGTTCAAAAGTGTACCACATAAAATTTACAATATTTGTTGTTGCGAGATGCGGATGAGCGCTACGTCATTGACGTTCTGGTTTATCATATTGAATTGCGTTATGCAGGCGAGACCGCCGAGAGCATTTCCCTTGTTTTGGGCTTGCTAATGGGCCACCCCGCCTATAAATAATGTTCCAACCTCAATTTTTCATCATATCGAATTACGTAATGCAGGGAGACCGCCAAGAGCGTTTCCCTTGTTAATCTGTGGTCTTATACATTTTACACGTGAAAAAAAGCTTATGAAATGAAATAAGTACCTGGTAATCATTCTCACCACCAATATGTAATTGTATGACTCCGCAACGACGTAGCCAGAGGCATTATGTTTTCAGGTTGTCCGTCTGAATGTCCTATTGATGGATTCCCACCAAACTTAGGTCATGTATGTATCTTGCACAGCCAATGAACTGATTAGATTTTGGGGTCATGAGGTCAAGGGCCATTGGGCTCATTATGTATGCAATAATAGCTTGTGATCACATTATCATTAGAACTGATGGCCGGGTTACCATCAAACTCAGGATATGTATGTATCTTGCAGAGCCAATGAACTGATTAGATTTGAAGGTCACGAGGTAAAAAACCAAAGGCCATACATGTATATGGTATGAAAAATAGCTTGTAGTCGAAGATCCATCTAGTTTTATTAAATATATAATGTTAAAGTATTTTAACTACCTCGTAATTGAAAACCAATAGCATAGAACTTCATTGATTAATGTGAGAGACCATGGATAAATCAGTACGATTTTTTATCTTTCCTTTAAAGGTTTCACTTCAACAGCTCCAAGAACAAGTCATCCAAGAGAAGAGATGATGTTCCTGGAGACATGGTCAGTCACGATTCATCTAGCAACCATCTACTGGTCAAGAAGAAACAAATCGCAAAGTCCATCCCAAGCAAACCAAGGTCAGTCTAATCTAGCGTGTTCTCAATTCAACTTTTTTTCAATTTCATTTATGTCCACAGATTCATAAAAAGACAATATAATTACAATCAAATATAAAAGCTTTAAAACAAAAGATGAACCTGCAGAGGGGGTGAACAAAATCCACAGAGATTCGATAGCATCTGTTTTCGAGTACCCATGCTAAAGCGTTTTTTAAACCCATTTCTTGTTTTGGCTCGAGTCAACCACCCCTCCCCCATCTGATGCTTCTCTTTATATTTCTTTGAGTTTAGTTGATGAATAATAGCAATTCTAAGCTGCAATGAAGTTCTTTTTTTCTTCAGGTGGAACATTAAACAAATGAGGAATTAAACCCCAAGAAGATAGATATCAATAGCCCTGGATGTAAATTCCAATATAGACAGCTGTTTCTCTGCAATTTGAACAAATTTCTATGATTTGCTGTGTGGGGAGAGTTGAGGACAGCGGTTGGAGATTGCCTCAATTAATATAACATTCCTTTTAGATGTTTACACTAATCTTTTCAATAATATAGCAAGTTGTTTACCAATTTCTTTCTTCAAATTGTGCGTATTATAACCTGTTGACTTTGTAGGCTTAATACAGGAACAACCAGTAGGCGATGAGTTAACTTGATTGTCCAAAAAAAGTTTCAAGCATGTACATTATGTAATCAAGATATTGTCCTCTCCTTCCCATCCCACCCACCTCTACAGGCGGTACGTGCTAGTCCACCAGCCTGGCACCGAACCCGGAGCCTTGGTGCCCTCAACCCTGGAAGAGCAGCTCCTTGCCAAGCGCTTTCCCAAGATGCACAAGCGGTTGCAGCGGGTCGCTCCTGCCCCCGAGGATGAAAAAGAGGGTGCTCCGGCTCCTCCTCCTCCCCCTCAGCGCAAGAACTCTTTGAATCCGACTTATGTGAATCAGTTACCGAACAATCTGGGTTCAAGCCCGTCGTTGATGTGAAAGCTATGGGCGTGCATACCTGCCAACCCTTCCGAATAATCCGGAATATTCTGTTTTTTTCGATTTTTTTTTGTTTTTTGTTTGTTGCTTAAGCCAAATTAAGCTTGTTTTTATCATATGCCGCGATGTGAAAGTTCATGTATTACGTGCGTTTAGGGCTGCATGATTGAGCAGCGAATTTGTCTTCGCTTTTTTGCACAGATTTACCGCGTATTGCCAGTTACACTGCCGTTGCATGTGCGAACGCCCGTAAAGGGTACAGATTTCTTATTTTTGAAGACATACCGTGCTAAAAATTCTTAATTCTCATTTTCAAATGTTGGCAGATATGGGAGTGTGTGTTCCAAGCGGCTTAAATATAGTGTCTTCTTTCAAGGGAATTAGTAACATTGTTCAGATGAGAGAAAATGGTGCTAAGGTAGTGGATTCAATGCTAGATGTACAATTAAAGATAATCTGAAAGTTTGATTGAAAACAGACCATTATTAATGATGAAAATTGGGAACAACTGATCTGGTCGATTCCTTAATTCTCCCAACCATATTATTACAATTTAATTACATTTTAGGGGAATGTAAATTGTCACAAAGCAATAAATTGGCTCTATATACCATTATAGACATTTAAGTGTTGAAAGATTTTAAAAGCATATCTTCTGTCTTATTTTCAGGGAAAGAACGGTTGGGAAAAATTAATGTTAGAGGGTGTGGCATAGTGACGTAAAACCATAAATATCTTTGTGGTTTGAGAATTTTTTCAGGATATTTTGCATGTTAGAGGTTTAGTACAGTAGCAGAAATATAATAAGTAACATTTCATACAAAAATTACACAGTTTTTAATCAACCTCCAATAATGTTACCGAGTCATGTTATTAACAAACTGGTTAAAAAATTAAAAAGATTTTATTGATCACTTCTAGATCACCTGATTACTAGAAAAGGCAATCTTATGTTTAAAAGTGACCTCTAGGAACCTAAAGCCTGAAGTCCTATCTGAGGAATTCAATGAATGCATTACCCAAGGGTGTGCCAGTGCATTGACTTGTTTTCTATCCCAGGTCACCCTGATTGTCGCTTTCTACTAGTAAGCCATATTGTAACCTAAATACACTCATTCAAAAATAAATGTTTGTTTCAATGTTGTTTAAAATACTTTGCTTGTTGCGCTATGTACATTTGGATTTTTACGCAAAGGTGTGCGCTCTTCTTTTCATGCAAGTGGGCAAAACTATTGTTTGTGTGTACATTTTTCAAAAGAGAGAAGAAGGAAGGAGGCTTCCCAGACTTTTAACAAGAAAAATTCCTTGTCACGTGACTTTCAATGAGATATAAGATTGACTATTTATAGCAGGTTATCACAAAGCAGGAGCCATTCTTTAATCAGATTTTGGGAGGGAGCACTACACTTTAATAGTGACCTGACAATTATCAATTGTGTGCTTAGCACATATTCGTAACTTCATTCTACATGTATTCCAAAGATGTTTCTTCACAATGGCCCAAGGTGAATTTTTTATTTAGATATTTCAGAAAAAAGGACAACAAACTGCAGCTATCATATGTCACATTGTAGGTCACATAGGTTCGTTAGCATATTTTAGATTGGAGCTGTTAAATTGAGGTATCATACCATAATAGTCCTTTACTGTCTGTGTACCCATTCACATTAGCCTAATCAAACGTAACTTTATTGTATTTTATATGTAGTGTCATATTTCATGCTAAATTCTTATTTAGTATTGTGACTTTAGTCAAGTAATTTTTGATATAGGGTGGTGATATCTTTCTTAATTATACCTTCACAGTAATCAAAACACCATTATTCCCATTTAATATTTCCTTAAGATGAAACCAGACACAATTATATGCGTCACAAAATATTGAGAAAGAAATTTTGATGTGGGTACCAGCAGTGTCTATTTAAGTTTGCATTTCATAAAGTGTTTGGGGAAACAAATTGCTGTTTCATACTCTTTGATATACGTTTGCAACTAGATTCCCATTGCGGTGTGGTCAGGACAATAAGTCATTTTTTAAAATAATTTTTAAAGAGGTTTGCTGTCATAGTTGACTTTAAGAGAAGAAAAAAGTATGCTGAAAAAGGACATAATTTTGTTCTTCCTATCTATCTGTGTTGATATGAACAAAACAATAGTAAATATGTTCAAGTGTGTAAGTATATATTGTAGAACAATTTTGTATGTGACAATGTGATGGAGGAAAGTGTTGTGAGGTTAAATGTGTGTTTTTATAAGATTTATAATTTCCAAATAAATTTCCGTCCAGATATTTGAGTGAGGCTGTGTTTTCGACCAAGTGCAATCTGTCCAATTCAATGAGGCCTTAATATAACCTTGATCAAGTTTATTATGTAAATATTTAGCAAGACAAATTAATATTGTATTCCTTTTTATTACAATGGGTGTAAATGGTTTGAATGAGTAATTGGTGAAATATAGAGAAACTATCTAGGGAGACAGAGGCTGTATATATTGAACACTTATTCTGTTTTAGTGAACCGTAAGTTTGATGAAATAAATTATTGTATTTATCAGAAAAAGAAATATTAGAGTGTATTATGTGTTTCTTTTGTCTTAATGTTATCTTAATTCTTCAGGAATGATCCTTTGGCTGTCTACACCCCCTCTGTATATCTGCCTCCTTTTTTCTCCCCTATTCTTCCTCTCTATCTGTCTCCAAGTCTCTCTCTTTTTCTTACAAAATTTACTAATCTCTGTGTTTGAACATTTCATTTTCATTTACTTAAAATAATTTATCTCTCTTGTGTTTGTTTTTCCATTTTCTGTCTCACCCCCCCCCCCCCTGCTCTCTCACATCGCTGCAAATACTCTGGTATCGTATGGAGAAAGGACTCGAGTCTCTTGCGATCTTTATTTTCTTACGATCTTTATTTTCTTACGAAAACTCTTTTCTTTTAATAGATGTATCAAGAATTTTTAAAAAGGTATTTATAAAGCATGACAATACGTTTGCTTATTTTTTGGTCTTAGACATTCAACTTTGCATATACATAAATGACAGGTGAATTGAGGGATAATTCTATGAAACATGACAATAACAGTTTTCAGTCCCCATGAATTATCTGTCATAAAACCGATCACTGAACCTCTCTATGTAAATGTTTGTATATAACTGTATTATAAAGAGTTGCGATGGAAGTAAAACGCATATATAAGTCGTGCAAAATCAATAATAAACTTGCGATGGATTCAAATCAATCTCGAATATTTACTTAAGAGACATGAGTTGGAATAATTTCAAATTGCGATAGATTATAATCAATCGCATCTTATAATAAGACGCATGTTTAGTATTCAAATTTATGAATACTAAACATGCTTTCAAATTAATGAGAGTGAGTAAAAAGCATATATAAGACGTGTGTAATCAATTCAACATTTGTGTTTGTGAACTTTGTGTATAAAAATTTGAAAATTTTCTAAAAATGTGTTAATGATAAAATATTTACTGGTGGAGATCGCTGTACAATATATTTCCTTCATATATTTCACTTTTGTCATCACTCTCTACAAATTACCTATTACATTTTCTGCTACAAATGAAACCATAAAAGAAATAGCAAAACTTTAATCTAACAGCCAGCATTACATTCTAGAGAACTATGTGGGGGGGGGGGGGGGGGGGTAGTAGTATACTATCATGTCGAAGGAGAAATGCATAAAGAAAATAATAAAAAGGCAGTCTGGCAGTAATGTGTGCTTTAAATCTGCAGGATTTTCATTTTATAGAGATATATACACAGTTAACTCTGCTTAACTCGAATTTGACAAGTTAAATTTTCCTCTATTCAAATCATTTTTTGTTTAACCAAACTACCGGTATTCAAATAGTGTGTCATTAATACTTCCGAAGTCAAAGTTTGCCTAAGTGTAACTATCGTTGTCATCCATACAGATTCGACTTAATGAGAGTCCACTGTATTATTTTGTTTTTCATTTGTTCACATTTTCTGTGCTAGTTGGATTTATTGTCCACTTATATATCCCATAGCAACGGACGCGCATTCAGATGCGGTAGCTTGTAGTCCGTGTAGTCTCCTTCGATCAGACCCTTTGCATTATGACCAGCATGCCAGCACTGATGAAATTCTCTGCTCAGGGGTATTTTACGGCTCATGAGATGGACCGGGACTTTCCGGTCGTCGATCACCAGTTCGGCTTTCACATCGTTGGCTTCGAGCGAGAGAAGTTCATCTTGAGGGCTTGAAACAAGGATTTTCCTCTTTCGCTGGAACTGACCTACGTGGTTAATGAAACATGTAATTGCAATATATAAATGTGTGGTACAAATACGGGATTGCTCACGGAAGTGCAACGGTCAGGTCTTTAAATAAAAGATGTTGTATTGCCCTTTAGGTGCCAAAACACGGGTCGGTCGGTCGGATTTAAAAAATAAAAAAAAATTAACTCCATCTTTTGGGCTGATATTTCTCAGTTTTGAATGCTTTAATACATTTTTTTTTTTAAAGACGGTAACAAAAACTTTTTTAATAAGCCGACCGTAGATTTCAAGATTTTGGGGTCGGTCGCAAAGGGCAATACAACATCTTTTGTAAATTTAGGCCTTACGGTTATCACTGCGAGTCAGATTAGGGGGGGGGGGGGGGGGGTAGCCAAGAGAGGGGAGGGGCCGATGACTTCCTTTCTATCCTATATACATCCCGTGTTATTTCCTGGGGAAATTGCATGAAAATGGTGATCAAGGGTAACCTTAATTTCACATTTTCGTCGGTCAAAATGTTGGTTTTGTTTGGATATAAAATTCAATCGCAACGTACATGTACATACAATGGCATCCAGATTTTATGATACGAAATTCATATTCAATGAATAACAAGAGTGCAAATAATTCCGGGGGAAAAAAAATCATTTTAACGGCAATTTCTTTATCCTATTGTGTATCCCATAGAAGTCATGTTCGGGCTACCCAACACATTTCTGTAATGTTTGCACATTTTGATAGGTGATGGAAAATTGCCTAAGGTTTATTTTTCGAAAGTCTTTGTGATCGTATGAGATAAATTTACCAACGAGACCATGAACATCTTCGGAGAAGCCCTTTCCCTCCTCGATGTAGAACCCAAGATAGTCCACTTGATGCCTCCTGGTACTGTCTCCCTCAGCCAGGAAGGTGTTTCTGTGCTTCACGCGGTGCACCATGATCACCAACACGACATCATCACCGTGCGCGATCACCACCTCGTGATTATTCCTGATATGGACGACGAAGTCCCCGACGCGGATGGAGAGGGCGTCATCCCAGCCGAGTTTGAACGCCTCGTTGTTGACCTCGATGGTGTCGGAAGTCAGAACGAGGTAGCGGTCTAACCCGAGAAGGACACCGATCTTACCGAAGTACGTACGGTTCTTCTTGGCACCGGGCAGTTCTTTCTCAACGGGGATGACGTAAGCAGACACCGATAAATCTGGAGTGAAACGGGGAGCAGGTAATGAAATAGGGAGTGAAATAGGGATTGGAACAGGGAGTGAAATAGTGGAGTGGAACAAGGAGTGAAATAGTGGAGTGGAACAAGGAGTGAAATAGGGAATGGAACAAGGAGTGAAATAGTGGAGTGGAACAAGGAGTGAAATAGGGAATGGAACAAGGAGTGAAATAGGGAATGGAACAAGGAGTGAAATAGTGGAGTGGAACAAGGAGTGAAATAGGGAGTGGAACAAGGAGTGAAATAGGGAGTGGAACAAGGAGTGAAATAGGGAATGGAACAAGGAGTGAAATAGTGAAGTGGAACAAGGAGTGAAATAGGGAATGGAACAAGGAGTGAAATAGGGAGTGGAACAAGGAGTGAAATAGGGAATGGAACAAGGAGTGAAATAGGGAATGGAACAAGGAGTGAAATAGGGAATGGAACAAGGAGTGAAATAGGGAATGGAACAAGGGGTGAAATAGGGAATGGAACAAGGAGTGAAATAGGGAATGGAACAAGGGGTGAAATAGTGGAGTGCAATTAGGAGTGGAGCAAGGAGAGAAATAGGGAGTGGAACAAGGAGTGAAATAGGGAATGGAACAAGGAGTGAAATAGGGAATGGAACAAGGGGTGAAATAGGGAATGGAACAAGGAGTGAAATAGGGAATGGAACAAGGGGTGAAATAGTGGAGTGCAATTAGGAGTGGAGCAAGGAGAGAAATAGGGAATGGAACAAGGAGTGAAATAGGGAATGGAACAAGGGGTGAAATAGTGGAGTGCAATTAGGAGTGGAGCAAGGAGAGAAATAGGGAGTGGAACAAGGAGTGAAATAGGGAATGGAACAAGGAGTGGAATAGTGGAGTGGAACAAGGAGTGAAATAGGGAATGGAACAAGGAGTGGAATAGGGAATGGAACAAGGAGTGAAATAGGGAATGGAACAAGGAGTGAAATAGGGAATGGAACAAGGAGTGAAATAGGGAATGGAACAAGGAGTGAAATAGTGGAGTGGAACAAGGAGTGAAATAGGGAATGGAACAAGGAGTGAAATAGTGGAGTGCAATAAGGAGTGGAGCAAGGAGAGAAATAGGGAGTGGAACAAGGAGTGGAACGAAGAGTAAATCGGGAAGTGAACACGGAGTAGAGCGGGGAGTGGAGTGGAAAGAAGGAGAGGGTTATTTTGTAATGTTCATAATTACGATTGACAGTTCGGGCTTATTGTTAAGCTTTGGAGATTGTATTAACGCATCCCGCAATAATTAGTTGACGAATTCGCTGCGATGATGATGGCATAGAGTGGACTCGATTAGCACAGTCCTAACAAGTTACACAAATTAGCTGTAAATTGCGATATTTAATAAAAAATGTTTTGCACAACCGTTAAAGATTTCTAGGAACAACAAAATCGCATTCAATCAAAAAGATTTTTATCATGTCAATGTCAGTATAAATCTGATGTGCGGCGCTACCTCCGGCAGGTCCAGGATCTTGTAAGGGGGAGGGTAATTTGCTCATTCGTATGCCAACTTTTATTTGAAGCAGGAGGGTCACGGGCCATTACGCCTCCTCCTCAAAAATGCCTACCCTCTCAAGTCAGATTACAGAACTATGACGACGGCCTTATTTCCTATAAAGTCTTGACATGTGATCTGAAATAAAGACGTTTTTATATTCATATGATTGACTCATTTTTTTACTGTATCGATCATCCTGTAGAGTATCTAGCGGTATTTTTTTTCTTCATCGAAATCTTTGCTTGCCCTCGTCTCCTTTATTTCATTCTGTCCTATAAATCTATATCATCCACACATAATCTTTATCAAAAATCACGATTGCTAATTGAACACTTAATGATATTATTTTGTCACATGATCGCTAGAAGGGAACACCTTTATCAATCTTAATTCCTTGATATTAGTATACATACAGTTAACAAATAAATTATTCATACCCTTGCTAAGCTTTGTAACTTTTGAGTATGTGAACAATTGATATGTCCCAATTTTAGTATCTTGAAAATGTTAAATCTAAAACTATTAAACAAAGGCCCTAAAGTTCAGCCAATAAATCTTTCCTTCTTGAGTTACGAAAAACACAAAAAACATCAAATGTACAAGGGGTATGAACAATTTAGCTGTTAATTATCTGTAAATATATACACCAAGTTCAGGCAGCTTTGAAATTCTCATTATTTCCTGCTGGAATGTTTAATATCGCAAAGATTTTCAAGAAATCGTCTTAAGGCAAGTTAAAAAACCACCTTTTCTTTAATCTATGGAAATGTGCGAATAGGGCAATGACATACTTTGTGCATGTGTATAGGCACTACAGTAGGATATTGAAGTGATTAAATTAAAGATAAAGGTGAGTTCTGGTAATGCGATTGCATTGTGAAAGAAAAGGTGTGGAATGGATCAGAAAAAGTTGATCATATAGCATGTAAGTATTGGTGTGTACTGCAAGATTCTGGAGTCATCAAAATCATCCTAAATTTGGCCCAGTCTTGGTAAAGTAACAATCACTGTACACAGAAAGATGTATATGGGACAACACAAATGGTGTCGGGGCTAGTACTACCTTGATTTCCTTATCTTTCTATGCTCATTACTCAGTCAGTATACATTTTCTTCCAAAATTGTTTGGCACATGAAATTTATTTGTAATCTTGAACATTCAGTGTAAGTCCCCGGTGTAAGTCTTGTTAGATTCTGTGAGAATTCATTTTCTTTTTTTTACCAGAACTCAAGTTTATCTTTAAGCTGGTTTCTTGAAAGTCTTTGCGATCGTGTTCAAGTTAGTGAAATCATGAACAAATTATGACTTACTGAGATTCGGATCATTCAAGAGATTGAATACATCACCAGGATCGCCATTGATATCAAAACACACCGTCAAACCAGAATGAGGGATCTCGACCATGAAGTGAGGATCACTGTCGGCTGGTTTTAAACATCAGGAAGATATAAAAATGAACCAATATTTCAGTCAGTTTTTTTTTATAGATTATCCTTACTTATATGTACATTTCAAAATGTAAGGTAAGGTATGCCCGTTGAACACGAGACGTCACTCCGATTGGTTATATTAGGGACTTTTAGATTTGCACGTCAACAGCTTTGACTGCAACATGTGACGTCATTTTAAGGCACTGCGCATGCGTCACGTCGTCTCAGTCGGCGATCGAGAATGCGTCAACCTTGATTTTCCTAAATCTAGTACGGTACTAGTATGCCGCGTGCGCATAAAATATACAGTTCCTCAGGTAGACAAAGGAACATCCCTTCACTGCTATTATGTAAAAATGTGTAGAACAGGTGTCACATGCATATTCACCTGTTCTACACATTTTTACATAATAGCAGTGAAGGGATGTTCTTTTGTCTACCACAGCAATTGTTGAGGGTAGAATGAGGACTGTATATTTTGTCCTCTTTCTTTGTCCGTCATGTTCATAGTGTTACTTCCTGCATCTATGTATATCGTCGAGTGCAATCTAAAAGATTTCTAATTGTAGTCAACATGGGCAGTTGAGTACGTTGACACGCATGATCAGTCGGCGTTCGTCGTGTTCTCGTCCACTCAATCTAAAAGTCCCTAATATGACCTGTGCAAATCAACACAGCATTGTTTGCCGTACACTAGGAAATCAATTGTTGTGTGTACGACGTCAACCTAACTTTGTGCGTCAAACATTGCACTAATCATTGACGCAGTCCTTCGTCCGAGACTGCATCCATCAGTCATTGACGGAACCCTGCGTCAGATAAAACACACCACTTTGTGCATCGGGAAATACAATGTCATCGTATAGGATTTTAATAGTGAGAATTCAAATATCAAAGAACAACTTACCGAAAGAAGTTGATTGGGCGTTTGAGAAAGATGATGCAGCTGGGATGTTTGGGGAGGGCACTGAGGAAAAAAGAGAACAAGAAAAGTTATTATGAAATAGACAAGTCGTTCTCATTATATTGTGTATTCCAGTCAATTATATTCTTATCAGCCTCGTAGTTCTCTATAAATGTTATCAAAAACTTTCGAATGGTTATTCTCATAATAATTGACTCATTACACGGACATACTTCGGGAATTAATCCAATGTATTATTAATCATTCTATTTTTGTACCTAACAATTACTAAAAGTTTAAGATGACGGGAATCGTACAATTTCAGCCTATTGACTAACACTGCAATAAGCAGACATAGAACATGCTTATAATGAAAAGTCAGTACATCTGAAGAAGAAAAAGCTATCCGCTGGCGTAAGGGCACGTCATTTTCACCAGGGGGTTGACACGCCTCTAGAATATAAACTTCTGGTTCTAAATTTTGCTACCGTAAAGGGTGAAGCTTGCGAGCAAAAACAAGAACAGCAAAAAAAAAAAAAAAAAAAAAGATTGGTAAAGATGTTACTTCGAGATTAAAAGACACGTCATTAGCTTTATGAATTCAATATCCTTGCTCTTCGATACCTGACATATAGGTGACGGTAGCTTGAAAAGTGGTATTTTCATAATCTTGATCGGGGGTTGCAGCCCCCCCCCCCCCCTGTTCAGCCCATATTGGTGATTCGATTTTTGCTTCAGCGACTAGTTGGTAAAAAAAAAAGATGTGAGGTGATGTGTTGTGATTGAGTTTGAGGGTAAGTTAGGAAAAGGGAAGGTGTCGGGTGCAGGGTTGACGTGGAGTACCCAGTTAGCATTATAAATATTATTGATGCGGAGCAAAAGTGTCGCCGGAGTATTTAATCCGTTTACCTGTTTTACGTCTATTAGGTGGATTCGACGGTGGCGGGGGTTGCTGCGTCCCTTTATCAGCGTCATCGTCTTCACCATCTGCCTCAGTATCGCCACCCTGGACATCGCGATCAACGACATCGGGTTTGACCACCAGGAGAGAGGTCAGAGGTGTGACGAAATGGTATTTGAGCGAGAGGTTGAGGGCCCGTTCGGAGAGCGCCACCTTTGTTTCACGATTGTTGGCTGTCTTTCGTTGATCCAGAAGATTCTTGATGGTGAGGTAGGCCCAGAGACGCTCGGTGAAGTCGCTTACCCCGTGCCCATCTACGTAGCGCTCTTTCTGTATTAGAGTAGCAAAAATGGAATGCAAATATTACTTTCTTCATTACTATTTTATTATCCTGAATTATTTTCTTTATCTGTTTGTCTATAGGTTGTGTTTTCGTTCCTTTAAAAACATTTCCTTTACTTTACTCCAATTGTATTTTTGATTTTATTAAAACAAAGATAAAGACTTCCAAGTACAATGTGTCATTGTAGGACTAATGTTCACATATTCCAATAAGGAAACACAATGCTTCTGCACTTGCCTAGGTTTTTTTTATTGTTTATTGTTTATCGTAGATGTTAAAGTCTTAGATTAAAAAAAGTATGATATAGGTCTATGCATTCACCATCATAGCAAAGCACATCGTATAGAGGCACACTTACCTCTATCGTCGTGGACGAGTTGAATTGAATGTCAACATCGAAAGACCTGGCAGTTATGACCACGCTAAGCTCTAAATCGGTGCTCTTATTTCCATCATCCCCAACCGAAAAAGTTTCAGAACGTTGTCGTGATGATTTCACTGTCCCGTTGCTTGTCAAATTATATCCGTTCAGATTTTCTCCCTCAGCCTGAACGCCTTCATTTTCAATGGCGTCTTTCGGGGATTCCCAGACGGCTTTAATTACATCATCAGACAGTTTTCCCGCCACCGTTATCTCGGTGCCGTCGAAGAAAGATATAAACCTGGACTTCGTCAGAGAATTCTGGTCTACCAACCGGTTGTTGTACTCCATGTTGATATTGAAGAGGAGTGGATTGGCAACCTCGTCGTAGAAACCTTTCATCTGTAAGCTCGCACTCGAGTCTTCGTAGACTTTACGAGCCAGGGCTTGGTTGGAAAGCGAGAGTTTTTCCAGAAATGGAAAGTCGACTCCGTTTCCGAATCCGATGCTGAACAAAGACAACCTGCCGCCGATGACGCTGGTGACGTCTCTAACGATAGCGGCCGCGTTACCCACTTGTCCATCGGTTAGCATGATGATCAAGGGCATGGCGTCACCAGTGTCATGTTCCAGTAGAATTTCGACAGCTTTCATCAAGCTATCGTATATATTTGTACCTTCATTTAATCAATAAAGGAATAGAAAGAGAATTTTAGAACAATAAGATTTAGAACATAATCTTCCAAATTCTTTTAAAGTTGTCACATATAAGCTGGTAGGCCCATTTTTTCTTCTTCTGAGATTGCCTTAATTTGATGGCAAACTACATGAATTAACATCAAACAGGACCGAAAGAAAGTGTCTGTCAAGTCAGCAACCTAAAATACATCACATTCTCACATTATGAGAAGGGCATGGTGGCTCAGTGGTTAGAGCGCCCGCCTCATGAACAGGAGGTCGTGGGTTCGAACCCCGGCCGAGTCATACCAAAGACTTATAACAATGGGACCTTCTGCCTTCTAGCTAGGCGCCCAGCATATTAGATTGGAGAAGGGTAGTAGTGACATATTATGTTATGCAGGGCCCCCGCCGGAAGAGCAATTTCATAACTGAAGTGGCTACCCTGGGTAAATAAAACATTATTATTATTTATTATTATTTATATCAAAACAGAAGTTTGATGAACAATACCCCACCTCCACCGACGGAGAGTCCGTTGACATGTCGCTTAGCTGCTGCAATGTTGTCACTGGTAGCTTCTACCATCTGATCCTCCCTCCAGACATGTGCGTAGCTAGAAAACAAGATGATGTTGATCCGGTCTATTGGGCGGACATCGTCCAAGATCGTAGTGAACGCTCTCTTGGTCTTCCATGGAGAAAAAGAATCGACGTTCATTTTGGAAGACGTATTATGTATTTCTATGTTAAGCCTCGGTCACAAATGCCATTGGCATTACGAACTGCTACGAACGCCGTACGAACGATTTTCAGACAATGGAAATTCGGGAAGACATTGGAAAAACAGGGAGATTCGTACGAAATCATCGTTCGTATGAACCTTTGTGACCGTAGCATTAGTGAGGAAAGAATTATTTATAACAACCGTGTATTATGAACTTTGATCTTTCAAGGTGGAAATTCGTACGCGCTTACGATTTGAGGGAATCTTTCTTATTTCACCTCAAGGAAAAAAGACTCTGTATTTCAACTTTAACTTGTTGTTTAAACTCGTTGGGCTAGTTCTCCCTTTAATGAAAGCCCAAAAAGCTAACTTCCGAAGACAATAAAAGCAGCTTTAAATCCCCCAAGAACTCCTAGATGATTCACCTCCTCCCAGAAGTAAACTTTGACCAGGTGTATCGACGTTTATCCCCTGTTTTAATAAATATTTTGAACTAATGCAGGGGCGTGGATGTGGGGGTGCGTGCTACCTTTGAAAGGCGAACAAGAGAACGTTAATTAAAAAACTACGAGAAAGAAATAGAAAATAGAGAAGAAAACGAACAAAGAAAATAACATTAAATTTCATTTTGACCAAAAGATATACTTTCTTCATGCCTATCGCGATCATACATCACAGATAACATGTTCTTTCATGCATCCCATTAAAGATAGGTCTACTTTTCCATTAACATTGAGATAAATTAAGATTTGGGGCCATTGTGTCATTCAGATCAGTGGTGAATTGTGAGGGGATGACATCACAATTTCTGACCGCATTGCCAATATATCTCAAAAAGTTATGATTTTCATAATTTTAAATATTCATAACTTTTCTCATTTGATGTCCGATTTTTCTCGAACTTTCACCGAATTGTTTCTCTAATTTTTATGCTTCTACCAAAACCAATTTAATACCAGGAAGGACTTCTAGTGCAAACTAGGCGTGCCATTATATTTAATACCTGTCTTGTTTTCTGGCCATACATCGAACCACTGACGTCGATTACGAAGATGACGTTCTTCCTTGTATTTGGCAGTCCATCGGGTGAGAAGTAGTGAACGAAGTAGCCATCGACAATCTGCAGGAGAATGATAGAAAGGGAGAGAGAGAGAGAGAATCCCGGGAGCTATGTAAGCAATAATATTCCCTCGCCCGGTAGCTTGTGAAAATAGTCGTCCCGAGATCTAACCAGGATTGTTGGTCAAGTCAATAAGATCGTTTTTGTTTTTATTCTTGTTTTGTTTAGTTTAATATGCTTTAAATTCTACATCGACAATAGTTTGCACGTTTGCCTGTCTTTCTTGCTGAAATGACATCACTTGATGTTGTATATTATGTTGTTTTTTTTCTTTCTTTGAATGTGGAATTTTTTAAGTAACTCTACAAAATGCAGCAATATTAACGGAATATTAAAAAAACACCGCCACTTTTTTCGAGATGAGATCTTGGCCACAGCAATAATACATTTTCTTTCAAGGCTGTGCCCCTCGGGAAAAGTATTATTACAGTCGTGCAACTCGACCCTGTGAATTCAACAAGAGTCTCTCAAGGCTGTGTGTTTTCCTATACTATGAGATGTCACATGTAGATGATATACATTCAAACCTACCTCCAGGTGACCAGCTTTCTTAGTATGGATGACGTCATACGTGACGATGAAATCTCCCATGATGCCTCGTCTGGAGGTGGTCAGTAGCCCCTCCTCTTTCGAGTCAAAGAGAATGTGAGCTGTTCGAGGCTTGATGTCCAGGGTGGTCATGCTGTTCAGCTTGGCCCGGTCATTCTTGTCTGATATCAACCAAGTAGAGGTGACTTCCTTCAAACCTTGAGGTTCGGTGATGTAGACCTCGACGCTGACATTTGGAACCACCTTCATGCAAAATTAACGTTGTTTAACCAAATGAAGTATGTACGATTAATTCTGAATATCATATCTAAAATGACGATTTGTATCATCCATTCCAAGAGACCTTCAGTCTACAAACACATTTCTTATTATCATCGTTATGGCTTTTATACCAAGCTGTCAGATAATCGCGTTATAAAATTTCCTTTCCCGCCACATTGCGTAGGTCACCATTTACCAATTTACCTCTCCCGGGTTGAGAACGGCAAATGCAGGTTAATGTCTTGCCACATAACGTTCCTGCCGCAACAACATTAATTTGAACTCTGACAAAATGTTTAATAGCCCGTTGACATGTCCACTCAACCACATACGACTTATAAATATTTCGCAATGGGTACGTGTACTGAGCATTGCAACGTTTACAACAAGTACTGTTTCGACCAACGTCTTCAACTGAAGAAGAGCTTTTAAGAAACATGCTCTCTTCGACTGGGACATCCCAGTAGCCTAGACTGACAGCCCGGCCACGAGATCGAAAGTTTGAGAGAACCCCCGCCCCTGCCCCCGAACCTTCTTGGGAAAAAAGTCGTTTGAAGGTACACGGTACTCCCGGTTGTCGGTCTTGTGGGCTGTAGCCCCTACAACAACCGCGCCTACGTCTCACCTGACCCGGTTGAATGCTGATACGGTTTTCAAACATGCCGCCCTTCCTGATCAATAGTTGCTGGTAGGTGAGGTTGAAGAGGACCGAGGTTTCAGCCGCCACTGTCACTGATACCTTGAACTTTGTATCTCCTGGTTTACTGTAATTATTAGGCAATCAATCAAACATCAAAATATCTTTATTCAGGTTTTTCTGTCGTGGAGAATTTCGTAATTAAATAAATTGATTTGCACTTTGCGTCTCAATATATCATCTTTAAAATTAAAAAAAACAAAAAACAAAAAACAATTATTAAAATATAAGTGTGTGTTTTATCAATAGTAAATATCTTACCTAAAGATCCCATGATCAAAACTCCCTAATATCAGTCAGGTGTAAATGGCCTTTATGATGTAGTGTGAACAATTGATAATGGATATGCGTACTCCCCCCCCCCCCCAATCCCCGCCAATCAGCCACTCATTTCTTCCACCAATTATCACGTTTAGAAGCGTCTTAAAGAACTTGGGATAGCATGGATGGGACGGAATACCCCCTCAAGAAAGAGGGGGGGGGGGAGGTTCCTGTCTTATCTTTAACGAAATATATATTTGAAGCATTTGAGGTCAATTTTTTGGGATAATCTTACCTTTGTTTGACCTGTCCAGCTGTTTGTCCTCTTGCTTTGGCTTTGTTGTACTCCTTCTGAGCTACAGCCTTGGGCTTCACTTGCGAATCATAGACGACGTCATTGATGGTCCTGTAAAAATGATTTCGTCATCATCGAAATATAAGATGATAGAATGTTTTCATGATTTTGCGCCTCCTTATTTGATAGAGCTGTTAACATTGTACACACCTTATAGAAATCTTCGTTCTAATAAGAAAAAAAAAATGTTTGTTATTCCACCAGTGATGACCAGGTCATATGGTGAACGCAGCTTCGGTCACACTGCCTCAACTTTATGGAACAATCTCCCGGAACATCAAAAAAAAAAAACATTGACACCATTGTTAGGTTTAAGATTGCTTAAAAGACGCACTTATTTAACATCTAATTCATCCATTTGTGTCTGTTATACCCAGTACATATTGTCTTTGTATTTTGTTGTGTTTTTCTCTAGAGCGCTTAGGGACATGTTTTTAATACTATGTGTTATGCGCTATACAAGAACGGTTAATTATTATTATTATTATAGAATCGAATCCCTTTATACCAACACTTGTAAGTTCCTCTTTTTCGTGTAAACCTCCCACTGGTTGCTAGCTCTGAAACAAAGATGTTATACTTGGTCTGTCGGTATTTTCGATGATGTTCTTTTCGTAGACACCCCACCCCTCCCCCTCTCCATCATAGCGTATCTAAATATGGATACACGGGGGCAGAATCCATCTAAGGGGGTGGGGAGATGTTTGTGGGTAGCCCCAAATTAGAGTGACATAATTATTCCAAGTGCGAGATTCTCTTTGGGGCCTTCCAACTAGGGAGAGATGTTTGACTCCATCCCTGGATACCAGTGGTGTTGGCGAGGGTCCAGCCCCCGAGAGACACTGTTTCCAAGGGGTGGAGGTGGGGGGGGGGGGGCGCTAGGGGTCGGCATTACAATTTGGATGAAAATACGATAGAACATGGTTAGTGAGTTGGAAATGTAGGAATTTATCGTTTCGTGTTTTTATCCCCTCTCCATTTCTTTTCATCTTTTTCACTTTTTTCCCCTCCATCCGATTTCGGGAGAGGAGGCACGTACCCACAGCCTACCTCATGTAACTACGCCACTGCTGGTATGTCCTTTGATGCATATAACAATCCGGAAGTTCATCGAACGTAAAACGGCATGATATTGGACTTGGTTCTAGGACACCTACCCCTGGACATCCACCCCCGGATAACCACCCTCCGATTTCGGGAGAGGAGGCACGTACCCCCAGCCTACCTCCTGTAACTACGCCACTGCTGGTATGTCCTTTGATGCATATAGCAATCCGGAAGTTCATCGAACGTAAAACTGCATGATATTGGACTTGGTTCTAGGACACCTACCCCTGGACATCCACCCCCGGATAACCACCCTCAGTCAACTACCCCCTTGAAAAACTACCCTCTAGGGCAACCACCCCCTAGGACAACTACCCCCGGACAACTATCCTATGGGGTAGTTGTCCAGGGGTAGATGTCTAGGATGTAGTTGTCCGGAGAGTAATTGTCCTATAGGAGTAGTTGTCCGGGGGTAGGTGTCCGGATACGATTGGACTTACATAGAGAAGGCACTGATAAAAGCATCCTCTGGGAGGATGAGTGTGAACGTGGCCTCCGCCGCTTTCTCATCCAAGTTCTTGAGCACGCTTCGCACCTCTGTGCTTGCAAAGCGAGCCGTTATCTTAGAAGTCACCATCATCTCCAAAATCTCTGGTTTGGTCTGGAAGAGGAATGGAAAACAGAAAACAATATTACTTGAGAAGGGAGATGAGAAGGATGAACGCAGGAATGATCGTCGTCATCATCATCATCACCACCATCATCACAGTCGTCTTCATTATCATCATCTCCATACTAATGTCACGGCCGCATACGATATACCGGTTTTTTAATTTTTTTTTAAATAATTGTTTTTAAAGAAAAAAATATCAAATATGGTGCCAGAGAGTGATTAGGGAGGGGGTCTTCTCCAGATAAGAGGGATTATAATGTATCTGGGACCTGGGCAGCCCGGCGTGTTTGAGACCTTTGGCTAGGTCTTAATCATATTGCATTTGCTCCTGGGTCTTCAAACAGCGAGGCTGTATGCAGGGGCGGCCGAGCGACTTTCAAAGTGGGTGGGGGGGCACCAACAAAAAAGGGCACTTTCTGGAAAAAAGGGCACCTACAGTGGGAAATCTCAAAGCGAAAATATACAATTTTTAGACATTGGTATATACCCCTACATTGTGATTACATTATCAGGGATGATTTCAATATTTTTTTCTCTTCATACATCATACAAGATATCGCTTAAGCATCAAACTTTACAGTTGGGTGTGATGTCTGAATATGCATTTACGAGCGAGCGAAGCGAGCGAGAAAATTTTTAAAGATCTGTGAGGTCGCAGTGCGAAAAATAACTTCTTATAAAGAGGAAAAAAGCCAATCGTGATGGGGTTATAAGCACATTCTCATAACGGAAGACTGAAAAGACCTTTGATAAGTAACATAATTATATAATCTTTAAATGCGAGCGAGCGCAGCGAGCGAACTTTGGGGGAAACTGCTCTTAGTCGCTTTAAATAAGGGGCACGTTTAATGATTACATGAAAAGGGGACAATTATCGAAAGGGATAAGACACTTATTAGAAAAGAAAAGGAGCACGTGTATAAGTACAAAGGATAATTATAAGAGGTGAAAATGAGGCATTTTTTCACTTGAAAAGAGGCACTCACCAGTGATGAAAAGGAGGCGTTTACGAAAATGGGAAATAGGCATTTGTTGACGGAAAAGGGGCACCCATCAGATTTTAATAGGGTCATTTATAAGAGGTGAAAAGGGGATAGGTCCCTTATTAGAAAGGAAAAGGGGCACGTATCATTATTAAAAGGGGAATTATCAGAGTTGCAAAGGGGCACTGACCAGATATGAAAAGGGGCACTTATGAAAATGTAAAAGGGGCACTTATAATAAAGGAAAATGTGCATTTGTTGAATGAAAAGGGGGCACCGTTCAGATGTTTAAAAGGGGCAGTTATGAGAAGGGGAAGGAGCTCTCTCTTTTTAATGGGGGCACTTATCATAAGGAAAAGGGGCACTTATTAGAAAGGGAAAGGGGAAGTTATGAGAAGGGGAAGGAGCTCTCTCTTTTTAATGGGGGCACTTATCATAAGGAAAAGGGGCACTTATTAGAAAATAAGAGGGGCACATGTTAAAATGAAAGGTGCGCTCATCCGAGTTTAAAAAAGGGGTAGTTATTAAAAGGAGACGGGGCACTTCTTACAAAGGAAAAAAGGGGAAGTTGTCAAAGTAAAAAGAGCACCTCTCAGTTTTGAATAGGGCAATCATCAGAGGTGAAGGGGGCACTTATTAAAAGTGAAAAGGGGCACTTCTCGTACCTGAAAAGAGGCACTTAATAGAGATTAAAAAGGGCACTTATTCAAGATAATTTCAAGATTCATGAGAATGGAAAATGAACATTTATTTCAAAGGAAAATGGGAACATGTCGAAGGAAAAGGGGCACGTGTCAAAAATAAAAAGGGCACTCGTCAGAGGTGAAAAGGGGAAAGGGGCACTTTTACTAAGTAATAGGTGCACTTGTCATAGTAAAAGGGGCACCTTTCCTATGTAAAAGGGGCACTTCTTACAAAATAAAAGGGGCACTTTTCCTATGTAAAAAGGGGCATTTTGGGGGTATCTGAAAAAGTAGGGGGGGCACTGTGCCCCCCTGCCCACCCCCCCCCCCCCCGGAGGGCCGCCTCTGGCTGTATGCACCACTGAAGGAAAGTGGTGATAACGAGGAGAAGAGATGGAATAAGACAGTGGGGAAGAGAAAATAGTCATAAGAAATGAATGTACTGTTTATAATTAAGAAATATTGATTCATATTGAAATATCGCTTGCAAGGACACAACCCATTTTGAGAGAGATCTGTGTGTATGTGTGCGTTCTGAAAAAATTATACTGAAATGAAGAACAGAATGTTAATCATACACACATAAACATTAATGTGACCATGGGCATAGCACATGTGCACAGACTGTATAATGGGGTTGTCGACGAATTCGCTGTATCACTTGACTTGTAGAGAGACACATACAGAAAGATGAGAGAGAGAGAGAGAGAGAGAGAGAGAGAGAGAGAGAGAGAGAAAAGAGAGAGAGAGAGAGAGAAAGAGAGAGGTGTGGGGGGGGGGGGTGAGTTGGAGTTAGCACGGGATTGCGATAGACTATCCATCTCAAGCTTCGCACATTAGTTTATGTGAATTCTGAAAGGTATGGATATATTTTGGCACACAGTCATGTACTGTAAAGGAACCAACAAAAATCAGTTCCTTCCGGGAACGTAAACACCACTTCAAAGGAGATGATCGTGTGCCATGAGGCAGAAAAGTGCCATGTGACGCCATTGCCATTGCATTGCGATGCTGATAAAGTGCACTGCGACTCCAATAAGATGCACCGATTTGTGGCAGTGCCTTAAATAAGTTTGGGAAAATGGGGTTCTATCTTCAGATTTTATTCTACTTCGGACTTTTTTTCCTGAAATAAAAACACAAGTATGTGAGAATACTTTGGCACACATGCACCGCAAAGGAAGAGAAAGGATTAACCAACACAAGTTAGTTCCTTCCGGGAACGTAAACAACACTTCAAAGGAGATGATCGTGTGCCATGAGGCAGATATTAGAGCCATGCGACGCCATCAATATAAGGTGCACTGCGATGCTAATAAAGTGCACTGCGACTCTGATAATATCATTAGTGCACCGATTTGTGGCAGTGCCTTGAATAATCATTTTGAGAAAATGGGGTGCTATCTTCAGACTTTATTCTACTTTGGCCTACATTCTGTTGCGTCATCAGAGGGAGTGACAAACTTATGACTAGGTAAAATATTGGGGGACACTATTCAACCCATAATCGGAAAAGCGATAATTCACTAGCCCTCCTAACCCTGAAGGGGGTGGGGCAAGCGAGGTGGGAAAAAAAGCTTTGCCTAGCCCCATGTCTTCTGATACCACTCTCATAATATATGCTAGTAATAGTGCGCCTCCCCGCCTACGATATATTACAATAATTCCATGGTTAAGGACTTCCATCTACAGTGCACATGTAGAATTCCGAAGGAGTCGCCCCTTTTGGGGAAATTAATCTTTTCGGGGGGGGGGGGTATTTTTTGAAAATCACATCGCAGTAATCATATCGGGAGAAAATGCTCTCGCTTACTTCTACTATACGCTGCAACAAATAGTACATATTACGTACATACTACACGTCATAACAACCATGGGGCATATCAATCAGTTACCTAGATTTTCAACTTTCGACTTTGTTTTGTGGGCTTTTTTTTGTCCAACTTTGTTTCTGCAACCTTTCATACCTAACAAACAGCCTCAGTTTTCTTGTCTATGTGTTGTGCCTGTAAATTGAATGTTAATTTCCCCTAATGACTTTGATAATAATCTGACAGTTTGAATTTTCATTCAATATGTTGTAGTTGTTGTTGTTTTATTGTTGTTGTTGTTGTCGTTGTTGGGTACTTTTAGCCATACCTCTTCAGTATTTTTGTATGGAAATCAATACAAGCTAACGAACTTAGTGATCTCGGCTCTGTAAGTATATACTAAATGGAAGAAAATATTGGTATTCACTGAGTGTGCATAATTCTTAGAATTTGGAAAAGTTGTTCAACAGGAAAATCTGCCTGCTCTATAGACGGATTGAGTAGAAAAATGAAGAAAAAAAACCCCCCAAAAACAAACAGTCACTCACGACCGTGTGGGACTAATGATCATTTTCAACGCGACATTTAATTTGAGGACTTACGTTCAGTCGCAAGTCTTTATGTGACCTGGGCCCTCTTGCATAAAAGGTTGCGTTTAATCGCAACCCAAAAAATTAAACGCAAGTCCCAAATTACTCGATCCTGATTGGTTGAAAATCAAGTTGCATTTGATTTTTAACTTTTTATGAAAGAAGGCCGTGGGCCTGTGATTACCTGCAATTGAGGAGTTTCGCTGATATGAAGTTCATTTTGCGTTCCTGAAGGCCCTGCTCCCGATCCCGATCCGGATCCCCCAAACAATCCCCTCTTCTCACGATCCAGGAAAACATCATCATCCGAGAAACCATCTTGTGAAGAGAAAGAGAGAGGGGGAGAGAGAGAGAGAGAGAGAGAGGGGGAAGGGGGGGGGGGAGAAAGACAGGGATACAAAGAGAGACCAAAGGAGACAATAATGATATTGAAAAGGTGTTAGAGAGAGAGAGAGAGAGGGGGAGAGAGAGGGGGTGGGGAGATAGGTGACAGGAGGGTTGAGAGAGAGAGATGGCGGGGGAGGGGGGGGGGGTTGAGAGAGAAAGTTAGATAAAACAAATATATTGAGAAATGGAGGAAAAGCGACAGAGGGAGTGAGAGAGGGAGGGAGAGAGAGAGAGATAGAGAGAAACAAAGAGACAGAGAGAGAGAGAGAGAGACAGACAGAGACGGGAAAGCAAGAGAGGGAGACAGAGAGAGAGAGAGAGAGAGAGAAGGGAAAACAAGAGAGGGAGGGAAGGCAAATGTTAATAAAGAAATGGGACGTGAGAAAAACGCATCAAAATTCGGGGGGTTGAGTAAGACTGAAACCCTTGTTAAACGTCAGATTAGCATATTCATAATTTCACCTTATATTTCCTGTAGGCTACTTTTTTTCCATTTGTTAATCCAAACTCTCACATTAATTTTACTCAGAAAAAAGAGGTAAATCAATATTTCAAGCAAGTGTCGTTGACCTCTGGGTATCAAAACTCCTTCTTTCCCAGTGTCATCTGCTTATGGAACCAGCTCCCTACCATGCACTGTAACAGCAGCTTCTTCTCTGGAACAGTACAAGAGGCAGCTGGTTGGGGTGACTCTGCGTCAAAACTAGCTGGAGAAGGAGTTATTTGTACTCGCACAATAAACACTTTTGAGTTTTTACTACTCAATTCTAAAACCGTTTGGGACCTTCTTTTTGAAGGCTCACACAACGCAGCATGGCACACTCGTTCACAGCACTACACAACAGTACGAAAATACTCTACCCAGAGGACTGCACTTGCACTAGAAGAGGAAGAAGAAGAAGTGATAGCTTACTTACCATAAATTGTGTTGAATACTACATACTCATCAGCCAAGTCTGCCTGGTGGATGACATCGGTTGGTGAGGCAGTACTCATACCTATAAACACCAAGATCATCACCGCGCCGCTCACCATTTTTGTAGTTTTGTAGAAAATTCTTTTCTCTAAATCCTTGAACTAGAAAAGAGCAAACAAGATAATTAAGCGCCAGCTACACAGTCCTCAAGCGCTTGCCAATCACTACTAATTAAATTGACGTGTTGCTTCGTTTACAAAGTATTTATTATAAGTTTTGAAGGGGGCGTTAGTTTGCGGTAACTCGCAACTTACTGATATCCGCGATCATTGGAGAACTACAATCTTTACATGTAAATATAATCCTCATTAACATAATCAGCTAATGACCGAAAGGTGGTAAGCTATATTGCTATATAAGGTAATATTTGATTAAAACGATCCAGTGTATTGTAACAGCTTTTTCATGCATAAGTGGGTGCTACTATAATAACGAGATAAATGTAGGTATGTTTTTAAGTCGTTACACCTTCTGTCACTCTTTTTAACGTAATGTTGAGACCCCCAACCCTCCACCACTTTGAGAACATATAGTTTTAATTCAGTATACACGTCGATCAATATTTTGAATGTTCAAGATCTCCAATTGGCGTAGCGTATAGTTAGAGAGAGATGGGGGAGAAGGGCGATGAAAATGTAAAGAGCAGAGCGAGGGGATGGCCCAGGAGGAGACGGGGTCGCGCGCCCCCTTCTCTCTGTCTCTCTGTCTCTTGACATATACTTTTTTTTCCTTTTTTTTTGTGGCCCTGATAAGGGCCGTTGAGGTTTCAAGATTTGCCGGGAGCAAACTCTAGCTTGATTTAGCGGTTTTCTTGGGAAGTAGCACGGCTTGGATGTTGGGCAGAACACCACCTTGAGCGATCGTCACCCCACCCAAAAGCTTGTTGAGTTCTTCATCATTACGCACAGCGAGTTGAAGGTGGCGTGGGATGATCCTAGATTTCTTGTTGTCGCGGGCAGCGTTGCCTGCGAGTTCCAAGATTTCAGCAAGCATGCACACACATACGCACACACACGCACACACATACGCTCCTAAACATACGCACTTACACCCCACACACACACTCTCTCTCACTCTCACTCTCTCTATCTCTCTTTGCATAGCTCTTCTTTGTCTCTCTTTCTGTTTTTTCTCTCTCTCTCTCTCTTCTACTCTCCCCCTCTCTCTCTCTCTCTCTTCTTCTCTCTCCCTCTCTCTCTCTCACACTCCCTTTGTCACACACCCACACACACTTCTATTTTACATTCGTTATTTTTTTTAATAATAATAACCACATTAATTTATTCATTGCTTATGTATTCATTCATTTATTACGTATTTTTCAATTTTTTCTTGGGGGCGGTCAAGTTTCCACCCGTACCCCTAAGCTACGCCATTGTACAATGTCTATATCGATTTGTTTTTGTTTAAACACAGTCACATGCGTTTGTTTGTATAGAGGCGTGAAGAATGGTCTCTTTGAACTAGAATACTCATAAAGTGTGCAATAAATCAAGATACTATAGTTGTATAATACTATACCTACTGTTATACGAGGAGTGATGGTTGTGTCACGAGGTATCAGCTTTAAACAACTTATCTCAAATCACTCATCAAACCGAGATGTCAAGCTCCTCAAATGGCAAAATGCATCGAGTTGATTATATTTTAAAGGTAATTTAATTTATTAATCTACTTTACAAGAAGAACACGTGTACCATCAATGCATCTCTGATGTGCTTCTTAAAGAAGTGTTTCAGAAAATGACATGGATTTTAATGTTTGTCCTGTAATTATAAATATGATTTCAGTAACTCTATTAATATTTTGTTCATTTACATTATATTGAAATGACCCGATGCTGATGTATACTTAGACAATCTTACTTTTATGTTTCGGGCATATCTCGTCGATTCCAACTTTTCTGTCCAAATCCACATTTTTCGACCATTCTACATTCTGCGGAGTGCTAAAGAAAATACGTTTGGAGGTAATATCCCTATGACTAAATTAGGCTATATTTCCTGTTTTCTCCCTATAATATGCCGCGTTAACCTAATACCGGACACTAACTTATCTTACATAAAACCTGAACAAATATTGGAGAAAAAAAAACCGGGGTACTAGAAGAGGAAAGAAAAAAGACAGAGAAGAGGAAAAGAGAAACTACAAAAGTTTGAGAACAATGTGTATGATTTTAGTCAGCTTTACTAAGAATGAAGTCATAAAGTTTCAGATCGGAGATAATAATAAATCAATGATATAACTGACGTACGCAATTCAACCAACGCATAATCCTTCATATATCCAGATCTATTGTTCGGGAAGAATGACATGATTATGAATTTAATTCCACTAAATTTAGTTTGTTAAGGTCAGGCATGAGGTATACAAAAGCTTGTAGATGTATATCATGTGAATTATCAAGTACTTTCAAGTGAAGCTCGTCGATATCCTCACCGTGTAGCCATTGACTGCTATACTCTCTCATTTCTACAAGTTTAATGCAGGAACTACACAGTTTCCATGGTTAAATTTCACATTTCACCATCTCCATGCGATTTCATGTTGTCTAGAGGACATGACATCGCGATTTTCTCATGATTTGTTATGAATAAAAATAAAAATAAAAACTAAAAAATATTGGAAGAAGAATGGTAGTTATGACTTGTAGCATGGTTTATACACTTCACTTTAGAAATCTAGCCATCTGATTGGTCGAAATTTGAGTCGTGATTTTAGCCATGTCCGTAAAAAAAAAGAACAGTGCCAGTAACGGTCAGTAGTAATCATGAGTGAGATTCTTGAAAGATTGTGGGTATGGGGAAAATAGTTCAATTTTGATGAGATCCCCATTGGTTTACGTGTTAAAATTTACTGTGCTTTTTGTCTGCGATTCCCAAATGATTGTCAAATTCAGTCATCTTTCCAGTGAAGATTGACATACAGTGTCTCAGATTTTCTGTGATGTTTTAACCAATCTTAAACTCAAGAAAACGATGGGGTAAGAACTCTTGGTAGATTTTTGTGTCAATTCGGTATATACAAGATAATATCGACTGCTTTAATATTCGTTTCTATACTGGCTCTCGGGGAAGTTGCATCTTGCCATGACCCCTCGGCGCGCTTGAGCCTATAAAAACAGCCAGGCCTCTCATAGCAGTCGATATATTTATAGTAGTTCACACGTTGAAGACGCGTGCACATTATAAGCAAAAGAATATTGACAAGGAACATATATTTTACAGCAATACTACAACTATTACAAGAGGAGAGCAAAATCATGATGAAGAGATAGATAGAGAGAGAGAGAGAGAGGGATATATATATATATAGAGAGAGAGAGAGAGAGAGAGAGAGAGAGAGAGAGAGACAGAAAGAGGGAGACAGCGAGAGAGAGAGAGAGACAGGGGCAGACAGAGAGAAAGTGTGTGTGTGTGTGTGTGTGGGGGGGGGGGTCAACATGCATAGTGCATTGCATTATAACAGATGTAACGAATTAATTAGCGTAGTGCTAAGAGAAGGGCAGACGAGTGAAGGCAGAAAGAGTTTCAGCAATACAAAAGGTAAGGAAACAAAAAGAAAGGAATAGAACAGGATACTTAGATGTTACACTGAGAACAAATAATTCACAAATGCAAGTGTCGTAAATGATTATGACATTTTGAGGTATATAATGATTACAATGTCGAATTGATGTAAAATATTACAGAGTATACAAGTATATTCTCAAATTCATTACAAATTATATCCTTATCGTTATGGTAACTACAAAATAGGCAAATAAGTAGCATAAGTCGGTGATTTTACCCGATATCCAATACCTTTTCTACTTGTATTTTTATAGATGTTGACTGGTAGCATGTATACATTATTTGGACAGCCGAATGCGGTTTAAATTTTCCAAAAAATTACTGGTAAAAAAAATGGTAAAAAATCACGTGACGAGCTGTGGATCAGCTATTCTAAGTCCTTCTACTATTACTATTACTACTAATACTACTACTACTCCTACTACTACTATAATACTACTTCTAATACTACTACTACTACTACTACTACTACTACTACTTCTACTTTACTACTACTGTAGGCCTACTAATACTACTACTACTACACCTGCTACAACAACATTGACAACAAGTATTATTACTACTACTTCTACTACTACTACTACTACTTCTACTACTACTACTACTATTACTACTAGTACAGGTGTAGTAAGAAAGAGGGGTTTTATTTACAAGTAATTGCTCTTTTATCTCCTCTCGTTCTATAATGCAGATTCTGCAATAAACTACGGGAGGCAAATTATTTAGCTATGGATACTACTAATTTAATGATGTATCTTATGTGCACTTATATAACTGCAGCACGAACAATAACCAAACATGGTTCAAGTTATATCGAGATTTTAAAAAAAGAGATGTTTAGGCGGATGGGCGCGCATTGAGATGCGGTAGCTTGTAGTCAGTGTAGTCTCCTTCAATCAGACCCTTGGCATTATCAGCAGCATGCCAGCATTCCTTGTAATCTCGAATAAGGGGAATGCGGCGATTCATGAGCGTCACGGGGACCTGTCGGTCGTCGATCGAGAGTGTCGCGTTCTGATCGGGGGAGCTCAGGGGCAGGGGTTCGTCAAACAGGTCGGTGGCATCGACGACTGGTCTTGATACGAGGACCTCCGTCTTTCGATAAAATTGACCTGGGAACGCAAACAAAAATGGTAAGGGATATTGTAAGAGAATAAGAGAGGTAGACATTGGCAGCAACTTACTTGTAGCAAAATATAGAGGGATAGAGAAGTCTTCTTATCTTCCCTTTTTCGTACCCCCTCCTCCATACCCTTCTCTCCATTGACGCAAGTCACATCCTTGAATGGCTTACTTCCTCTCTGTCTCCCTATTTATCTCTGTCTTTTCTTGTTCTGTTATTCTCCACACTGTCTGCCTTTTGGGCTGTTTCTCTGTCATTCTGTCTCTCTCTCTCTCTCTCTCTCTCACTATTTCTGAGAGATAATAATTCCTTAAATTTGCGGGTGTTAATATTAATTAAGGTATAAGTATGTATTATTCCGTTGCAAATGCAATCATGTACATTTCTAGCTTAGTTATAATAGGCCTACCCATCTTTTTACCTTTTCTCATTGTTTTATCCTTCTATATGAATGCCCCTTATTGGCAAATGTGAGATGAAAGACATGATAAGTCGCAACACAAATAAACAACACCTTATTCGATCACACATTTGAAATAAACTGTCAGTAATTAACTTGTAAAACGGGAAATGCAAGAAATAAATCATCATGTTTTCGTTTATATTATCCGATTTTGGCTTTCTGTTCAGTCCTGCGGATTGATAGCAACCTAAGCTTTAAAAGTATGTTCTCGTTAACAACATTCTTCGATTTTGTATTACTAGTATAATTTATATAAAGTTGTTTTCATAGACATGTAATTAATGTTCCGTTGGGGAGAAGGAATTTTTTCATTCGATGTTCGTTTCGGTAATAATATTCAGTGGCGTTGCTACAGAGGATACAGGGGCACTTGACACAGGGCCCGTATCTCCTCCCTCATCGAATGGTGGGATTTTTGTTTTAATATTGGGGAAAAAAAGACACATAAAATGTGTGATGGGAAAAGGAACGAACAAAAGATGAAAGACCGCTTCCAACATCTCCCCCCTAACCGAAGGCCTTGTTAATAAACATTTTCACCTATTAGGAACGGCGCCCCCATCCACCCCCTTCCCCTTGACGTCAGTGCTTCTTCAAGGATAGGCCCGGGCCAAGGTACACCATCGGTAATACTGCTGCCCCAAACCATTCAGACTTGTCTTTTCATTTTGAGTTAACTGCGATATAATTGCGAACAATGGTGAAACTTACCAATGAGACCATGGACCTCTTTAGCAAGACCCTTTCCTTCCTCAACATAGAACCCAAGATGATCAACGCGACGAGACCTGTCGGTCGCCCTTTCTCTCTCTGCAAGGAAGATGTTTCCGTGTTTCACGCGGTGCGCCATGATCACCACCACCACATCATCACCATGAGCGATCACCACTTGATGCTTATTCCTGATATGGACGACGAAGTCACCGACGCGCATCGAGAGGGGGTCGTCCCAGCCGAGTTTGAACGCCTCGTTGTTGACTTCGATGGTGTCGGGTGTCAGAATGAGGTACCGGTCCGTCCCGAGAAGGACACCGATCTTACCGAAGTATGTATTATTCCTACTGGAACCGGGAATCCCGTCGTGTTTCACAGGAATGACATAGGCAGATACTCGCAGATCTAAAGTCAATATAATAATATTTTGCCAATGAAGTCACAAGTATCTAGATACAGTGTGTCCGAAGTCTACTTTTTGTTTCGTTCGTGTCTTTCTTTTTCATTTATGTTAATCACTATGTATCTATAATGCATTCGCTTTAGGTATAATTATATTCAATAAAATCCAGGGGACCGTTTTGAGTATACAATTAGTAATAATAATAATAACAATAATAGTAATAATAATAATAACTTTTATGAGCTGATGACGTGGATCCTAATCGAATGATTGGTTGAAAGCGTACACGTGATCAGGCTTTTCTTTTCCCTAACGCGTAATCGCGCGTACTTGGGTAATGACCGGTCATTATCCAATGGTAATAAAAGGTCATTATCAAAATCATGTTAGAAAACATCATTTTATCAAACAAACAAAAAATCCAAAAATCCTTTAACAAGAAACCACAAAGGGTCTTATCAAGTTTTTGGTGTGCCGTTTTGCCGTTCTGAATCCAATGACCGGGGTAATAGTATATTTGTAAAGCGGTTAGAGACATTGTATTAAGGGCAATATAAAAGCTAATATAAGAAAATGGGCCATCGGCCCATTTTTCTTTTCTTCCTCCATCCCTTTTCCCCTTTTTTATGTTTGGAGGAGGGATGTGTGTGTGTGTGTGTGTGTGGGGGGGGGGGGTCGCCCCCTCTGCGCCATGGATCAGCTATTGAACATTAATTTTCATTCAATGAATACTTACTGAGCTTGGGATCACTCAAGAGATTGAATACATCACCAGGATCGCCATTGATATCAAAACACACGGTCAAACCAGAATGAGACATCTCGACCATGAAGTGAGGATCACTGTCGGCTAGTTTTAAATAAAAACAGAAAAAAAAACACATGCAATGTTAATCCACTATAGAATATTTCAACAGTAAGACTTTAATGTTTGCTTAAAAGAATATCATGTAAGAAATGTCCCCTGAAAGGATTGCTCTTCAAATTCCCAAATATTTTAAATAGGCCTATGGCCAGAAGTAGCTGATAAAATTTGGACCAAACCTTCATGCGTAGTCCCATATAATATATCCTTTTCCCGATTGCTACCATGGAGTTTATTTTACCATGTAAGTGAATTTAACTCATTTTCTTCTGCAACATACAAATCAAAAGTATTATTAATAATCAAAAGAATAATGAATAATTAAACGAATTATGAATGATAACAAGAATATCAATAATCAAACGAATTAATTAAGTAAAATTGATTATTACCACAAATTAATTAATCAAAATTGATTAATGATAATAAGTGAATTTTATCTTGACAAAAAGACAGACGTGAAGACAAAAGTCAAGGGAGCGTTCGGGAAGGAGTCGCCTATTATTAAGATTGGTACAGGGCCCCGTTTCACAAAACTTGTCATCAGTGACAAATGACAGTTTTTGTTATAAGCTACTGAAATCCTTGCTTCTTATTGGTTATAAGCAGATTTGTCACTGATTTTTGTAATTTGTCATTGAAAAAAAGCTTTGTGAAACGGGTCCCAGATTGTCGGCAGCACGGTTCAAAAACACGTCCTATGTGATAAGCAATGTATGCCTATTTCCAAGATGAAATGAAGATGTGAATTATTATACAAACAATTACTGTTTGAATGGCTGCGACATGCTGTAGTGATTCAACACGTGACATGATTATTTCAGGAAAATGGAGTGTGGAAAATGATAGAGATTTGGCAAGAAAAATTATATTGATGTTAATAGGGAAGGAAATATTACTCACCAAAAGAAGTCACGTCGGCCGCCGGCCGATAGGACAGTGGGATGTGCTGTGGTCCTATAGAGAATTTGGAATTTAAAAAGTATTTTAAGAGAGAAATTTTCAGTTAATGCATTGAATCTATTTTTAAATGTTTAATTATTGTGGCATAGAATCCCCTGATCAACACGAATGTGTTTTTTTTCCTTCATAGGGGCCTGCAACAATCGCGAATAAGTCCCGTGATAATGCTGTCTACTATATTCAATTTCCTCTAATCATATCCTATACTGAAATGATGACAGGGGGGGGGGGGAGGTTCTTATTTAAAATAACATTATTTTATACGAAATTAATACTTGTCATTTACCTGTATCTTTTACAGGTGTTTTTTTTTAAATTCTAAGGTCACTTATAAAGATAAACAATTCAAATGCTTTCAATGAAAACTGAAAAGCAGTACTTTCATGGTTGATGCTACATAAATTCACTACTTTGCTTTTCATTATAGTACTCTGATAGGCTAGATACGATCTAGATGAAAAATTTGTGTCTTCTTTGTAGCTCATCATTACTTAATTACTGTGTTAGGTGACTCTAATTTTCTGCTTCTATATTGAAACCAACTTAATATCAAGGTGGACTTCCTCTTTCATAATCTGTGCCACGTCTTACTTGGGTGATTTGTTTTGCCTTACTCGTTCTAACGGAATCTCCACGAGATGGTGGTCCCTGTGGTCCCTGTGGTCCCTGTGGTCCCTGTGGTCCCTGGGGTCCCTGAGGTCTCCGGGCTGCGACCTGGGGTCTCTGGGGTCGAGGAGCACTTTGGAGAGCCACATTTGAAAATGACCTCTCCGTATCGGCGCTCTGGACATCGGGTTCACCATCTCCATGGACATCGGTGTCATTGACATCGGGTTTGACCACCAGGAGAGAGGTCAGAGGTGTGACGAAATGGTATTTGAGCGAGAGGTTGAGGGCCCGTTCGGAGAGCGCCGCCTTTGTTTCACGATTGTCTGCTGTCTTTCGTTGATCCAGAAGTTTCTTGATGGTGAGGTAAGCCCAGAGACGTTGAGCAAAGTCATCCACTTCATGACGACGTAGAGGGGGCTCTCTCTGTGTGATTCATCAAGTTCAGAAAATAGAGTATTACTTTCTATTTGGGTATATTGTACCAAGTTTGATATAACCCACAATCGTTTAGTTAGTGAATTCGGTAGTGGACTTTTAATAGCCTCTGGTACTAAAAAAGCGTTTGGAAAGTTGCGAAATGTGGTTTTTAAGAAGAATGATGAAAATCTCCTGGACTGAAAAATTTAGTAATGAGGAAGTTCTTACACGAGCTGGAGTGCAAAGGAAAATGATACGTGAGATGTTGATTAGGCAGTTGAAGTTTATGGGTCTTATAACACGTAAAGAAGGCCTAGAGAATCTTGCTTTGACAGGGAAATTTGTGGAAAGAAGGAGTAGGGGAGAAGGAGGAAACTTTGGATGGACAGTCTGCAGAATTATTGTTGGAAGAGAGAGGAGTGAAAGAACTGGGAGTGGTACTAATACAAAAGGATAGGAGCCGAGGGTTGTGAAAAAGCATGATCGCCAAAGTCAAACGATATGGCACTTAGAGAGAGAGAGACAGAGAGAGAGAGAGAGAGACAGAGACAGAGAGAGAGACAGAGAGAGAGAGAGAGTGAATTCGAAGAATAAGAACAGTAGCCTTATACTAGTAATAAGAAGGTTAGTAATAACTGTAAGTCAAGAAACATACGAAATGTAGACATTCTCAAAATAATTGCTTTTTATTCTTCAAATTCTTATTTAAGGCGATGCCCCCCCCCCCCCCCCCCACTAACTAAAAACTAGGGCCCTTCTAAATACAAATCTGGATATGGATATCACAATAAATTGAAAGGCTTGCTCCTGCTTCGCCCCTGCTTACCACTGCTTACCTCTATCGTTGTGGATGTGTTGAACTCGATGTCGACATCGAGGGACTGCCCGGTGATGACGACAGACAGCTCACCGTAGCTGCCTCCCTCATTTCCATCCACAAGCGAAACTGTGTCCGGACGTTGGGCTGAAGCTAAGATGGTTTCATTGCGTACGAGATCGGACTCGTCACGATGTTCTCCTGCCATGGGCCCGCTGGCGTCGTTCGAGGAATTCCAAACGGCATAGATGACGTCATCCTTTAGTTTTCCCGCCACCGTGATTTCAGTGCCGTCAAAGTAAGCCATGAAGTTCGACTGCGTGAGGCTGTCTTCATCCACGAGTCCGTGGCTGTATTCGATGTTGATATTAAAGAGGAGTGGATTTGCAACCTCGTCGTAGAAACCTTTCATCTGTAAACTCGCACTCGAGTCTTCGTAGACTTTACGAGCCAGGGCTTGGTTGGAAAGCGAGAGTTTTTCCAGAAATGAAAAGTCGACTCCGTTTCCGAAGCCGACGCTGAACAAAGACAGTCGACCATCGATTAGGTTGGTGATTCTCTTGATGATTTCAGACGTGCTCGTTACGCTGCCCGACGTCGGTTGTCCATCGGTTAGCATGATGATGAGGGGCATGGCCTCGCCATTGCCGTGTTCCATCAGGAGGTCAACAGCATTCGTTAAACCATCGTATAAGTTTGTTCCTGTGACGAATGAAGAAGAGAAGAAAAAGAAGAAGGAAAATAAGTAAAAGAAGAAGAAAAGGAATAGGAACAACAACACCAACAGCAAGAGCAAGGACAAGATCAAGAATAGGAAAAGTAGACAATACGATTCGCATCCAATGGAGATTTCTCTCTCACTTGAATACATCCGGTACACCTGACAAATTACGATTTTGGGTGTACACATGACTTTTCGAAACCCTGGTAAGAATGATTACACAGTCATGTTCAAACTTTCAATCTATAGGATATTGCAATATCTTCATCGTACGTGCGATGGGTTTTAGGGATGTTTTAAATGCACCTACCTCCACCTGCACTTATATCGTTAACATGATTCTTGGCTGCCGCAATGTTGTCGCCCGTAGCTTCCACCATCTGGTTGCTCCTCCACACTCGAACATCTGATTCGAAGAGTACGATGTTGATACGATCGATCGGGCGAACATCGTCCAAGATCGTAGTGAACGCTCTTTTAGTCTGTCCATGAAACGAGCAAAAATGTTTTTTGGGGTTATAGTTATGACACATCTGCAGGAGAAGTGTGGTCATCAATTTTTAGATGTAATATTTCATGACAAAGTAAACGTTCTTGCATGACACGATATATACATGGTATATTCTCATCTCCCTGATTTAACCAATGACGGGGATGGGGGCAGAATAATATAGAATAAGCAAGAGGGTGTGTGTGATATATATATATATAAAGAGAGAGAGAGAGTGAGAGAGAGAGAGAGAGAGAGAGACATAGATAGAGAGAGAGAGAGAGAGAGAGAGAGAGGGGAGGGGTTGTTAAAATGACAATAGACACTACCTAACCCCAAATTATCCTCTTCTCCTACGCATTAAATTAAAAATACTGACATTAAATAATACAATAGCGACGCCCCACCCCTCCCCTGAATTGTCCCAGATTATATTGCAACTATTCACCTGATCCATTTTTCGACCACGCATTGAACCACTGACATCGATGACGAAGACGACGTTCTTCCTCGTTTTCGGCAAACCTACCGGTGAGAAGTAGTGAACGAAGTAGCCATTGACAATCTAGAAGAAAATAATAGTCAAATAGACCAATAAAGAGCTATGGTATTACATTGTATTATTGTGGAGAGTGGTTTAAAAAAACACAAGAAATCTGTTTCATAAATTTATTGATTTTGATTCAATACACTAATGGGAAAATTCACAGTTCTATAAAAATTATAGTTAATTTAATCAATCTATATAAAACTGGAAAGGGAAACAATATACTTTAGGTAATTATAAAAATTTGTATGTATATATTTTGTTAGGTTCCCATGAATTTAGTATTCTTTTGGTGCCTTTATTATTCTTTATTATTCTTTATTAAATCCATTATTGTGTTCACGGTGATCTAGGCAAAACGAGATAACGATTATTGATATGATTCTGAACAAGTTTAGAAAAAGAGAGACAAATTTCGTTTTAATATGGAAATCCGAGGACCATTATTGTCAAACTCACCTGAAGGTGACCTGCCTTGGCATCATGCATGATGTCATACTTGATAATGAAATCTCCCATGATGCCATTGGAAGTGGTAAGTAGTCCTTCCCCTTTGGAGTCGAAGAGCACCTTGGCTGAGCGAGACTTGAGGTCAACTAGGGTCATGTTATTGAGCTTGGCTTCATCTGACTTGTCTGCTACGGCCCAGGAAGCATTAACTTCCTTCAAACCTTGGGGTTCAGTGATATGCGCCTCCACCCGAATGTCGGGTACCATCTGAACAAACAAACAAATAGATACACAAATAGATGAATAAATAAAAAAAAAATGATGAATGAATAAATAAACAAATATATTATTAATGAATGAAGAAAGAAAGAAATATGTAAATAAATAAACAAATTAATTAATATATCAATTAATGAATTACCCAATATTTTGCAAACCATGGTAGCTCAATTATATGACTATTATTTATCAATCACTTTTAGCACATTTAGGCCGATCTTAGATATTCTCACAGGGAAATGTGACAACATTTTGTAGGTGTCAGGGGCACTGTCATCATTGTCTCAAAGCAGTTATGTCGGAGCTGTATTGACAGCAGAGAATCTGAGTCATACGCGCACGAATCACCTGAAGAGGATTTTGGTTGTAGTTTTGTTTTGTTTTTGTTGTGTTTTTTTTTCTTCAGAATATATTCATTAATCTTTCAGTGTGTCCGACTTCATTAAAACTTAATTTAAATTATTTTGGAGGTATTTACCGAGTTCATTTTTTCACGTATCATTGAATTGGAAACCAACATCATTATTAAAACATTTAGAAAAGTACTACAGACCCCATGGAATATTGTATTGGTTTTAGATTTAGATGGCGCTATACAACTTACAGATATAGGTCGTGTCAAGAAAAAAAGGTGATCAATTCATGAAAGAGTGAGCATTGTTTAATGCATAGTGTAACGAAGATGGCGTTAGACCGGTTTTAAAGACACAGATCGTACTTATGAAAATATGAACTGCTCGTAAAATTGATGAAATGAAGACAGAGACAACAATAAACGTGACTTTATAGCCGGGCAAAATATGACTTGAATAATTCGGTAAATTATCAGCAAGCGAGTAGCAGAAAATGTTCATTCTCAATGATCTTTACGGTCAAACTTTGTAACGGAAAGAGGCACAGGGCGCGAGGGACTGACACCCACAGATATTACAAATAATTACTACAACAAAATGCACATATCTACGGCAAAAGCAAACTTGTTTAGAATCATTTTTAAATGCTGACATTTTCACCATTCTATGGAATTTTGAAAATGTCGTCACTGACAACTATTAGAATTTAAAAAAAAAATCAAGATATGATATAAATGAATATTTATTTGAGTGTAGACGAGATAAAGTGAAGATTTGTTCGCTAACCTGGCCCGGTTGGATACTAATGCGTTGCTCGAATACACCATTTTTCCTCCTTAGGAGCTGCTCGTACGTGATGTTGAAAAGGACAGAGGATCGAGCCTCGACGGTCACAGACACAGCGAATTTGTTTTCGTCAGGTGAACTGTCGAGGGAGAAAAAAAAACACGAAAATTTGCACACATTAAAAACAAATTTGAGGGAAAAATACGTGAAAATGAAAGCATTTGAAAATGCCTACTTCTAACAGGCAACACATTTCTTCAAAAGAAGAACCCCCCCCCCCAAAAAAAACACGATAAATTAAAAAAAAAGCAGAGGAATGATGATCCGACATTGCGCTCCGGGATCTACTTTGTTATAGGGCTTCGACAAGGGTTAGGGGGTTAGGATTAGGGTTGCAATTGGGATTTAGGTCAGCTTTACATGTATGTTTATGATAAGGATCAGGTATAGCTTTGGTCCAAGACTAAATTGAAAAGTCAGTTAGATTTAGAAACTGACCGCTGAAAAAAAATATCGCCAGAGCTTATATCAGTTGTAGAATAAAATACAATTTTCAAGGATTCATTTATTATGGTTTAAATTAAATGTATATTAAATACAATATTGGAGTAGATGTTAAAGAATGCTGGTAAATAATATCGCCGTGTTATTTACAATTTTACTTTATTTACAAAGTTTTAAAAGAAAAAAGATTTTTTTTGTCGCTAGGTTTGTACAGGAAACTGTCTGCTCCGACCTTGGCGGAAGTGAAGACATACCTTTGTTTGACCTGTCCGGCAGTTTGACCCTTGGCTTTGGCTTCGTTGTATTCCCTCTGAGCCACGTCCTTTGGCTTCACTTCAGAGTGGTAGACGATGTCATCAATGGTCCTGAAAGGTATGACGTCATTGAAACAATGAGTTAGTATTATCACAGATCATGGAGGCAATACAATATATTGTTAACGTCATTTCTGCTTCATCATCTTTCTCAATGAGATTCATTGCGTTGTTGTCTGAACATGTTATAGTTTCTTTTAAAGACACCTTATAATGTTATTATTGAGTGGGGGCGGTTTACTCGGTGGATAAAATCTACTGAGAAGGTCATCTGGGAGAGGTCGTCCTGCCGCTTTTATCACGTTTCCGTTTACCCTTAATCCTTTCTTCTTTTTTTCTGTCTATCTATCTTTCTATCTATCTTTCTATCTATGTATTAGTATCTATATCTTTTTATCTATCCATTTTTCTTTCTTTCTTTATTCATGTGGGAGCGCGTGCGCTAGTGCTCCCCGCACCTTCTCCGCTGACAATACAAAGTTTAATTGTAAACTTCATGTAAAAAAATCACATTTATGCTAAGAAAAAACGGGTTGAAAATTGTGTTTACTTGTTTCCTTACACTATTTAATCCATAGGACCTTATGTAAAAATATATAAATTATAGCTGCACAAATTGGCGTATGGTATTTTTAATGTCTGATTGAAGTTGTTTAATAAGATGTCGCTTATGATCGTGATGATAGTGGACTTACATGGAGAAGGCGCTTATGAAGGCATCCTCTGGAAGGCTGATTGTAAACTTGGCCTCAGCTGCTTTCCTAGCCAGGTTCTTAAGCTTGCTTCGAACCTCTGTACTTGCAAAGCGAGCCGTTACCTTAGACAGTACAGCCAGCCTCACTACCTCCGGCTTGGTCTGCAAGAAAAGGGTAATTAGAGCAAGGCATTGGTTATAGTTGATGATTGGGGAGGGAGGAGGGGGGGGGGGGGCAGAAAGAAATTTGCTAGTATGATACAATACAATAAAAGTACGATAAAGTGTAAAAATAGGGTTATAGACGGAGAAGCTCTGGGACCAAAATTCGGCCTGGATATTTCAATACAACAGGCTCATTCTGCCTTCGTTCACGACCCTCCGACCAAAATCAAGTTCATAGCCGTCAAGATTAAATACCGACCGGTCCTTCAGAAAAAATTCAGACCCCCCTCCCCTGCTGGCACTAATGAGTGGGGGGTTGAAGGGCGCAACAAACATTTGCTCCATTTTAAAACATATATGCCATACTTTGAGTACATTACAAATAAATAAATACAAGTGTATGCCCCCTTTCGAACTTCTGACCCAACAGGCAATTGGAAAATCTGATAATCCTTTTGGGGTTAGTTCATAAATAAAACTATGATATTATGCATTACAAGGAGTGTAAACGAGGAAGAAGTGAAAATGAACAGATAGTAGAATATCAACATGGGATGATTGTTTTTCAAACTACGGGTATCAGGATGTCCGCCTAATGGAAATCTCTTCCGGGATTACAGAGTGACGTTTGAGGTAAAATTAAATGGTATAGACAATCTTGATGATAGGACATGCATATAGCAACGTTCATCACTCGAGAAAATTCCATTAAGGAATTTATCTTTGAACGTCATGAATTATTTAAGAAAAGGGAAAACCAAAGATCATTTAGATCCCAATCAGCAATCTGAAGCATTAGAAAGTTGATCGCATTATCGACATTATTACATAATCAGAACGTGATTTCTATCAACAATTTTTTTCTGTGAAATAGGTATACCCCTTTATTAACAACAAAACAGAAGGATGTAAAGTGTGTTTTTTTTAAAGTAAAATATAATTGCTAAACAAGTGGACAGTTTCAAATAAATTTAGTTAAACTACAATGATCAATATTCTCTAGGAGTTTTCCCTCACATTTCTCATAATAAATTTTGTCCCACTCAATTTGTCCACTTTTATTAAAACTGAATTGTTATTAGGGTTGATAAAACTTGATCTGAAATCATTTAAAGGCTTACCGCTAATCGTGGAGACTCGGTGACGAGGTCTTCATCATCGGTTAGTCCTGATAGAGGTCCAGGTACTAGAGGACCAGATCCCGATCCTATTGGGGGCGATGACCTCTCCTCTCGATCCAGGATCTCATCATCTTCATACCCGTATTCGGCTCCTTGTACTATATAGATGAAAGATATAGGGTGAGATATATATATAAATATATATATAGAGAGAGAGAGAGAGAGAGAGAGAGAGAGAGAGAGAGGGGGGAGAGAGAAAGATATATATATATATAGAGAGAGAGAGAGAGAGAGAGGGAGAGAGAGGGAGAGAGAGAGAGAGAGGGGGGAGAGAGAGAGAGAGAGAGAGAGAGAGAGAGGGGAGGGAGAATAGAGAAAGAGAGATTGGAGAGAAAGAAAGGGAGATGATAAAGAGAGAAATGAAAGAGAGAGATAGAAGAAGAGAGAGAAAGAGAGGGAGGGAGATAAGGAGATAGGAAAAGAGAGATAGAGAGAGAGAGAGAGAGAGAGAGAGTGAAAGAGAGAGAGAGAAGTGAATGTATCACCACTAAACAGCTGGAAAGGTGTTGTATTTATATAACACCTTTCCAACTTGTTTTTGCAAGTTTGTGTAAAAATTGAAAATCGCATGTAGTCTGGTTGCAACTTTTTGTATTATTGTAACAAGAGTTTTTGGATTGTTATCAAACGCAGCTTTTTGCTTCTTTATATAGTAGAACAAAAATGTTTTTTTTTAGAAGAAAAAAATATGATTCTATAATAATGTGCCAAACTGCGAACAATAATATTTCGGTCTGTTATTTTCGTTATCACGAAGTTTGTTCCTACTGAAATGGGCAGTTAAATGTTTTTATTAATAACAATAGGCTTCATATTTCATGCTGGGAAACACTACCTCACATCGGATTACCTCTGCGAAAATAGAATAGTGTCGGTGCAATTTAACTAAATGGTATAACGAATAACACGAGAAGGGAAATTGTAACATGAGTTTCAAAGTCAACCATGGACCGTCCAATCCAATCTCTCTTCTCTCTTCGAGATTTAAGGTTTAAGGTTAATGATTTAAGGAAATTGCTTACTTGATATTTCAAGCAATGTTGGTATACGTACCTTGGGGTAGCAGGACTGCTGTCATATGATCCAACTCTGCATGGTTGAGTAGACCTGTTGGGAGACTCGTACTCGTACCGATGAAAGCGAGCACGAAGGCAACAGCGACCACGCCTGTCTTCATCGTGTTTTCTTCGCTCAACACTCGACGTCTTCCGAACAGAGCGGCTGGATGTCACTTTTCAGTTCCAAACCCTATATCAGTTCAACAGGTGTCCGCCGGAATGCTGGGGTACGTGTAGTTTCAGCCCGCAAAAAAGACGACTGATGTTTACACTTTCGGAACACCGAACAAAGTACTGAGCTTTCCCAGTTAGCGGATATCATGTACATGTATTTGTCGGTATTTATAAAGGGTTCTGGAGGGGCGGAACCCCGTTTATTTCTGATAAAGTAAAAGTTAAAAAATATCACTTTCGTCTGTTCGACCGTAATTAACTCACCACAAATCATCATTTTGCCATATCATTCTGATTTGACATGTTAACGTGATTAAATGATTGTTTTAGATGTCTGTCGTACTTCCAAATAAATAATGCGTGGGTGTGGAAATGCCCCTCAATTTGATAATTTCCCTATGCCCCATCCCCAAAACCTGCTTCTCCATAATTATGTATGCACTTTTTTGACTTTGTGAATCCGATTTAATAAGGAAAACTGTCCCCAGCATTGTCACCCTGTCTAATAACCACCCCTTTTGTATAACTACTTTAACTATACCTATTTCGTATGAATATTACCCCAAAGGACAATTATAATGCCTCTAAAAAGATTACACATGTAATGGATTAATGTTTTATGTCGATACTTGTCCCGGGAGTTAAGTCTAATTACTCCTTGTCTTTTTATTTATTTGAGGGTAACTTGGATTATTTTAATGGGTAGTTGTCGGGGGAGTATTTTTCCTCGTTGTTCGGACATAAATATAGCCCAAGTGAAGGGGCAGTCTTTCTGATGAGATCCTAGCGATGGCCCTGTTGAAGGGGTTGACTTGAACACCTATTTTGTCGTGGAAGCCTGGTCAAATTTGTTCATGATATAAATATTTTAGACCTCCTATCTGCAGAACAAGTTAACACATGCCAAAATACATATAGGAAGGAAAGAAGGAAGGAAGAAAGGAAGATACTCGTGTAATGCGTTGGCGCCCCAAAGTGAAAGCCCAAAACCTCATATCCTGTAGGTCCCGGTATTGCGACATTTTCTCTTTATGTTTCATCGGATCGTGATTAATCATGTTAGTTATTCCTAGTCATTAGATATAATCAAACTGTTAACTGATACGTGGACTTTTTTGATTTGTTATCACCGATAAAATTAATACTATCAGAGTAATAGAGAATATTTTTGAGCAAATAACTTACTCTTCGAACCCTTAGCCTACATGAAAACAAAAATTCCTTGAAAGAACAGTAAGCGTGCGTGTAGTGTGCCTAAGGTTGAATTTCCCCTCATTTTTTTCAAACAAAGATGCTCATAATACCACTTTGCATATATGTTTTGTTTCAATAAGATTTAGAATCATTCCCGAGACTACCACCCTCTTGCAAATACCCCCTCCTCGGATAGCTACATGATATAGGGCAGTTACCCCGGACATCCACCCCCTAGAAAAAAACATTCTCGGGACAATTTGTCCCAGTTTTCAGTTGTCCGTGGTCATTGTCCAAGCATGTGGTAGGGTCCGTGGTCCAACGTAAGGAGTGTGGATTGCGGGGCGCAGGGTCAGAAACGAGCCATTAGCCTTATATGGGACAGTAATTTGCCCGAGAATCAAAAGTGAGTGTGTATATACGTATTCGGACACCTACCCCCGGGCATCCACCCCAAGGATTTGCGGGGTAGTTGTCCTAGAGGATGGTTGTCGTAGAGGGTAGTTGTCTGGGGGGGGGGGGTAGTTGTTCGGGGTGTAGTTGTCTGGGGGGGTAGTTGTCTGGGGGTAGTTATCTGGGGGTATTTGTTTTAAGGGGTAGTCGTCCTAGAGGGTGGTTGCCCTAGGGTGTAGTTGTCATAGGGGGTAGTTGTCCTAGAGGGAAGCTATCCTAGGGGTGGTTGTCCAGAGGGTAGGTGTCCTAGAACCGTGTATAATTATATCATCAAAGCATTCGACAACGGTAAGGGATTTTTCTTTTAAATGGTCTTCAAAATAATAGCTTGTCCTCGGCTGTCAACATTCGCCAACAATTACGTTTTAGACTTTACAAGAAATTTTTCAACGCGTAAAAGATAAAGTCGCAGATATAGGTCAGTTTGTAGTAATAGTGAGTTTTTAGGAACATACATCCTTGACAGTGCAGTCACTTTTCCTCGGCAATTTACAAAGTTGACTTAGCACGTTTAGGAAATACGTCATGAAGGGAAGATAACTCTATGATAAATCTAACCTAGTTTCATGCTAAACCGGTGAACTATAGGAAAAGTTTGATCACGTGTTTACATTAGCTTCTACAACATAACTTAAATTCCTTAAAATGATCTCTTATGCTGAGGGTTCTTAACTACGCCGTTGAGGGGGGGGGGGATGGGGTGGGGGGGGGGTGAACAAGAAATTGCATAGAGCGGGCCACTGGGTATCAGGTATGCAAAGTGGTCCATCCAGGGAGCAATGCGGGTAATTATATATATATATTTTTTAATAGGGCTTGTTCTTTTAATATACACATCACTCTAATCAGCAGAATCATTAAATTTGTAGTTTCCGTTATTCCCACTAGTTAAAGAGAAAGTTCATTGATTTAAAAAACTAACTTTAATGTCATTATTGCAAAAGTGACACTTTGATTGGCCAGGTTATCAAAAGCCAATGCTTCGAAACATTCGAAGTAATGATTATTAACAAATACAAAACGCTTAGATACATCCCCGACATAGCACATGAAAAGCTCTCCGGTCGCTGCTGAAATATGACGTCACATGTTTAACATGATGTGCACAAGCAGACGATGTCCCATGACATCTCACACAATTTCAGTGCCTGTTTTGTCATCTTTTCTTCAGTTATTTCTCTTACTTCAATACCCTCATGCGAAATGTTTGATCTATTGCCTCACTCTAAACCCTGTGCATGGACGGTATCATTTTGATGAAAAATGCAAGGATAAAAATAAAAAAGGAATCCGTCGCTTGTAAACAAAATAAGACGCCATTGTATTTTCAGCTGCATAGACCGCGGCATGTTCGGCGTTTCAAGAGGGAACAAAATGACGTCCATGCTATTATTCCGGAGGTTTTTTAATTTGAAAGTGTGTTTTTTTATATTGTTCATTTACCCCTATCCTGTGTAATTAAAAACAAAAGAATATAGTTATCAGAATGGGGGTCATATCCCCTTTTGAATGGTGTAAAATTCCATCACATTTATATAAACTAAACTCATTATAATTTGAGAAATAAAAGCATTGCAATTATGTTCATTCTTTATGGGATGTCGTCTGCTTGGGCAGGGTTGGTTCATATTGTGACGGCATTAAAACATTGTTATTTTTCCGGCGAATCTCTCGCATATCCCAGATGCTATGGAGGTTGTTTTATTTGTATTTTTATAAATCACCCGAAATGTATTTGACCGAGAACTTGCATGATGACCACCTGTTAGCTTACCAGTTTCTAGTAATACGCTCTTTGCCATACTTGTGATTTTCTATGAACCCGCACTTTAAAGGTGGGCCTAATCATCAACTTGTAGTTCGTATTGTAGACCCACTGATAGCGAGCTAGCACTGTTAAATAGTTTAAAATTTGAATTTTGGCTGGCAGTCAGGATTATTGAACTATTGACGCGTCTATGCAGCTGTCTTTATTTGTTTACTTATTTATTTATTTATCTGCTTTAATTAAACAAAAATCTATTTGCTTATATTTTTATTTGAATGTATTTCATTATTCATTTATGTCCTTGCTTTGTTTACTTATCTATATATCAATACATATTTACTTTACTTGTTTTATTAATTCATTAATTTATTCATTTACCACTATTATTATTTATTTATTTCATTCGTTCTTTTTCTCTCACTTGAAATCATAAGCGGATTGCAGTAGAAGACAATCGGCCCTCTGCTTGAACGCAAAAAACCACGCACTGCCCCATGTAAAAGAAATAACCCCTCCCCCACCGGTCAGATAATTATGAAGAGCTGGGGATCTATACAAAGGGACGGGCATAAACAAAACATAAGGACACTGACCGCATATACTTACTCCCTCATTTTCTTCTGTCATTGAAAGAGGACAGAAAGAGAAAAATATACCGAAAGCAGACAGAATTAAAGAAGGAAAAGGGGGAGACGGCGTCAGAGAGTCAGACAGATATAATGAGAGGGAATGAGAGAGGGAGAGAATCTCGGGAAGTCCCAAACGATTTGCGGTATTGACCAAAGGAAATGCCTGGAGTTAAATGAGGTTTCCGTGATTACCGGCCATGCTTTAAATGTTAGTTCGAACCCATAACAATTGAATCATCTTCCATTTGTTTAAAATGGTTCTAGGACTCCTACCCCTGTCCATCCGCCCCCGGATAACCACCCCCAGTCACCTACCCCCTAGGACAACTACCCCCTAGTACAACTACCCCCTAGGGCAACCACCCTCTAGAACGACCAACCCCCGGGACAACTACTCCTACGATAACTACCCCCGGACAACTACCCCCGGACAACTACCCCTAGGACAACTACCCCCAGACAACTACCCCTACGACAACCATCCTCTAGGACAACTATCCTAGGGGGTAGTTGTCTGGGGTAGTAGTCCGGGGAAGTTGTCCGGGGGTAGTTGTTCTAGGGGAAGTTGTCTGGGGTAGTTGTCCGTAGGTAGTTGTCCCGGGGGGGGGGCTTGTCGTCCTAGAGGGTGGTTGCCACTGGCGTACCTATGGGGGGGCAGGGGGGGCAGAGTGCCCCCCTGACGGGCTCCAGGGGAAAAAAAGAAAAAGGGGAAAGAAAAGAAAAGAAAGGAAAGGAAAGAAAAAGAAAAAAGGAAAAGGGAAGAAAAAAAACGAAAGAAAGAGAAAAAAGGAAAAAAAGGAAAAGGAAAGAAAAAAGGAAGTAGAAGAGAAAAGGAAGAAAAAGGGAAATGAAAAGGAAAGGAAAAAAAATGGGGAAATTAAAAAAAAAAGACCATGGCCGTACGCAACAGGGGGGGGGGGGCAGTTGACCCCAGATATTTTGAAAACGTACAGTTTTTTTCCTGAAAATGTAGTGTAGGCCTATACCAAATCCTTCAATTCTACTTTTGAAAATGCAAAAGTACCCTCATGACTAGTTCGGTCGCTCGAACTCCCTTCACTCCTTTTGCTTTTGAGATTCTTCGAAAACTTTTAACGCATCTTTCCCCCTCCCCCACCAGAAAAATATTCCGCATACGGCCCTGAAAAATTAAGACAAATGAAAATAGGAAAATATAAGTGATATAACAAATTCGAAACTCTTCGCTGGCGCGAACTGCTTGCTAGCCTATTTTGTATTAAATGTTTTCACTTGCTCGTCCCCCTGAAAAAAGAAAAGGATTAGCATTGCCTAGAATACAATTGTGCCTGCCCCGACCTGCAACCATGGCAACAATAGCACACAATGTATGTACCAAATGTTACTAAAAGAGACTAATTCATTTTTCTCGCTCGCTACACTCGCTCGCGAATAAAATGAATAGACATTGCTTTGGAAACAATTGTGCCCACCCTTGACCTACAACAATATAATCAAAAATGGAAGAGTTTTTTCGCCCTCTCGCCAAAAAGGAATTGAATCGCGTTGAACGTGATTGCGTCCATCCTGACCTGCACCAATAAAAACATGTTTATTTATTAATTTCTATTAAAAGAGAATTTTTGTTTTTGCTTGCTCGCTATGCTCGCTCGCCAAAATGGAATTGACACCGCTAACGTGCCCGGCCCAACCTGCAACAACCAGTTAATAATTATGTACCAAACGTTATTCAAAGAAGTTTTGGTGTGCTCGTGCTCGCCAAAACGGAATTAACATCACCTTAGACATGATTGTGTAAGCCCTGCCCTGCAACAAAAAAATCTGAAATTTATGAACCAACTATCATTACAAAAATTTTGCTCGCTCGCTACGCTCGCTCGCCAAAATAGAAATAACACCGCTTTTAATAGTCACGTCCCTGACATGGAACAATGAACCCAAGTTTATGTACCATATTTTCCCTATAAAAGAGAAGTGATTTTTTTTTCGCTCGCTCGCTACGCTCGCTGGCCAAAATAGAAATAACACCGCTTTTAATAATCACGTCCCTGACATGGAACAATGAACCCAAGTTTTATGTACCATATTTTCCCTATAAAAGAGAAGTGATTTTTTTTCGCTCGCTCGCTACGCTCGCTAGCTCGTGGAATTATGTGCCCACCACTAACCTGCTACAATTTCATTAAAAAGAGAAATGTAAGGGGTTGCCTGCCCGCCAAAATGGGATTGACATTGCCTTAAACACAATTGTGCCCGCCCCCGACCTGCAACAATGAAACAAATTTTATATAGCAATTCATTGAGAGAAAGATGTATTTTCGCTCGCTAGCTAAAATGGGTATAAAATTAGCCTTAACACAATATTGTTCCCGCGCCCTGCATGGGACAATTGAACCAAGTTTACTCTCCTAATTTCTAGGACTTATTTTAAATCCAAGGGGACTTGGGACAGTGACAATTGTCACTGTCCCAAGTCCCCTTGGATTTAGAATAAATTCTTTGGACTTTAAAATAAGTCCTAGAAATTAAGAGAGTTAAGTGGCAATTATTAAAAAGAAGTGATTTTTTTCTTGCTCGCTACGCTCGTTTGCAAAAAAAATGAAATTAACGTCGCTAACAAGTGAATGTTCCTACCCCCAACTTGCAACAATACCAGTTTATATACCAAACGTTACTTAAAGATTTTTTTTGCTCGCTCGCTCGAAAGAAGTGAAAATTAGCATCGCCTTTTTTGTTTGTTTCGGTCGCTTGCCCCCCCCTGACGGAGTACCCCAGGTACGCCACTGGTTGCCCTAGGGGTAGTTGTCCTAGGGGGTAGTTGACTGGGGGTGGTGATCCGGGGGTGGATGTCCAGGGGATAGGTGTCCGGATACGGTTTAAAACGACTGTTCTACCTTTTATTTTCCTGCTCTGGTTACCTATGTCGAACTACACTGATCGTCTTTCTGTCGTTTGTGTTGCAGCTAGGCCAGTTTCCTAATGTAACCAAATTTATGCATATGCCTTTGTGAAGCGCCTCGATACGAATCGTTTCATTCACCTTTTACGAATAAATGTATCTCAATAGTCAGAATTCAAATCGCATGCATTGGTTGTTCCTGGGTAGGACAAACATTATAGGCTCGAATTCACAAAGGAGGTTTGTCGACAAACCTTGGTTTTCGTACGTCATATGACTCGTTTTTACGCGTTTTTTACAAACCTGGTTTGTAAAAAACAAAAGGAGGTTTGGCGAAACAAAAGGACGTTTGTCGACAAACCTCCTTTGTGAATTCGGGGCTATGGATTTTTCTATCTAACAACACAGTAATATATGCAATTAGCATTATGAATATTGACATACAATTATTCGTATCAGGGGAATGAAATAAGTTTCAACAAGGTATTTTATTAAGAAAGATTTGTGCATTACACTTGAAAAGGGCCTATTGACAGATCAAGATTCAAGAGTCAGGTAATGGTATCCTTGATGCGGCGATTATGAATATGGCATCCCCATTTGACAACAGCAATAAAACAATAGCAAGCAACTGCCAAAGTGCACAAATTCCCATTCACATAAACCATTCCAGCACTTCATACTATAATATTCTCATAGTTAGTTTCTCCTTGTTTATGTGTTTTTCCCCGTATATTGCTTAATTTTGTCATTAAGGGCAGTCAAATTGGTCAAAAACTTATTGACAGGGAAAAATGATCCAGCTCCATTATAATTTTTGGAATGTTAAATCGATTTGTGATGGCTCAATAATGTTTTGCTCTTCATCATGAAATGTACAGTAAAATGAAAGTAACAAACAGATTGTAGATATATGTATTAAGAAAAAGAAAAGAGTTGAAGCCTCACAATCCCTTCATTGTTTAGAACGAATACATTGATGCGTAATGCTGTCCCGAATCGAATATTATACTGCGCCATCTTTAGTTGACTTAATATCGTCGCACGGCTGGCAGAAGGGCGTTAGCGCGCGTTCGCCTCGAAAACTACTTATAATATGTCTTCAATTTACCCATATTTTCAGAATTATCTCCTACAAACAATCGAGAGAATCGTGAGAAACATTTATTTTAAGAGTTTGGAGGGGGAGGCTTACATAGAAAATGTAACGTTGGTGCCAGGGTGGGATTCGAACCCTGACCCTTCGATTGAGAGTCAAGTGAATGAACCACTATACCACGACACCTCTACTATTTGGACCATAGACTCTTCCACATGCTTGGACAATCACCACGGGCAACTGATAACTGGGATAAATTGTCCCGAGAGTGTTTTTCCTAGAGGATGGATGTCCGGGGTAACTGTCCTGGGGTGTAGCTATCTGGAGATAGGTTATGAGGGTGATAGTCCAGGGAAAGATTTTAAATCGTATTGCACCAACAAACACAACATGCAAAGGGGTATGAGCATCTTTGTTTGAAAAAAGAAGAAGGGGGAAATTCATCCTTAGGCACACTACACGCAAGCTTATTGTTTTTTCAATGACTTTTTTGTTTTCATGTATAGGCTAAGAAGAACACTGATTCGAAGAGTTATATTGACTAGGAATAACTAACATGATAAACCTATGCCCTTCGGGGACTCCAGGATATGAGGTTTGGGGCTATCTTTCTTTCTTCCTTCCTTCCTCCCATAGGTCTTTTGGCCTGTGTCAACTTGGTCTGTAGATAGGGAGGTCTAAAGATAACGAACGAAGTCGACCGGGCTTCCACGAAAAATAAGTGTTCAACGTCTGCAATAGTGGCATCGCTAGACTATTTTAATTGAGGTGTCAGGCCAACGTTGCTGATTAATCCGAAAAAAGGGGTTAGAAGGGCTCCAGATTTGAGGATTTTTTCAAAGGGAATAATACCAATTGTCGGAATTCTAAAGTTTACATGTTGATAACTACGCAATATATTGACAGACTGTCATGAGAAAAGCAAACCCACTAAGCTTTGTCCATTTCGAATGAGTTGATGACACGGCTTACCTTAAACAAGGAATCCGAAAGGAGCCAAGAGTGTGCTGTGATGACAAAGAAAACATCATAAATTGTCCTTGTAAATGAGCCATGTCTTCAGTCTGAGTTGACATTGTCCCCTTTTCTATTTCATATGTGTACACAAATACACAATGAATGGGAATAAGTCAGCAATTTTTTTCGAACTGAAACACCAATGCGTAAGGGCTTTTAACCCATATTCATTGTTTTAGCCCAAACTTGGTACAAGAGGATTTTGACAATACTTTTTGTAAAGGATGCTGCCCAGTCATCTGGGGCAGCAAAGTTATGAATAAGATATCATTAGACAGAATTTGGTTAATATTTAAGTTGAAATATAATTTATTGGAACACAGGTAGCTACTTTTAAATGGGAATCTTTCAAAGTTCGGTATACTTTTTTCGATACGCACTGTAGTAAAGACAACTCGATCCAAAATGTTCATTTATCTTTTTTGAGAACTGTGATAAAAACATAAATAACACGAAACCAAAAAAAATAAATAACACGAAACCGTTTAGTCTTGTGTAATACTCACATCAGGTTGACTGCCCCTTCCCTTGGTATGTCCGAACAACAAGGACATAGACCCCCGGACAACTAACAATTAAAAATAATCCAAATTACCCCAACATAAGTAAAAAGACAGGGAGTAATTAGATATAACTCCCGGGATAAGTACCGACATAAAACATTAACCCATTGTGGGGTTTAAATGTTGTAGGGGTAGGTGTAGTTCTTTTAGACGAATTATTGGGGTAATATATTTGTACGAAATAGTTCTAGTTCTAGTTAAAGTAGTTATACAAAAGGGGTAGTTATTGAACAGGGTGACAATCCTGGGGACAGTTGTCCTTAATCTGATTTACAATTTCAAAAAGGTGCATAATATGGAGAAGCAGGTGTTTTGGATGGGTCATAGAGGAATTATCAAATTGAGGGGCATTTCTACACCCACAAAATTAATTATTTATTCGGAAGTACATCCAAATTATTCATTTTAATCACTTTATTATGTCAAATCAGAACGATATGGCAAAATGACAATTTGTGGTGATTTTTTACACGGTCGAACAGATGAAAGTGACATTTTTTAAACTTTCAGTTAATATTAGAAATAAAACAGGGTTTTTCCCCTCAAGAACCCTTTATAAATACCAACAAATCCATGATATCCGCTAACTGAGGAATCCCAGTACTTATACGGTCCTTCGAAAGTCGAAACATCAGTCGTCTTTTTGCGGTCTGAAACTACGCGTACCACACCATTCGAACACCTAATTAGAACCGATATTGGGTTTGGACCTGAAAAGTGACATCCAGCCGCTCTTTTCGGAGGACATCGAGTGTTGAGCGAAGAAAACGCGATGAATAAAGGCGTGGTCGTTGTTGCCTTCGTGCTCGCTTTCATCGGTACGAGTACGTGTCTTCCAACAGGTCTACTCAACCATGCAGAGTTGGGTGATATGACAGCAGTCCTGCTACCTCAAAGTACGTATACCAACATTGCTTGATTTCAAGTAGGCAATGCCCTTAAATCATTCTGTAATTGTTATTTCGATTCATTTTGTATACTGTTTAAAATCTCGACGAGAGAAGAGAGATTGGATTGGACGGTCTATGGTTACAATTTGCCTTCTCGTGTATTCAGTTAAATTGCACCGACAGTATTCTATTTTCGCGGATGCTATCCAATATGAGGTCAGAATTACTTGAAGCAATTAGCTGCCCATTTTATTTGGGATAAACTTCGTGATAACGAAAATGACAAACCGAAATTTTTCGCACATTATTATAGAATCATATCTTATTTAAAAAATAATTATTGTTGTTCTGCTACATAAGAAAGTAAAAGCTGCGTTTGATAAGAATCCACAAACTCTTGTAATACAAAACGTTGCAACCAGACGACATGCATATTTGAATTTGTCTACAACTTGCAAAAACGTATTCCCTATAAAAAAAAACACCTTTGCAGCTGTTTCGTGGTTATACATTGATTTCTCTCTCTCTCTCTCTCTCTCTCTCTCTCTCTCTCTCCTTCTCTCCCTTCTTCTTTCTCTCTCTTTTATTTCCCCCTCTCTTTTTCATCTCCTTTTCTCTCTCTCCAATCTCTTTTTCTCACCCTCTCTTATTCACTCTCTCTCTCTCTCTCTCTCTCTCTTCTCCCTCCCCCTCTCTCTCTCTCTCTCTCTCTCTTTTCCCCCCTCTCTCTCTCTCTCTCTCTCTCCCTCTCTCTCTCTCTCTCTCTCTCGCCCTATATCTTTCCTCTTTATAGTACAACGAGCCGAATACGGGTATGGAGATGATGAGATCCTGGATCGAGAGGAGAGGGGGTTGTCCCCATCAGGATCGGGATCTGGACCTCTATCGGGACCTCTATCAGGACTCACCGATGATGAAGACCTCGTCACCGAGTCTCCACAATTAGCGGTAAGCCTTTAAATGATTTCAGATCAAGTTCATATCAACCCTTATAACAAGTCAGTTTTCATAAAAGTGGACAAATTGAGTGGGACAAAATTTATTATGAGAAATGTGGGGGAAAACTCCTAGAGAATATTGATCATTGTAGTTTAACTAAATTTTTGTGAAGCCGTCCACTTGTTTGGCAATTATATTTTACTTAAAAATAAAGAAAATCTTACATCCCTCTTTTTGTGATAATGTCGATAATGCGATCAAGTTTCTAAGGCTTCAGATTGCTGATTGGGATCTAAACTATCTTTGGTTTTCCTTTTTTTAATAATTCATGACGTTCAAAGATAAATTCCTTTGTGGAATTTTCTCAGTTAATGAACATTACTACGTTGATTTCCTATCATCAAGATTCGTGTCTTTAAGGCCTTTATATACCACTTAATTTTACCTCAAACGTCACTCTATAATGCCGGAAGACATTTCCATTAGAATCCAGGAAGCGGACTTCCTGATACCCGTAGTTTGAAAAACAATCATTACATGTTGATATTCTACTACCTTTTCATCTTCACTTCTTCCTCATTTACACTCCTTGTAAATAATTTCTGATAGATCTATTTTCCGTTCGTTTTACCATTAACTATTTGAGTGGCTTAAATACTGGGAGCACATGCCCTCTACAATCGAATAGGGGTAAAAAGAAAAGAAAGAGGGAGAGAGAGAGAGAGAGAGAGGGGGGAGGGGTAGGGGGACTGGAGCAACACCCTCGCTTGCCTTGCTCCCTCGCATTTCATCACTTGATAATACCAGTGTTTCTCATGATATCACTGCTTCTTCCCTTGCCATAATCCACTTTACGCCATCGAGATTACTAACCTTCTTGTCGACCCTCTCCCAGGGATACTTCCCGGTTTTTGTAAGTTCGGAGGGGGGGGGGTGGGGTCCGACAAAGGACATTAGTTATCGCATTTTTAAGGTAAAAAATAAACTGACCCACACAAGATTATCAGATTTTCCAGATGCCTGTTTGGTCGGCAGTGCGAAAGGGGTCATACACTTGTATTTATTTATTTGTAATGTACACAAGTATGGCGTACTGGTTTTAAAAGAGAACAAAAATGTTTGTTGTGACCTTCCAGCCCCGCCCCCAATCATTAGTGCCAGCAGGGGGATGTAAATTCCCGCAGGACTGATTTTGACTTGATTTTGGGCGGAGGGTCTTGAACGAAGGCAGAATGAGCCTGTTGAATCGACATTTCCAGGGCGAATTTTAGTCCGGAGCTTCACCGTCTATAACCCTTGTACACTTTATCGTATTGTATTGTTATCATATGGCAAAGTTCTGTCTGCCCCCCCCCCCCCCATCATCAACTATAACCAAGGCCTTGCTCTAAATGCCCTTTTCTTGCAGACCAAGCCGGAGGTAGTCAGGCTGGCTGTACTGTCCAAGATAATGTCTCGCTTTGCAAGTACAGAGGTTCGAAGCAAGCTTAAGAACCTGGCTTGGAAAGCAGCTGAGGCCAAGTTTACAATCAGCCTTCCAGAGGATGCCTTCATTAGCGCATTCTCCATGTAAGTCTACTATCATCACGATCATAAGCGACATCTTACTAAACAATTTCAATCAGACATTAAAACGACGCTATAATTTTTATATTTGTTCATGATATCCTATTGATTAGATAGTGTAAGAAAAAAAGTATAGATACAATTTTCAACCCGCTTTTTCTTAGCAGAAAATGTGGTTGCACTATATATTGTATGTATATTTTCAGCGAAGAAGGTGCGGAGAGCACGAACGCATGCGCTCCCAAATGAATGACGAGAGAGAGAGAGAGAGAGAGAGAGGGGTGGAGGAATTAAGAAAGAAGAAAGATGGATAGATAAGATGTTAAATAGAAAGATAGATAGATAGATAGATAAAAATATAGATAAATAGATAGATAGATAGATAGACAGAGAGAGAGAAAGAAAGGGTTAAGGGTGAACGGAAACATGAAAAAAGCCCGGGGAAAAAGCGGCAGGACGCTATTTCACATCGGCAATGTTCGGTGGCCTTCTTAATAGTTTTTATTCCCTGGGGAACCCCCTCCCCCTACTCAATAATAAAATGTTAATGTTATTCTAAAGAAACTATGCAAAGACAACAACGCAATGAATCTCATTGAGAAAGGTGATAACGAAAAAATAACGTTAACAGTCTATAGTGATGACCTCTGATAATACTAACTCGGTGTTTAATGACGTCATACTTTCAGGACCATTGATGACATCGTCTACCACTCTGAAGTGAAGCCAAAGGACGTGGCTCAGAGGGAATACAACGAAGCCAAAGCCAAGGGTCAAACTGCCGGACAGGTCAAACAAAGGTATGTCTTTACTTCCGCCAAGGTCAGACAGTTTCCTGTACTATGCAAGATAAACCTAGCAAAAAACTTTTTTTTATTTTTTTTTAAAATTTTGTAAATAAAGTAAATTGTAAATAAAACGCCGATATTATTCACTAAAACTTTGTAACATTTACTTATTGAATTTGATATTAATGGAATATTTTTTTAAAACCATAATAACCCGATTGCAACCCTAATCCTAACCCTAACCCTTGCCGAATACATAATTTTTATATAACAAAATAGATCCCGGAACGTAATGTCGGATCATCGTTCCTGGGCTTTTTTGTTTTTTTGTTTTTGTTTATTATGTTTTTGTTTTTTTTTTTTGTTTATTATGTTTTTGTTTGTTTTGTTTCTTTTAAACGAATATCTGAGGGTAGAAGCTGACAAATTTGAAACACTTTCATTTCCACGTGCGTTTACCTTGAACTTGATTCTTATGTGTCCAATTATCATAACTTTCCACAGTTTTCTCTTAGAGTATTTGATTAATGGTGCGGATATAACCACTATTTCATATTATTTTCACTTTGTTAGCGAAATATCATTAATCAATTCAACCTTCATTCCTTGTTTTAAAGGTACCGTTAAAACATGGACATCGGAGCCGGGGGGAGGGGTATATGGACAGGACACACAAAATGTGATCGCCCCACCACCCCCTTCCTCTAAAAGGATTCATTAAGAGATAATTTTGAAATTTTGAGTTTACAAGGCAACCTTTATAGCATCCCAATAAAAAAGAGTCGCTCCATGGGCGTCGTTTCACAAAACCGTCATAAGTACAAGTTCACCGACTGAAAAAAATGTTAAATAATGGTTAAATTTAATACACGCGTTAAAATAGGATGTCGATAAAGTTGAACTTTAATTCACTTTCGTGAAAAGCTGCCCAGGCGCCTACTTTAATGGATGTTTGGGAATGTAATGTATAACCGCAATATTACCTATATTTTGTCGAATCTAAAAGTTTGTGTATCATACTTGGCAAAATATTCGTTTTTTCCTCGTCAGTTCACCTGACGAAAACAAGTTCACTGTGTCTGTGACTGTGGAGGCTCGAACCTCTGTCCTTTTCAATCTCACGTATGAGCAGCTGCTGAAGAGGAAAAATGGTTTATTCGAACAACGCATCAGTATCCAACCGGGCCAGGTGAGCAAACGAATCCGTACTTAAGCTCGTCTACACTCAAATAAATATTCATATATATTATATATGTCGGATATTTTGTTTAAAATTCAGATAGCTTTCAGTGACAACATTTTCCGAAAAGCTTCTGTTTTCAACACTAACAAAGTTCCAAAGAATGTTGAAAATGTCAGCATTCCTTAAATCATGCTAGACAAGTTTGCTTTTGATGCAGCCGACGCAATTGCGTATGCAATGCATGATAAAATCTTTTAAAATGCAACCACGTAATTACAATATATTAAGTAAAACATCGTCAAGGATATGTTCCTAATATTAATTAGTATGACCACGTCGGATCAAGATTATTTTGTCTTTCTTTGTAATATCTGAGGGTGTCAGTACCTCTCGCGCCCTGTGCCTCTTTCCGTTACGTAGGTTGGTAATTATTAATGGGGGTGAACATTTTCTGCTACTCGGTAGCAGATTATTTACCGAATTATTTAAGTCATATTTTGCCCCGCTATAAAGCCGCGTTTCTTGTTGTCTCTGTCTTCATTTCATCAATTTTACGAGCAGTTCATCTTTTCATGAGTACGATCTGTGTCTTTAAAACCGGTCTAACGCCATCTTCTTTACACTATACATTGAGCAATGCTCACTCTCTCACGAATTGATCACCTTTTGTTGTTTTTGACATGACCCATATCTGAAAGTTGTATTAGCGCCATCTTTATCTAAAAACAATAAAATATTCCATGGGTCTGTAAGGCTTTTTGAAATGCTTTAATAATGATGTTGGTTGCCAATAATACATGAAGAAATAAACTCTGTAAATACCCCCAAAATAATACAAATTAAGTTTTAATGAAGTCGGTTATACTGAAAAGTATATGAATACATTATGAAGAAAAACACGCACAACAAAAAGAACAACAAAACTACAACGAAAGTCTTTTTCAGGTAATTCGTGCGTGTCTGACTCAGATACTAGGTAGTTAATACAGCTCCGAAACGATAGTTTTGAGGCAATGATGACACTGCCCCTTGCACCTACAAAATACTGTCACGTTTCCCTTTGAAAAGATCTAAGATCGGCCTAAATGTGCCATAAACAATTGATAAATAAGAATCTTATAATTACTGGTTAATAATGAGTTTTCACATAGGTTACAAAATATGAATTAATTAATCAATTTATTTATTGATTATTAAATTAAGTAATTAAGTAATGTCTGTAATTGATTTGTTTACATATTTCTTTCTTTCTTTATTCATTGATCATTTATTGGTTCATTTATACATCTACCTGTGTATTTATTTGTTTGTGTGTTTAGATGGTCCCCGACATTCGGGTGGAGGCGCGTCTCACTGAACCCCAAGGTTTGAAGGAAGTTAATGCTTCCTGGGCCGTAGCAGACAAGTCAGACGAAGCCAAGCTAAATGACATGACCCTAGTTGACCTCAAGGTTCGCTCAGCCAAAGTGCTCTTCGCCTCGAAAGGGGAAGGACTACTTACCACTTCCAATGGCATCATGGGAGATTTCATTATCAAGTATGACGTCATGCATGACGTCAAAGCAGGTCACCTTCAGGTGAGTTTGTCAATAATGATTCTCGGATTTCCATAAACAAAATTATTCTCTCTTTTTTCAAACTTGTTCATAATCATTTCAATGATCGTAATCTCGTTTTAGCTAGACCACCGTGAACACAATGACTGATTTAATAAAGAATAATAATGACACCAAAAGAGTACTGAAATCGTGGGAAACTAACAAAAATTGCCAACCTACTTCTGTAATCACATAAAGTATAAATGTTTCACTTTTCAATTTTATTTAGATTCATGAAAATAACTATAATTTCACAGAATTGTGAATTTTCCCAAGAGCGTTTTGAATCAAAATCAATAAATTAATGAAACGGATTTATTGTTGTTGTTGTTGTTTTCCACCATTCTCCAGAATAATAATGCCATAGCTCCTTGTTTGTCAATTTTAGTGTTTTTAACTGAAATTACCGACTCCTTTAGAGTGCACGATCGTGCAGTGATTCTTCAAAACCCTTAACAATTATTTTCTTCTAGATTGTCAATGGCTACTTCGTTCACTACTTCTCACCGGTAGGTTTGCCGAAAACGAGGAAGAACGTCGTCTTCGTCATCGACGTCAGTGGTTCAATGCGTGGTCGAAAAATAGATCAGGTGAATAGTGGCGATATGATCTCGGACAATTCAGGGAGGGTGGGGCGTCACCATGGTATTATTATTTTGAATAAAATGCTTGGTCGTGTCTATTATCATTATAACCCCTCTTTCTCTCTCTCTCTCTCTCTCACTCACACTCTCTCTCTCTCTCTCTCTATATATATATATTACACACACACACACACACACACACACCCTTGCTCATTCTATATCATTCTGCTATCCCCTCCAACTCAATCCCCATCATTCTTGTTTGCCGTTTACTTGTAATTCAATGTTTTTACATGTTTCTTTAGTATTTCTCACTTTTCCTTCCTTATCCTTTCTTTTTTCTCTTGCGCTTAGAAACATTGTATGAAGCGCATTATAAATGTTATGTATTATTATTATTATCATTATTATTATTATTATTATCATTAGTTAAATACTGAACAGTGCGTCCCAGAAAAAAAAAACGAAACCGAGAATTATCGTTGTTTTATCATAACGCAGTCACATTTATAATTTCTAAATTACACATATTTGGTAAGCTGAGATCCTCCTCTTTCATTTGCTGCAACTCATATGATGCATATTTCACGCGTGAGTGATCAAAATGAATTTGAAGAGAGGAAACCAAAAAGTCATGTGGCGGACTGTATCTGAATTTCAAAGAGAAAATCCCATTTCTAGAAAGTTGAGGTTCTGCCCTTTTATAATTATGACACCTCAATCAGAAAAAATGAGCAAGGAATGGCAAAGTTATGTTTGTTTAAAGTAGTGCTTGCATTTCCATAATTTGATCAAACGAATTCGTTTTCATGGTGCCTGCCATAGCCACATGCAGAATTGACAAAAGAATTAACTCCGTTTCGTTGACAATCAGCCATGCATGACGTCTTTCGTCTACGGCTGATTGTCAACGAAATTGAACTTTCTAGAAATGTGATTTTCTCTTTGAAATTCAGATACCGTCCGCCAAATGACTTTTTGGTTTACTCTATTCAAAGTGTTCTCAATTACTCATGCGTGAAATATACATCATAATGAGTTGCATCAAATGAAAGAAGAGGTTCTAAGCTTTCCAAATTGCCATTGCAAACGAGTTACCGAAATTGATACATTGTCCCGAAATTGTCACATTGTTCCAAATTGGGTACATTGTACCAAAAATTAAGTCAAAAAGTCGAAAATTTAGATATGTCATAACTATAAACGACAAATAAATTTTTGCTCGTTCCATGGACAGACTAAAAGAGCGTTCACTACGATCTTGGACGATGTCCGCCCGATCGATCGTATCAACATCGTACTCTTCGAATCAGATGTTCGAGTGTGGAGGAGCAACCAGATGGTGGAAGCTACGAGCGACAACATAGCGGCAGCCAAGAGACATGTCAACCGTATAAGGGCAGGTGGTGGTAGGTGCATTCAAAACATCACTAAAACCAATCGCACGTACGATGAAGAAATTGCCATATCCTATAGATGTGAAAATTTGAACATGACTAGGGTTCCGAAAAGACATGTGAACACCCAAAATCGTAACATTTGTCAGGTACTGGATGTCTTCAAGTGGGAGAAAAATCCCTATTGGATGCGAATCATAGTGTCTACTTCCCCTATTCTTGTTCTCGACCTTGCTGTTGTTGTGGTTGTTGTTGTTGTTGTTGTTGTTGTTGTTGATGTTGTTGTTCTTTTTTCTTTTCTTTTTTTCTTTTCCTTCTTCTTCTTCTTCTTCTTTTTCTTCTTCTTTATCACCTTCAACATCTTATTCTTCTCTTCTTCATTTTTTTTTTACTGTCGCACAGGAACAAACTTATACGATGGCTTAAGGAATGCTGTTGACCTCCTGATGGAACACGGCAATGGTGAGGCCATGCCCCTCATCATCATGCTAACCGATGGACAACCGACGTCGGGCAGCGTAAAGAGCACGTCTGAAATCATTCAGAGAATCACCAACCTAATCGATGGTCGACTGTCTTTGTTCAGCGTCAGCTTCGGCAACGGAGTCGACTTTTCATTTCTGGAAAAACTCTCGCTTTCCAACCAAGCCCTGGCTCGTAAAGTCTACGAAGACTCGAGTGCGAGCTTACAGATGAAAGGTTTCTACGACGAAGTCGCTAATCCGCTCCTCTTTAATATCAACCTCGAATACAGCCACGGACTCGTGGATGAAGACAGCCTCACGCAGTCGAATTTCATGGCTTACTTTGACGGCACTGAAATCACAGTGGCGGGAAAGCTAAAAGATGACGTCATCTATGCCGTTTGGAATTCCTCGAACGAAACCATCTTACCTACAGCCCAACATCCGGGCACGATTTCGATTGGGGATGGAAATGAAGGAGGCAGCTACGTATACGGTGACCTGTCTGTCTTCATCACCGGGCAGTCCCTCGATGTCGACATCATGTTCAACACGTCCACACCGATAGAGGTAAGCAGTGGCAAGCAGGTATCAATGAGGACCCTAGTATGCGTTAAGAGGGGGGGGGGGGGCATCGCACAAAATAATAATTTGAAGAAGAAAAAAAAAGTCTTTTGAGAATCTTTCTACATTAGTATAAGGCTGCAGTTCATTTTTTCCGTAGGAAATTTGTAAAGGAAAAAATATTTCCCCCCCCCCCCCCCGCCCACCCGCCTCTCCTTCAAATACACTAAGCGTAGGTAAGTTTTTGTTTGCACCAATATTGCACAATGAAGGCGGTATACATTGTCGGGAGGTATAAATATAGGGATCGGTAGAAAATTGAGGTGTCGTAGTGAGACAAAATATTCAATATTAGTTTCAAAGAGAATTTTTAAAATAAAATTGCTAAGACCAGTGCGAGTAACGTGTGACTACCCGATACTAGCAATATTATTTGGGCAATTATTCGGGGATATTTTCCACCATCATAGTTTTTAATATACCGTCTTATCTTACTTACATATTTACAATTTGAACTATAAGCAGACATAATTTCATATCGATGTGAGAATGTGTACATTATACTTGGTACATCGTACCGACATTAATTTTTGTGAGTATGTCATTGCAAACGGGATACCGAAATTGATACATTGTGCCGAAATTGTCACATTGTTCCAAATTGGGTACATTGTACCAATTCGGTACACTGTACCAAAAATTAACTTATAAAAATATGTGAATAACTCGAAATTCGGTACATTATACGAAAATAAATAGTAACACTTTATTTTCTGAACTTGGTCAATCACACACAGAGAGAGCACCCTCTACGTCGTCATGAAGTGGATGACTTCGCTCAACGTCTCTGGGCTTACCTCACCATCAAGAAACTTCTCGATCAACGAAAGACAGTAGACGATCGTGAAACAAAGGCGGCGCTCTCCGAACGGGCCCTCAACCTCTCGCTCAAATACCATTTCGTCACACCTCTGACCTCTCTCCTGGTGGTCAAACCCGATGTCAATGACACCGATATCCATGGAGATGGTGAACTCGAGGTCCTGAGCGCTGATATGCAGAGCCAGTCATCTTCAAATATCGCTCTCCAAAGTGTTCCTAGACCCAGACCCAAGGGAACTTCTGGAGTTTCCCTTAGAACGAGTAAGGCAAAGATCAGACACAGATTATTAAAGGGGAAGTCCACCCTGATATTAAGTTGGTTTTAATAGAAACAGAAAAAAATGAAAGTTATGAATTGTTAAAGTTACTATCAACAAATCACAACTTTTTTGACAACCCCTGCTGTATGGAAAAAATGTATTCTGTCATCAGTAATGAAGAAAATGAAAGTTTATGAAATTTTATGTACAGACCAAATTGGAGGGGAGCTCGCAAAATACGTCACAGAGTTGCCAATCTGTGTTTTGTTGATAGTAACTTCAACAATTCATAACTTTATCATTTGTAATCGGAATTTGCTCAAACTTTCATTGACCGGCTCCTCTCATTTTTCTGCTTCTATCAAAACCAAGTTAATATTAGGGTGGACTTTCCCCTTTAAAAGATCAACACAATAATGGTCTAGTGTTTAATAAAAGTTCGTTACACGCAGGACTTTTTGTGCTCTATCTCTTGTGTTTACATAAAATGGTCTTTTTACGTAGATGTATAGACTATAAAAATGTCGGGTAGAATATTGTCCAATATAATGAGGGAAACTTTGTGCCTAACTGACTTTAACCAAGCGTACAGACCCAACTTCGGCAATTCGTTGTTGTTGTTGATCATTTTACAAAAAAGCTGGTCATCATTAGGTAAAACATTACCCTTATTAGCCATAAAGATGTCCCGAAATTTGTCGGACACAATCGTAATTAGTACCCTCCTGTTTGGTCAATTTTACCTGAAATGTTAGTGTGAATGCGGCATAAAGGATAACCGCACCTATAGAGTCACCTAACACAGTAATTAAGTAATGATGAGCTACAAAAAAGACATAATTATTTCATCTACATCGTATCTAGCCTATCAGAGTACTAAAATGAAAAGCAAAGCAGTGCATTTATGTAGCATCAACCATGAAAGTACTGTTTTTCAGTTTTCATTGAAAGCAGTTGATTTTTTATCTAACTTATAAATGGCCTTAGAATTAAAAAAAAAACCTTAAAACTTAATAAAGGAAAATTACAACCATTCATTTCGTGAAAAATAATATTATTTTTTTGTGGAAAAGCTACAGACAGGGTTTCAGTTAAGGATATGATTAGAGAAAATTGAAAATCGTAGACAACATTATCACGGGGCTTATTCAAGTCTTACAGAGATTGTTGAAGGCCCCTATGGAAGAAAAACAAACATTCGTGTTGATCAGGGCGTTCTATATGCCACAATAATTATATTTTAAAATACGTTGAATGCATTCAAATGTAATTTCTCTCTTAAAACACTTTTAAAATTCCAAATTCTCCAAAGAACCACAGTTTATTCCACCGCTGAGTCGGCAGTCGATTCCACAGTCCGTTCCAAACCCGGCGCCTGTCGTATCATCTTTCAGTGAGTAATATTTCCTTACCTATAACATCAATATAATTTTTTTGGCCAAATCTCTAGCTTTATGAATGACCTTAGAATTAAAAAAACACCCATAAAAGATACAGGAAAACTACAACTATTCATTTCGTGTAAAATAGTATTATTTTAAATAAGATCCCCCTTCTCCTGTCATCAATATAAGCTACTGAGAGGAAAGATTTTAAAGGAATTTGATTGCATAAAATATCACTTTTAAACAATTTTCCCCTAATATTTGGACTTGTATATGTCAACATGTTTTTCCAAGGTCTAATTACATGGAGCACCTTTGAGCGAGCAATGCCAAACTGATGAAAACTGAAATACACTTAAATTCTATATAAAGTCGTTACCCTAACCTTGAAAAATTAATATTTTTTAGCAGAAAGGCTTCGGACAGGGTAGGATACGATGAGAGGAAATTAAATATCGTAGACAACATTATCACGGGGCTTATTCACGTCTTACAGAGATTGTTGAAGGCCCCTATGAAAGAAGAAGAAAAAACATTCGTGTTGATCAGGGCGTTCTATATGCCACTATAATTATATTTTAAAATAGGTTGAATGCCTTCAAATGGAATTTCTCTCTTAAAACACTTTTAAAATTCCAAATTCTCCAAAGGACCACAGTTTATTCGACCGTTGAGTCGACAGTCGATTCCACAGTCCGTTCCAAAGCCGCCGCCCGTCGCATCATCTTTCTGTGAGTAATATTTCCTTACCTATAACATCAATATAATTTTCCTTGCCAGATCTCTAGCTTTATGAATGACCTTAGAATTAAAAAAAAACACCCATAAAAGATACAGGAAAACGACAACTATTCATTTCGTATAAAATATTGTTATTCTAAATAAGACGCTCCCTTCCCCTGTCATCAATATAAGCTACTGAGAGGGATGATTTCACATGAATTTAATTGCATAAAATATCACTTAAATAATTCTCCTCTAATATTTGGACTCGTATGTCAACATGTATTTTCAAGGGTTAATTACATTTCCAAATTACAAATTCTCTCATTTTTAGCTTCACACTCTTTTCTAATGCTCTTAACGCCGACGGCCGACGTGACATCTTTTGGTGAGTAACATTTCCTTAACATCAGTATAATTTTCCTTGCCAAATCTCTGATCATTTTTCACACTTCTTTATTCTGAAATAATATTGTCATGTATTGAATCACTACAACATGTCGCTGCCGTTTAAATAGTTATGAGGATGTTGAGTAAAAATATAAAAAAATAGTGCTCCTTACCCTGAGGTTTTATAATCATCTAAATGATTATAAGTCCACTCAGTCTTGCTATTTCGGAATTTGAAGATCAATCTTTTCAGGGGAAATATCTTCCGTGATAATCTTCTAAGCAGACATTAAAAAGAAATAAGTCTTATCCGTAATTTTTGAATTCCTGTTGAAATATAATAATAGTGGATTAATATTTTATGTGTTTCATTCTCCTGATTTGTTTAAAACCAGCCGACAGTGATCCTCACTTCATGGTCGAGATCCTTCACTCTGGTTTGACGGTGTGTTTTGATATCAATGGTGATCCTGGTGATGTATTCAATCTCTTGAGTGATCCCAAGCTCAGTAAGTATTCATTGAATGAAAATTAATGGTCAATAGCTGATCCAGGGGCACGGGAGGCAACACCCTCCCCTCCTCCGATCAGAGAACGGCAAAACGGCACACCACATACTTGATAAGACCCTTTGTTTTTTTCTTGTCACAGAATTGTGGGATTTGTGCCCCCCACCCCTCCCCCTCTGCTAGTGAATCCTGGACCCGCCACTGTTGTTAGATAAAGTAGTTATATTGAGATACTTCATAGAATGCAAGTGTTGCATTTTTCCATAATTACCAATTGTATACTCAAATCGGTCTCCTAGATTTTATTGAACAATAATTATATACCTAACGATTGCATTATATATTATCATTGAAAAAGAAACACACGAACAAAACAAAAAGTAGACTTAAGACACACTGCATAATGATACTTGTGTGACTTCATTAGCAAAATATTGTTATATTGTCTTCAGATCTGCGAGTATCTGCCTATGTCATTCCTGTGAAACACGACGGGATTCCCGGTTCCAGTAGGAATAATACATACTTCGGTAAGATCGGTGTCCTACTCGGGACGGACCGGTACCTCATTCTGACACCCGACACCATCGAGGTCAACAACGAGGCGTTCAAGCTCGGCTGGGACGACCACCTCTCAATGCGCGTCGGTGACTTCGTCGTTCATGTCAGGAATAAGCATCAAGTGGTGATCGCTCATGGTGATGATGTGGTGGTGGTGATCATGGCGCACCGCGTGAAACACGGAAACATCTTCCTTGCCGAGAGAGAAAGGGCGACCGACAGGTCTCGTCGCGTTGATCATCTTGGGTTCTATGTTGAGGAAGGAAAGGGTCTTGCTGAAGATGTCCATGGCCTCATTGGTAAGTTTCACCATTGTTCGCAATGTCGCCGTGACAAGTCTAAATGGTTTGGGGCAGCAATATTACTGATGGTGTATCTTGGGCCTAGCCTTAAAGGAGCACTGGCATCATGCCGGGGAAGGAGGTGGATGGGGGCACCGGTCCTAATATACGTGAAAATGTTTATTAACAAGGCCTTCGGTTAGGGAAAAGATGTTGGAAACGGTCTTATTATCTTTGTCACGTTCTTTTTCCCATCACACATTCTTTCTGTCTTTTTTCCCTCTATTTACAACAAAAACCCAACTATTCGATGAGGGAGGGGATACGGGCCCTGCGTCCAGTGCCCCTAGTAGCTACGCCACTGAATATTATTACCGAAACAAACATCGAATAATACTTTTCCTCCCCTAATGAAACATCAACCACAACTACCAATTATGTCTTTAAAAAACAAATTTATATAAATAATACTGGTACATTTACTCGATACGAGGTGAACAAGTTTGAAGAGTGGTGCAACCAACATTTTCATCAACTTAAATACTTCCAAAACAAAAGAAATGGATCTTGATTTCAGAACTTCCGCACGTTCAGTTTTATTGCCTATCACGATAAAGGAAGAAAATATAGAAATTGTCGAGTCATTCAAGTATCTAGGCACCGTAATTGACAACAAATTGTCATGGGCTGATTATTTTAAGTCCGTTCTCTCAAAGGCTCAACAAAGGATATATTTTTTAAGAAAACTTAAATCGTTTCATGTAGATAGGACTATTCTTACTTTGTTCTACAAATCCATCATAGAAAGTGTTATGTTATTCAGTTGCGTTGTCTGGTACGGGAGATGTAAGAAGAAGGACTTTAGCAAACTCCAGAGAATCACCAAACAAGCAGGGAAGACAATGCGAATCCAAAAAAATCCTAGAAGTAAAACAAATTATGAAAAACGAAAATCATCCACTATTTCCATATGATGTTTTTATGAGTTCTGGTAAACGACTTCGTTAAATGAACTAAATTCCTTGGTTCCTTTCTCTATCCGCAAATACAATCAAAAAGCCACCTGAAATTTGCGTTCTTCCTTATTTCTCTAATGTTATTTTTGTAACCTTTTCCGGGCCATCCCGTTTACTCGACACTTAAAATAATTCACTTATTTTGTTTATAATGACGTAAGAAAACTACTGTATAGCAATATTCTATATATTTCTATATCATAGTATATGATATATATTATGAATGTAAAGTTTATTTTGATTCTTTGTACGTTTGTAAAATGTAAGCAAAACATATTTCTAATATTGGATAATAAATTGAAATTGAAATTGAATTGAAATCGAAGAATATTGTTAAAGGGAACATACGTCTAAAGCTTATAGGTTGCGATCAATCCGCTGGACTGAACACAAAGCAAAAGTCGGACAATATAAACGGAAACAAGTTACTTGAATTCTTAATTTCTCCTTGTCAGTTAATGGAAGTTTATTTCACATATATAATTTAATACGAGGTGTTTTTTTTTAAAGCTTTTTTAAATCGTGTATTGAATCTCACATGTCCTAATAGGGAGTATTCATATCGAAGGATAATACAATGAAAACAAGTAAAAAGATGTGTATTATAACTGAGTTAGACATGTACATCTAATTGCAATGAGATATTATAGATACTTACTCTAATACATGTACATAAACACCCACAAATTCAAGGACTTTCTATTTCTCAGAAATAGTTGAACGATATCTCTTAATAATTTTGTTTGCGTTCCCAGGTCAATTTTATCGGAAGACGGAGGTCCTCGTGTCAAGACCAGTCGTCGATGCCACGGACCCGTTTGACGAACCCCTGCCCCTGAGCTCCCCCGATCAGAACGCGACTCTCTCGATCGACGACCGACAGGTCCCCGTGACTCTCATGAATCGCCACATTCCCCTTATTCGAGATTACAAGGAATGCTGGCATGCTGCTGATAATGCCAAGGGTCTGATTGAAGGAGACTACACTGACTACAAGCTACCGTATCTCAATGCGCGCCCAGCCGCTTAAACATCTCATTTTTGTCTCGAAATAGCTCGAACCTTTTTTGTTTGTTTTTAAATCATGTTGATTTGCCTTTGGAAAGTAAGACTTTACTATGGAGGTGTTTATTGTTCGTGCTGCAGTTATATATATATATATATATATGTACAAAAGAAATATTGAATTAATAGTATCCATAGTGTAATAATTTGCCTCCCATAGTTTATATGGTAGAATCTGCATTATAGAACGAGAGAAGATACAAGAGCGCAGTAGGCCTATTATGTTGATGACTTAATTACTTGTAAATAAAAACCCTCTTTCTTACTACACCTGTATTACATCTATTGCAGCTGGGGTGCTGCCCATGCATGCACAAGAACAGAAGTAGTAATGAAAGTAGTAGCGGTAGTAGTAATACTACCTTTAAATGTTGTTGTAGCAGTGTAGTACCGTGTGAGTGTATCCGGACACTTACCCCCTGGACATCTACCCCGGATAACCACCCTCTAAGACGCCTACCCCGGGACAACTACCCCCGGATAACTACCCCCAGCAGTACTGTGAAACTGTTTAAATTTTGAATTTTGCCTGGCAGTCGGGAATAAAGACCTTGAAGTCTATTCAACTGTCTTTATTTGTTTACTAATTTATGTATTTGTTTATTCATCCGCTTTAATTTTACAGAATCTATTTGATTATTTATTTATAAAGTCATGCTTTAAATATTATTTCGAACCCATAACAATTGAATCATTTTCTATTTGTTTAAAACGACTGTTCTATCTTTCCGGTTCCTTCTCTGGTTACCTTTGTCGGACTACACTGATCGTCTGTCTGTCGCATATGTTGCAGCTAGGCCATTTTCGTAATGTAACCAAATTTATGCATATGCCTAAAGCGCTTCGATACGAATTATTTCATTCACCTGTTACAAATAAATGTATTGCAATAGTCAGAATTCAAATTGCATACATTAGTTGTTTCATGGTAGGACAAACATTATGGCTTTTCCTACCTAACAGCACGTTATTTATGCAATTAGCATTCTGACTATGAAATACAATTATTCGCAATGATCGGGGGAATGAAATAAGTTGTAACAAGGTACTAGAAAGATTTGTGCATTACATTTGAAAATGGCCCATTGACAGATCAAGATTCAAGAGTCAGGTAAGGGTATCACCTGTCACTAGATGGGTATCATTGATGCGACAATTATGAATATATGGCATCTCCATTTGACAACAGCAATCAGAAAACAAAAGCAAGCAACTGCCAAATCGCACACATTCCCATTCACAGAAACCTTTCCAGTACTTCCTACTGAATAGTACATGCCTACATGGACATGTTTTTCCGCATAAATGCTCAATTATTCTCACAGTGAGTTTCGCCTAATTTAGGTGTTTTCCCCCTATTATTTGACAAATTTCAGATGACTGTTGCTTAATTTTGTCAAAGGGCAGTCAAATTGGTCAAAAACTTGCTGACAGGGAAAAATGATTCAGCTCCATTTTAATTTTCGGAATGTTAAATCAATTTGTAGTGGCTCAACAATGTTCGACTCTTCATCGTGAAATGTACAGTAAAATTAATGTAACAAATATATTGTTGAATGAATGTGTTGATTTCACTAAAGTTAAAAAAAGAAAAACAGAATTGAAACCTTATAACCCCTTCATTATTTAGAACGAATAAATTGATGCGTAATGCTGTCCTGAATCGAATATTATACTGCGCCATCTTTTGTTGACTAATTCTGCCTTCAATTTACCCATATTTTCAGAATTATCCCCTACAAACAATCGTGAGAAACATTTATTTTTAGAATTTGGAGGGGGAGGCTTACATAAAAATGTAAATGACACGACACAAATTAATGACAGGAGTATATTCCACAAAATAATGGTTATTATGATATGATATTGCACTTTATTGCACCTAGTATTCATTTTAATCACACATACAGAAGGATGAACAAGTCATTAGTACTACATGAACATGTTTGAAGTTGCATCTCAGTCTTTTTATATCTTATTGAACAGATTCAGAGATTAGAAATATAAATAGTGACGGTGGTATTCACAGTGCATTCTGCTGTATATTCAGCAATAATGCCCAAATACAAAATATATATAAGATGATAGACATTCTACAAATTCTCACTACAATAAAGCAATAAATGCAAAAGAAAGTACTTTGGATCTGTTTTCTGTTAGCAAATTCATAGTTTCTGGCAATTTTTTAGGTTTTATTTTTCATATTGATCGAAGTACAACCTAAAACATAAAGTCAAATTCAAAGTTGATCATTCGTTGGATCAATTTAGGCCTACATATTTACTAATTTGTATGTTCTATGGTCGATTTCTTATAAGTTTTTATTCTTATAAGAATGGATTAAACAAAAATAATTAATATGCACAGTGATGACACCAGGATCAGAAGGAGTAAGCCTCGGCCAATCGTAAAATGAAAAGGAGCAAGCTAGAAAATCAAACGAAGACCTTTATATCTGATATTGTATTTGACTAGAACTAGCCGGGGGTGTGACTTGCCCCTACCCATGGTGCCCCCATGGTCTCTGCATTGCTGGTGTGGTTAACGAAAATTGCAGTTAACAAATGCGTCGAAAATTATAATCATCTCATGCTAACGGCTTGGATAACGATACATTCATGCAGACGTAATGATAGATAACAAGATTCTGTGTTTATATAGCGCTTGATACATCTACGATGCAACTGTACCAGTCAACATCCTAATGTTTTCAGTGGATTCCAGCGTTCCATCTTTTAGATCTAAATTAACTTGTTCCTTATTTTGTTCCCAGGCAATCTTTCATGCTATTTAAAATCAAAACTAAATTATCCAACCTGTCACCTTTGAACTTTGCAGGTGACACTATTTTGCAAAGCGTACGGCTAGACTATTTTATAAACAACCCGATATCAAATTCACAACTTCAACATTACTTCAGGTATATTGAATGCTAATTGATTCAATGGATTACATATTATTATGTGACCTTTTTTACAATTCTGTATTAGTGGGCATTTGCAGGTATTTGAAAGTAGCCAAAATTTGATCCGATTGCTAGCACGAATCGGGATTATGACTAAATTTGTAGCCAAATACACCGATGAGCAAGAAACGTAAATTGAACGGACCACAATGTATTTGTTCAGCAAGTTTGGCATTTACTTGACCTTTTTTCTCTTCCTCGGCCTATTGCGACATTAATATGTGAGTTGTCTCACACACATTCAGGTTGATAAGTAATACGTTGGGTATGAACGAAACATTTTCACAAATAAACATGGATTCATGTAACAGTTTGTTTTTAGACGTTGGTGTTATTCTGAAGAAATCAGTATACATTGTGAATTTCTTCATCGACTATAAAGACATGATCGCAATGACTTTCGACAAATTTTTATTAGGCAATTTTTAAAAGCGTTGTCTATCAATTTTTGAAATAAGTGAAAAATCGAATATGATAACGTGAAGATAATTGCTGAAAGAAAGGGCTATAGATTCATTTAAAAAAAGGAATTAGCTTCCATTATCTACCTGTTTTAAATTAACGAACCTACTCTATCACTAAGTTCTTAATGGTGTGATGATGTCAAAGAAATCATTATAATGAAATGTGAAACCACTTGACCAGTAATAAAATTACATACTATTTTTAAAGAAAAACAAGTGCATAATAATATAAGTGAAAACATTTAGTACCTATGAGGTTCGCTTCATTTCTGTAGTTATATGAGACAAACTGAAATAAAGTCTTAACAAATTCCAAAATTAAATGGAATGTTATACATTAATGTAAATCTAATAATCAGCGGACGAATTCTAATTTGAATACAAAATTAATCATAAACTTTAAATGAATATATTCTACTTATTCGTTTTATTTTCATTCTTTGCAGGAAATTATATAATTTTGTCCAGACTGTCGATCTTTCCTCCAGTTACAATCCATCATGTAAAAGATGAAGTCTTCATATCCATCATGTTTTGAGTGAATTCCATAGGTCTTATCATGGTCCAACACCCCGTGGCTGAATTGACAAAGAGTGGGAAGGGCGCCAGCTGGAGTTGTGATGCAGTTGCGTCATTTCTGCCCATCGGTAGAAAACCGCCGCGGTTCGGGGACGCCGCGGCTGCAGCAGCGGCGGCAGACGCGGCTACGGCCGAGAGAGCGAGACTGTGCGGTCCGTTTGCAGATGCTCCGAAGGGAAGGAAGAGCCCCGTCGCTGCAGCGAGGCGAGACGCTGCAGCTGCGGCGGCGGCTGCTGCAGAAGCCACCGGTGCCCGAGATATATCTGCTAGAGAGGTGGCCGGTATGAGGTGATGTGGAAAACCTTTGCCGCTTGGATGAAATGCAGACATCTGCTGCATACCTGGAATGGATAGCAGAAATTAACAAAATGTTCGATAGACCTATTTGTAATAATGCTGTATACAAAGAATAGTTTATAATGATAATAAAACAAAGTAGGATCATTATTAATAGAATGCCCCGTTAATAACCATAAATCATTTCTCAGACTTTGACCTATAATATTATTAGGAGAAACAACTCAAAATCGGGACCCGTGAAATTTGATTTCTTGTTTGCTGAAAATATCATGGATGGCATTGACCCCATCCCTAAAGATAGTCGTTTGAATATAATAAATGATGTCGAAATAATTGATCAGAATACAGTTTTGTGAATTTACCAAAGTGCATTTGCGAACCCGAGTTCTTCCTATTTGTTTTATTTCACTTCCGAGCCCGAGTCCTATTGATCCGGATAAACAGTTATGTCGGGCCACTATCAAACCGATCTCTTTGGTATGCAAGGAGAACATAGAATCTTGATCCGGACGGTATGTTATGAAACCAGTGGCGTAGCCAACTATGCATCTCCACACAGTAAAATCTCGTTCAAATATGACGCGGTAGATCGCCGTTAAAAAAACCCACATCGTCACTTTTTGTTTCACTTGCAGATGAATGGTAACTGCTCGCGATAAATTAATGTCCATTAAGTATTCACTCAGTTAATGTTATAAGATGTACTACGTCATCACAAAAAAGACCGTCGCGGTTTACCGCATCATTATCTAAACGAGGCTTAAGACCAGTGCCGCCCCCCCCCCTCCCCCGGGGTGCTGTTGCCCCGTCAATGACTGGATCCACATTACGTCACCGAAAAGACATTCCCCAATCGTCCTTTGGAATGAAATTATTCGTTTAAGCTTATATTTCAATTGGTTTTCATGGAAATACAGAGACTGGAATAAAAAATATACAAACCTTCCATAATTCTTCGTTCCTCCTCCTGACTTGCGTCATCACGATCTCCCCCGAACAGCTCACGAGGTGATCGTGGTGAACGTGGTGAGCGTGGAGATCGTGGCGATCGGGATGGAGGCGGTGACCGAGAGCGTGACCGTTCCATTTTCATCAGACGTGACATGGGATGTACGAATGGCGATGTCGTTAAGAAATCTTGTTCACCTGGTTCGATTCTCGGCATCATCCGACCTAAAAGACGGACAAAACAAAACCATGAATAAAAATAAAAACGATGTGACAATTGGATTTTAGATAGGATTACGAACACTCTCGTGCCCAGGCCTACGGGTACGATTCCTGGATTTCGAAAATACCAATCATTGATTCGGTCACCCGTCATCTTATATCAAGCAATGTTTTGTCCGAATAAAATGTATTTTTATGTGTCATCTACATTTAATATTTTGATGACGAAATTACATATTACCACACAAAATACTATACTCTTTGCTCCTGTTTTTAGAACTATAAAAAGGATGATATTGGGCGAAAGGCATCAGACCCCCCCCCCCCCCCCCCTCCACTAGCAGAAATGTATCCTCACGCTTTTGGAGTTTCATGGACATGTTCACTAAAATATTTCACTTTATTATCATTATTTTTCCCCTATTAAAACTTAACTCCTGCATTCATAAAAACAGCATAAATCAATAAATTGTACAGTTCCTCGGAAACGTTTTCCCCAAAATATTACAGTTTTAGAAAAAGTTCTAGTTCAAGTTATAGTTATGATAATATGATCTAACTTCCTTTTTCTAGAGCTTTGAAACATTCATTTACCTTTTCTATCTTTCTTTTTTTTTGGCCTTCTACTATCTTCTATGATTATGAAAACAACGATTTAGTTTCTCATTTATATATTATGTATTTTTACAATGTGTGACCAAAAGTGTCCATGTATTCTTGTGTATTTGGATGAATAAAAAGAATTGAATTGAATTGAATTCCCCCATTTTTTCCTCTATTTTTTTTAAAATATTTTTTTCTGAAATTCATTATTTCTTTATTGTTACATATTATTTAATTTATTGGTTTTCTATGTACAGGTTGTATACTTTGTTTTTAATACGTATTGTAAAACAGCCTCTGAGCAGTAGACGGTTTTTACCTGCATATTCTGTGGTGGGAGATTCTACGTCCGTTTGAACGCCTTCATCTTCTTCATTCTCTGTCTCCGTTTTCTCCTTCTGTTCACCACCTCGAACACCAACTCGATTACCATCGCCCTCTCCACTTGGACCGTTTGTTCTACCTGTTGGTGACGTCATTTCAAGACTGGCCAATCGGTGATGTTCATTTGCCAGCTCCATGAGGCGGTTGCTAAGATACGGTGCCATGGTTGTGTCTGGGGAGATGATGCCTTGCGATGGGTGTGGCATGTTCCCATGGGCGAGTCCCGCTGCCACGCGAGGTATGGGTGCAGGCAGGGAGCTTGGATTACCCTTGAGGATCGAAGAGAGAGGATGGGAACAAAAGATGATGATTATTTCAAATGTCCATGTTTATAATTATGCACTATTTCCTTTTCTGTTTTTTAACGACATCATGATGTTACTTCACGAAATTACATCTCGAAATCATTTTGCTTCAGCTTTAAGATAAAGTTGAGTACTGGTCATGCGATTGCATTGTGAAAGAAACGGTGTGGAATCGATCAGAAAAGGTTGATCATCTAGCATATAAGTATTGGTGTGTACTGCAAGATTGTGGAATCATCAAGATGATAAGAAATGTGGCCCAGCCTTGGTAAAGTAACAAGCACTATACACAGAAAGAAGTATATGGGACTGCACAAAATGGTGTCGGGGTAAGTACACCTTGATTTTCTTTTCTTTCTATGTTCATTACTCAGCCACTTTACATTTTCTACCAAATTTTTTTGCAAATGACATTTATGTGTAATCTTGAACATTCAGTGTAAGTTTTATTTGATTATGTGAGAATTCATTTTCCTTTTGTTACCAGAACTCAAGTTTATCTTTAAATTGATCAAGTTTGATAGGATGTTGTGTAACTGGAGCTCATCATGACAAGGTTAGGTAACGTCGAAAGAATAGATTAATGATATAATGAGATAAATCTGAAAGAAGATTTACGGAATATATGGAAGAAGTAGTTCGCAGGAATGGGAGACGTTGTATACTATTATCTCTTGTGTTCAGTGTCGTCTTGGAAGTCAGTGTACAAGCTTAATACCAACAATTCGTCCTTGTTTTCACGAAGTGACGGTAACGAGGAAAATCGTAACGCAAAGTGAATGCAATTTTTTTTCACTACCGTCACTTCGTGAAAACAGCGACGAATTATCAAAGTGTTGGGAGCCACAAATTTGACAACAAATTATGGCAAAAATCACTTAAATCGTAAAATGATGTGAAAGAGGATGTCATTTAACACACACTCCTGTAAGGATTTTTAAAACAAATGTGTTTGGAGACGAATATTGACGACAGAATACCATATTTTGGTTTTATGTTGTACGCAGAAAACCACAGTTTTGTATCCTGTCATCAATATTCGTCTTCGAACACATTTGTTTTGAAGATCCTTGCAGAAGTGTGTGTTAAATGACATCCTCTTTCAAATCATTAACAATTTAGGTAAAGATTTTCCATAAAATTTGTGGGACTCCCGACTATTTAGAGAGGCTCTAAAGTATTATTGTAAAGTATTTGCGTAATTCATTTCAGTATTTTTACCATTAATAGAATGTATTTCATTATTATTATTATTATTATTATTACTATCATTATTACTACCATTATTATTGTTATTGTTATCATTATTTTTGATATCATTATCATTATTATTATCATTATAATATTACTTTAATCATTATCTTTATAGTTATTATCATCTTTATTATCAGTATTATAATTATTATCACCAGTAAAATTATTGAGTTATTATTAATATTATCGTAACTATTATAATTGTTGTTATGATCATTATTATCATTATTATTTTATTGTTATTATCATTAATATCATCGTCATTATTATTATCATTACTATATATCATCATATAATCATCGTCAATATTATTGATATCATCATTATTATCATTATTATATATTTAACTATTATCATTACGATCATTGTAACTATTATTATTTTCATCATCATCATCATTAATATAATTATCATTAGCAGTTACCTCGTCATGTGTGAAGTAAGTTCCATTGCGGATAATCCTATTGATTGAGCTAATACTAGGTATGGTGTTCTTATCACAAACTCTTTCCCGAAGAAGACGATCTCGAATCTCCCAAGCAAAGATGGAGGGGTTCTTTCGTTTGTAACTCATTATCTTCTTCACAACCAGAGGTGTTGCAACCTAGTAATGAAAATAATAGATCAATAAAATAAAAAAATAGAACAAAAAATCAAACTGGTATACTTGATATTGATCGAAGTACTCAACTTTATCGTATGCAATGAGACAATCGAAATCACATATTATATACTAACAAGGAAAATGATGCTGATTCTATTGCTGATGATGAAGATAATAATGATGATAATAATAATATTGATGACGACGATGAATATGATAATGATTATAATAATCATGTTAATTATTATAATGGGAATAATAATAATTATAATAGTAATGATAATAAATGTAATAATAATAATGATAACAATTATAATAATTGATAAAAAATAATAATGATACTTCTACTACTAATAATGATGATGATAATAATACTAACTGTAGTGTTAAGATAACAGCAGAGCTATTGAAAAATTAATTAAATAGCAACCATGTGAATGGTTGTCGTTTGTAAGAGTCAAATGACCGAGTTCAATTTTTGTGTCTCCTCCTAATAGGCCTAATCTATACAACAACAAAAAATATCTATCCCTATACCTCCCTTCTTATGTACACTGCAAAAACCAGGGTGTTAAATTTATAACACCAGTATGGTATTGAATTTTTTTGACACCATTGGTGTTATTTTTAACACCGGTCAGATTTAAGTTTAAGATTTCGTTTAAGGTGGTTGATTGGTCGAATAAGTTTTCACAAAGTGTACGTGCGCTTAATGATTATTTTACACGTGTTCACATAAGAATACATTTATCATGATGTGTTAAGCAAATTATGACAATGCACATCAATTTTGTGATTTGTATTTTCCTTTGGCAATTATTGACCAATAGATTATTTGTCTGATCTTGGTACAATTACATTAACGTTTTAGCAATAGATATATTGATCATAAGATTACTAACCAAGAAACAACATGCATATTTATTATATATTCGTGTACCAGCCTGTATCATTTAAATGTTAATCTTGAAATTACTTCAAATGATCTATGTGATGGAGTTAATGCAATTGAGATTAGAATATACCTATTGGTAGACAGTTGCCAACATCGATTATGAATTATCAGTTTACCATTGGTTCTTCTACCTTAGTCGATAATGGTCGTTAATAGGAAATGTGGAATGTTGGACCATTGGATCAACAAGAATATAAACACCAAAAGTGGAATTGAATTTGTTATGATTCCAGATATTGTTGTTAATCTACACCAGTAGATCTAGGAGTTGTCAAATATTACCACCAAGAGTGGAATTGAATTTGTTATGATTCCAGATATTGGTGTTAATCTACACCAGTAGGAGTTGTCAAATATTAACACCAAAAGTGGAATTGAAATTATCTAATTCCAGAAAATGGTGTTAAGTAACACCAGAGGAGTTGTCCGATATAGATACCAGAAAGTGTTAAATTGAACACCCTTGGTGTTAATTTTAACACTCTGGCTTTTACAGTGTAGACACCCCCTCCACCCCCTCCTGCGCTCTCCTCTTTCCTCTCTTCACGTTCTTCAAATTATAAGAAGAACAACAATTCATATGCATCAACTAGCGATAAACGAGAATGTGACTTTGTACACGTTGTACTTGTGAACCATTGGCTTAGAAAATCGTGCTCATTAAAAATCACTCGCTCAGAAGTGTTGAAATTTTCCCGCTAGGCGTGAAACAAATTATCTTTATACATGATTAATTCCAAGAAACCACAATACATCATTAATTTCACTGCGACAAGTCTGCAATGATCAAACGTTGCAACTATATAGCATCCCTTTCTAAACAACATCATGCTAATTGAGACGCGACAGAAGTATAATGCCGAAGAATTCAATACACATCTGATAATTGTATTTTTTGATACATGCATTTCTTCCAGGAATTTTAATATCTATTCTTTTAATTATCAAGTACCGACAAAAACAAATTCAATAAAATACAATGAATGAAATCAAAGAAAAGAATTCGAAGAGAATTAATTTGTAATTTCCTTAATTCAAGGCATCCTTAAATGAGTATTTTTGTGTATGACATGAATCATGGAGTTACTAACCTCCATGCATGAATATAATTGTTAAGAATATACTCGAATTTCCTGGTAATTCTAACAAATTTAAGGTGTAAATTAGTAGTTTCGAAGTAAAACAACAACACTTATCCTAAATAGTCCTACTGAACGAGTCGTAAAATTCGATTTTAGTCCCGGTTGCATACTGATTTGAACATCTTTGTACATTAAGTACAGAGTTGGACTGTTTAATAAGCTTCAAGCATCTATGAACTCTAAAAAGTACACTGTTGCATGATTAAGATGTATTCGATGCACCTGCCTCTTCACAGAAAATATGTAGTCGAACTATATTCTTGATTTTATCAAGAAAACATTACCATGTGTACATTTTCGAGGTTGTTCACTATTAAACAAAAAGGGCAGTATTTAGGGCTATTGTAATTAACTACATTCTATTGCTTATACATTAAAGTGACTTTTACTTTTAGTTTTGTTTTTTGTTTTTAATCTACTCCTTGCACTCATCTATTCTAATAAATTAACCGATATCATATTGAAACTCTGGCTAAATCATTTATAATCGTTACAATTTAATTTTTTTTTGTAGGAATTTACTACAGTACATCCTATATATCTGCTATATGGTATTAATAAGCTGGCTCATAATGAAATAGTCGCCATGTCAAATTAACCCCTTTTTTTTAGATGTTTGATTGCAACGAGATTTCGGTCTCCGCGCTTGGCCTCAAAGGCTCAACATTGTACTTAAAAAATTATGTTAGGGGCTCTCAGGTCAAGACAGTCATCATTAAAACAATATTAATTGTAATGTATTTTTTGGTTTGCAAACGATTTTATTGTTGTAATGCTTTCGTGCTATATTTCTACGCAAGATTATCATTTAGTTTTTTAAATTTTGTTCCGAAGAGAAAGTGTTCAAATTGATCAAATAAAAATATCAGTCCTAAAGTCATTCCTAAAAGTTTTAACACATAATATTATACAAGTTTTGCCATCCAACACAGGATCCTTAATAATTGTAATGTATTTTGGGGGGTTGCTATCGACTTTTTGTTGCAATTCTGTCGTGCTATATTTCTACTCAAGATTATATTTAGTTTTTTAATTTTGTTCCGAAGAGAAGGTGTTCAAATTGATCAAATAGAAAAATATCCGTCCTATTTCCTCAAAGTTTTAACACGCATACAAGTTTTGCTATCCATCACAGGATCCTTAACATGAAGAATGAATTTATATAATTATCATCAAATGATGTTATTTCGTTTATGAACAATCATAATCATACCTAGTCATATGAATATTATCATATCGCATTGTATCTTACCATGATAATCACATAATTAGCATAATAGCATATAATATCATTGTCATATCATTATCATAGCATGCAGCATATCATTATGATATCATATCATACCATACCATATCATAATCATTCATCATACCATATCCCTCCTTTTCATATAATGATCTCGCTCCCCTTTTCCTATAAATTAACAAAGATTTTCTCATTATTCAAAAATCATTTATTAATTCATTATGATGGTCCGATAATCAATAGGTTTATATAAGTATATTACTTACTAGGTCCGAGTGTTCCATTTATTAAATATATGGGAATAAGAAAATTCAATAGTCAGTGGGCAAAACTGGAATTGCATTCATTTACATGTATCTAGCCGGGCGTTTTATCAATTTTTTTAAAGACACGACATCCTTTTAAAAATACAAAGTTTAGTGTCACCCCAATCTTAAATTCATTATAGAAGATGCATTCTGCATCCCTCTAGCACTCATCAGGTGCCATATATACATGTAAGGGTACACTAATTGTTTCTAAATTTTGCGAGTGAGCGAAGCGATTGACCCCCAAATTATACGAACCCGCCACATCCTGAATGTGGCGAAACAAAAATTTGCAATCAAAACACATGTACTATAGAAGATATAAAATTATGTATACGGGTAAATCTCTGCCGAATACATGAAACTAGATGATGTTGATACATAAATATGATAGGCATCTTGTTTCCTAGAGCTATCCCGTTTTTAGATGTTGCGAGCGAGTGAAATGAACGAGCGTGTCAATATGTAATTTTGATATATACAAATATTGGATATTTGCCCAAACGTGGCGGCATTTGGGCACCTCGCTGGGAAAAAGAAGAATATTAGGGTACCTTGTTTGTAAAAAAAATGAAGGTAATTAGGCTTTTAGAGGTCTGAAATCATCCTGTTTGGCTGTTTCTAAATGTTCCGAGCGAGCGAAGCGAGCAAAGAAGAAAGGTACTTTAATGACCTGAAAATTATATTTCCTCATAACAAACCATAGCAGTTTTTAATGTTTTGGTTTCGCGAAATTGAAGTTCTACGAAAAAAAGAATTTTATTATAACTAGATTTCTCACTTGGCACCCCACAATATCTTTTGCGGCAACCCGTTTAAAAAACGCTGATCTAGCCTTTAGAGCATAGACTGACCTACCAGATCAAGATTTCAAGAGAATAATTGGTCTTTCAAGTGCAAATTACACCCTTCAAAAAATCCACCCCGTCGTGTTGCCATTTCAATTTGCAACCTAAGTTTGCGCGCCGCTACCAAATCACGGAGACAATAAATAATTGGAAGCAATGATCTGCTCGACGAACCTTTGGTTTACTGCCGCCGATGTTGCCCGGTGCGATGGAACCGGTCTCGTAGTAGCGACTGAGTATCTTGGAGACGCAGCCGTGCGAGACGAGAAGCTGTCGGGAGATGTCGCACGGTCGGACGCCAAGCTGAGCCAACTCGACGATGCGTGCCCGTACACAGACGGGGAGAGGGCGGCCGTTGACGAAAACCCCGCCCAGCTGGTTGACGCCAGCCTGACCTGCAACAAGTAGGTATGAAACCATGAATGAAAGGCAGATTGAATGAGAAGATGACATGCAAGGTTGTGATCCCGAGTTCATTGATATACTTCTACTTCGATGCTCTATCTACACGTATATCGAGGTTAAGTAAATAGTACAATAATACAATAAGATCTGTTTATTTATACTGCGCTAGATTTTAAATATAATGTCCGATTAGTTTGAAGTACTAGGCCTTCGTCAAGACGATTTTCAATATTGTAAAGTTTTTAAGCTGTATTATTAAAACGCGTCGTAATCCCAGAGAGATGTGTAACGTACAATGTGATATGCTCCATGAAAAACGGAATATTATTTTTATTTTTATTTTTATAATCAAAACAAGGATTCAGATGATTTATTCCGCTATCAATGTTAGTTGAAGTAAATCTAAGAGGTGTAGAGGCCTTCTGTTACACAATTTCGTGAGTTTAAAGACCACATTATGACCATAGGCGTACAAGGCTTTGTGGGTAATGGGGGGGGGGGGGCGTGGCAAGGGCTACAGCCCCGGGAAGCTTTCACCTCATATTTAGGCAGCAAGATCGCAACTGTAACATTGTAATATCTTATATAGTATCAAAATTTATACCCAAAGCTCTCTAAAATTGCCGTATTAAATCACACAAGAATTATAATGATTTGCTGGTTTGCGAATTCGTAAACGGGAACTTGAATAGATCGTTAAATTGTGTTCATTAGCTCATGTTTAATGCAAACTGTCATAATTTTGTCCGATTACGGAGCATGTTGTAAGTTGGAAGAAACCATCAAACGAAAAGCGAAATATTAAACATGCTTTTATACCACAGACATGAAGACCGTGAGCTGCAAATTATGACTTTATCCTAACTGCTCTCACCTCTCTCACTTTCCACCTCCACCCTACCTGCATTATATTATGTCCTAATAAATCACGCAATACTACATTCTTGTTTCTTCTGGCAAATCAAAGGTAGGTGGTTTTATATTCCCTTTTTTTTCTTCTCTTGTTTTGCTTTTAATATCCGTGTTTGATGCTTTGCGTCGTCACCATAACCATGCTCTCCAACCAAGCGTTCTTGGCGGGAAAAAATCCAAAGCGAAGAGGCGGGAAAAGGTGCAGCGTACTTTAGATTTTTGTGATGCTCGCAGACGATCGTGGTTAATCTGAAAGACGTTTCGTCTCGCTAGAGTAGTCATACCGTTACCATGGTTATTCTTCTCACTCGTTTGGACAAATCAACTCGGGGAAAATTCACAATTTCTGAAGGGGGTCTTCTGTACTTTTGTTTGTTTTGACTATTGCTCGATACGTATTCGTCCCCACAAGCCCCGTTTTCAACCATGATTGGGAGGAAAATACTTTAGTAGGATTAACTAACTGATTTGATGAAGATAGCAAGCCGATTTAGGCTAGAAGATTCTCCCTGTTTATCGAACTCACTGGAATGTAAGAAAAGCAATATAAAAAAAGAACAAGAAAAAAAAAGGAATACTGAAAATCTGATTAGTTAAAAAATGTAACGGCGAATCTCGAGGATTCTACCCAGAAAACCTTCTGGTATATAGCATATAACTTCAGCTGCCCGCGAGACGGTATTTAAAACTATCTTTTGTCAGTGGCGACGAACGATAAGGGCTATAAAGTGTATATAATTAATATGTATTAGCGGTTAAATATACTTGTATGAGTGACAGGTGATGAATGTCATTATGAACCAAGGTTTGTAGTAAACAATATCGCTCACCCCCGCCCCGAAAAATCCCCATCTCTGCTATATCAGTAAAAAGATAAATAAATGTGTTTTATGATTTGAATTGAAACTTGCCAACTTTGTGATAACTACATTATTTAGTTTTACCACCAGGCCTACCCCTTTTTCCTGACTTTACTATCTCTCTCTTTCCTCATCCTTATTTCTCTATATCTATTTCTACATATTTTTCTCAGTCCTCACATCCTTTTCACCATGTTACTCGTATATAGTAGAACTAATTGAAACGAAAATAGTGAATTAATTATTATCTAATGATTTAAGCCGATCATTACTTTTCTTAACCATATCAAAACTTCTTTGAATCCCGTATAAGCATGGTAAAGCAGTCATTAAAATACTTCCCTTCATTGCCAGCTTGTGCTAAGTTGTTTTGATAAAACACAATGAGACATGCGAATTAATTGATTTCCATCAAATCGATTTATCCGAGTGTTTATAAATTTGCCTCTGCAGAAAGGTATCACACCCATTTTAGTAACCAATGCGCCGTTGTACTTTTACGTCAAATCTGCATCATTTGTTTCTGAATTCGGCATATACTGAGTATTTCTAAATCAAGACAGTGTACTCAGTCATCTGGTCGCCGTAGTAAGATGATGCTAAATAAATTATTTGATGATCATGGCCCGAACCCACCCAAATAACCACAAAGTCGTAGGCCGTCTGAAAATGAGGGTCGCACAGTATCAGAATTGATCGAGTACTTAGTCATTTACGACTGATAATTCAATTCAGTCTCATTTACGTCATCACAAATTGTATGAATCGTAATGTCTCATCAGACCTAATTTCCAGTGGCATGGCAGACTTCGCATCCTCCCATCATCTTTTGTGTTTCATATACTACACGGTCCATTGAGCGGCACTCTGCTCACACACAAGTGCACAACCATTCGCCAAGCCATCCATTACTTTACAATCATAATCATCATCATATAACTCCTGCAAACTTTCCGCCCAAACGACTCTTTTCGATATTACGTTACCATGACGACAAAATGATCGCGATCGATTTGGTGGTTCTTCTCTCGATCGAGAGAGCCGCGTCACGCGTGCCCAAGCTTCTTTGATCAACAAACTGTTGTTGCAATATCAAAAAGGAGAAAAACCTCTCTCGTTTCTTGATATCTTAGAAACGGAAATATGTTTTATCATTATTATTCATACTTCACGGCACTCAAAATATGAAAGGAATGAAATATAAAAGGAGAGGGAGAAAGTGGGGAATATTAGAGATTTAAAGATCAGAGAGAGAAAGAGAGAGAAAGAGCAGTATATTCTACCTTTCTGGTGCTGATTTTCCCCGACCTTCCTGTCGTGTTCATTATAACCAGCCCTTAGAGTCTTCAGAAACGCACACTTTTGCCTCTAATTGTTCTCGCTCAGTAAATACATTTCGCTTGACCTATCCGACAGTGCAGTACCTATACTATGTAAGTCCTTTTCTCTCCCTTTTCCCTTTTTTCTCTTTCATCTTTAAAATCGACACGGCGGGCAGAAATTGATTCAAAATCATACCGGTGTGAAATTGCGAGAGACAGAAAAATGGGCGATTCCAGTAACGCCTGAGCAAGCATGCTCAATAATATTAGCGCTCGTGGTCGGCGGGGTAGATGGGAGAATAAAGGAACGAATTCTAGTGTAAATTCGTGGCATTTGCAATATTTCTTTTTCACGGTGGATGTTAAGAATTGGTGGTTCGTGGCTTGAACGCTACAGTCGAGTTTGATACACACGACTTAACTTCTTATTTCTAACGATATTCATCAAGGTGAAAAATAACAACAAGAACGCTTTCAATCTCTCCTTTTCCTTTTCTATTCTTGTTTTTCATCTGCTCACAACTCTGCGAAGAAAATTGATATTGGGGAGAGAGAGAGGAAGGTGGCCCATGGTACATTTAACACTGGTTGACTGTGATGGAGAGAGATGGGTCTGTAGCATGGTTCATCGAACCAGAACAGGGTAGAGGGAGTTGAGAAGTCATGATTCTCCTCTTACACGCTTCGCTCGTACCAACTGAAAAAAATATCTCCATTAGGCGTGGAGAATGAGCACCACGCTGAAAATTATCGCACCAAGAGTAATTTTGACGTGTTTTTCTTTAATTTCTATACGTACGCATCAGAAAAGAAGGGGAGGGAGAAGGAAAATAATAAAAGGTGAATCTGATATTGGTTTCTGTTATATAAAAGTCCAGGGGACAATGCTTATTGGAGCCGTATTCAAGCTCATCGAGGCGTGTAGTTGATAGGAAGGGCGTATACTAATATTGCACTGGGAAATATTATAGGAGAAGTATCACTGTCAAGGAGAGTTATTAAAGTGTGTACTCAAAGAAATTGTTTACCGAAGAATGACCCTGATACATTTGCACTGACAAAATATATGGAGGAAGTTTGTACTTTATTTGTTACAAATTCAGGAGCAATAAATATGTGCGTGTAACTTGATGATTGGTATAGCGTGGATCTGCTCATTGCCATAATATTTTCATAGATTCGGTATAGAGTGGTCGGCATTATCAGTTTAACAAAATCCTGCCATTAAGACATAAAAGAGGGAGAGCTATGAAAAAAGTATTGAAGTCGTTAATCGATGGAAAATCTTTCTTATAAGGGTAAACAATATTTGGGAAAGTGGAAATTTAAGATATCTACCAACATCTCCTCCCCCCCCCCCGAAAAAGGATAATTTGTTTTAGTTAAGCGATCTCTCCTTCTAAACAACCAGGCGGATCATATGCATAGTGTCGAAGGTAAACCTACACAGTGGTACTGGTATGCTGAACAATATTTTGTTTGCAGGATAAAGCACATATACCTTGCTCGAGTCAAGGACACCATCTAAATACATACATGTAGGTACAGAAGAATAGGGAAAAGCTTTATATTGTGAACTTAATTTCCCTTTTTTCTTATCTATTTATATTTTGAGTGTGTATTTTATTCATCATAATTTTCTTCTTATCCTAAACCCACTCTTTTGAATTTTACTTATTTTTTTTTCCTTCTTCTTCTTCTTCTTCTTTTTCTATCGCCTGTCTAAAATATTCTATGCTAAATGATGCTGGCGGCGTTATTATGATGTAAGACATGTGCAGAGATGAATTGAAAATAATTTTAAATTAACATATCTCTTTTAAACTTTAATACACATCTTAATCATTCATTACTTATTTGGCCATCGTACTTTTATCGCTCATTAAAAATTGTGAAAGGTCATGCTTTTTACCTTTAGGGAGGATTCCTCTTTTTATTTCTTAAACACGATTTGTGACTTTTTATAAAATGAAAAGAAGTATATTACTCTAAGGGCATTTCAGGGGCCCTTTTGTTTCTTCGTCAAGTTTATAAACGTTAACTTAGGACTCTTTTTTTTACTCTGCATAATTTGCAAGATGTATTACGTGCATTTGTTTTAGATTTCTATTATCATGATAAAAGTGAAAATTCATGTTTCATTTGAATTTTCTAGAAATTCAAATTATCCTAAGGTTCAATTGATTTTCAAGACATATTTTTACACCAAAAATAAAATATTTATTTGTTAAGGTTTGAGTCATCAATCGTTTGTTTTAATTGATAGTCTATGGACATCATCCCTTTTTCATTCAGAAAGTTCTATACAAAAAGGTAATTGATATGAATTCATGAAGAGTACGTCAAACTTGTTGATATATATATCATGTATCTTTAATGTAAATGGACAATTGATTATCGTTTCATCATCATCATTTCATATTCACCATACTCACAATGATGAATATTCTTTTAATTTTGTTGAAGCTTAATATGGTAACAGGTGTAAATCTGAAAAACATGATGAAGAAATTGGATAGCTGTCAATTCAAAGCTACGCTTTAAAGCACTTTATTTCTTACATTGCCAATCCAATCTTGTATCTGCATGCAGGGAAAAGTCCTTCACGCATATTATGCATCACTCTCCAAACCGATGCAGTAGGAGTTGTCTGTTACACAAGGAATTTGGTACAAATAATCGATTCGGTTGACTAGCAACTAAATGCCCCTTGATGCCCTAATGATCTAAAGATACAAAGGTCAGCTGCATTTAACAATCAGAAAGTTAAATATTCCATGTTTATTTGCAGCGCTCATTCAAAGGCGATTATGACGTATTATATATGTATATGAATGAGATTTTCTGCTATAAGTAAGAATTTTGGGTTAAACAAAAAAAAATCGATTGGGCTAACTTGATGCCCATTGATGGCCTGATGATCCGAAGAAGCAGACTCACCATTCGATCAGTGAGAGAGCTAGGGTCAGTCTAAAAGTGCAGAAAGATAGCTGAGAGATAAATATTCCACCTTTATTTGCAGCGCTCATTCCGAAGTGATTTTATTCCATTGATGAATGGTACAGATTTATCCTCAACCGACTCATCCATATAGAATGGTGATGATTTGGGCTGACGCCAGTTTGGAAATGGTTTGGTTTTGGTCAGATGAGGGAACGTGGACGGGGTGATGAAATCCGTCGAATTTACTTATTTTATATTTGTGGTTCTCTGTCTTTGTTCTTCTTGTGTGTGGTGGTTAATTTACCTGACTGCTGAGAAAGCATACATAAATGCTTGTTTGTAAGCAACAAGAGGACTGACTGCTTTAGGTCCTCTCCGAGGGACCTTTTTATGAGGATTAATGCCTTACCAAAGGGCACCAGCGCAACGACTTCGTTTCGAACCAATCTTTAGTGACGCTTGCACGAACTTTGGGTTACATTCGTATTAGTATTACTATCATCATTATCATTACTATTATTATTCATATATATATATATAATTATATATATATATTTTTTTTTTTTTGTTGGGGGGGGGGGGGGGGGGGGGGAGGTTGGTTAAAGAAAGAAAGAAGCTTCAAAACAAAATACATATCACACAAGAAATTTATGAGTTATTATATTGGAATGGCAATGCATTTTTAGATTTTGCAGGAAAGAAGTTCAATAAAAGCTGAAGCTGAAAAGCAGTGTGGACAGCTGATATGAATACAAATGTATAAGGTCATAGAGTGTAGAAGAAAATGCGGCAAACTATGAAATAATATTTCGTAAGCAATACTGGCGAAATATATATGGTGTTTCATTATATAGATTGAAAATAAACATCAATCCAAGAACTCGGATTCAAAGTACTCTCATTAAAAAGGTGTTGTGAAAATGGACTATTTTATTTGGTTGTGATTTACTGATATCGTTTCCCTTTTTCTATAAAGACAGTAAACAAGTTTTCTGATCATGAGAATACGATTGACACATCATCACATATACATTGATGAACTCATCCTCAGACAATTCCTTCCAATGGATGTGCAATTAGTTGCATGCCAGACAAATCCAACTTATTTCGTCCATATACCAAAAGGATAATCCATTTCGTACATATAAATTGATGTTTAGAAATATTAAGGTAGATTTCTACGCCTTAGAATGCTTTAAAAAAAAGAAATATGGCGACATATAAATGCTGCACATCATCATGATCACCATCATCATCATTATTATTATCATAATTACCATCGTCATCACACACACACACCAACAAAATATTACCATACTACTCCCGCGATTGGACTTAGTTCATGAGGACATAATTATGTCACATTGCCATTTTGATTTGTCTAAACCAATAATAATTCAAGTTTATGGCAAGGACGAATACGTATACGAGACGTTAAGCCTGGTGAGGTTAAGTAGGATAGACCTTGCTCTCTCTTATGTCTTTAAACCTGAACGGATGGCAGGTGTTCTGAGCATTACCTTAATCGTGGAGGGTAAAAGAGCACCCATCGAGTCTGTTTTCATAATCTATCATTTTATTTCTTATCATAAATTCTTCTCTAGGAAACTATTGATTACAATTAGTAATTTTATAAAGCTAAAATCATTATGCTCAAAATAGTAATATTCCCTGATCAAAGTTAAGTTTTTAATGTAGTATTTTAGTGTGTTTGATAATGATGACAATGGTGATGATGATGATGATGATGATGAAGATGGTGATGATGATGATGATGATGATAATGATGACGATGATCATGATAAGTTTATCAAAAAGAAGCCACATCGAAGCTCAATTCTAAATATTTAACGCATTTTTTAAAATACATTTTATTTTATCATGTTAATTGTCGGAACAGTAACTAATATTTTATGATTATGTTATAACTTTAAACACATTACAAGATAATGCCTTACATAAAGGAAATCATAGTGTGTCCGACCAACTTTTGTGGCAAGTATCAAAAGATCTGACACATCATTGCCCTCACGTTGTGCAAATCTCCTACTAGTATATAATATTCCAACAAGTAAATGCACAACAGATGAACAGAGGCGTATCCATAAAGGGCTAAACTGGTGGGCAAACTGCCCTGAGGGCATACCCCGGGACATTTGTTAGGTAAAGGCGGGGGGGGGGGGAGGCTGTTAACGCCGGGTATTTCCGAAGCTCTTTAACAGTACTTATTTTTTCCATCTTACCGCATTATTGTGCAATGGCCGTAATGTTGCGAAAAGCCTAGCGCTGTAGATATTAAACTGGAATTTCATATCATAAATAGTGAACTTAGGTCTTTCTTACACACCAGGATCTGATAACCATGAACATGATTCTTATTTTATTTTAAAGGTCACTTCTATAATATGTGTCAGTTGTACTAATTAAAAAAGTGCTCTCATGTGGTTGAAATAATATATGTTTGAATAATAGTAGAAATTAATTTATCAAACCTATAGTCATGTAAAAAAAAGTTCATTTGACCTGGTTTAGTACAATTGAATTTGATTCCATAAAATGTCTAAACGTCAACGAGGTCTTTGCTCTACAGATCCGTTAGTCCGATTTGTAAAACTTAATGTCGATGGTGATAATGATTAATTCAAGTTAATGTTAATCGCTATAGTTAACGCGGTATAATAATTCTTCTCATGAAATTCATTTTAATATAATATTTGCATTTAAAATTCTTGCTATATTATAGGGAACATAATACACGTCAGTGACATAGGTTAAAAGATATGTGGTAAAAAAGGATATGTTTTTATGACTTTAATATTTCATGCAAATTACAGTAATTACTAAAAAAACACCACCCCATGCACCTGAATCATAAAGAATTCGGTTAATTAAAAAATACTACAATCTGTAGATTAGATGCGGTTAATAACCTACTACAGCAACAATGACCATGAAACTTAAAAGGCTTATTTTAGTGCTGATGGTCTAAAACGGCTAGTAATAATTATGTCTACATGGATCACAATGGGTTTAGTTAATATATCTCAAGTAAACGTTGATTTGTTAGAATCTCCCATAGCAACAAGCTTTGTTTTCAAAGTACATCGTCCGTAAAAGATGCATACATCTATAAATATATATATTGTGTGTGGGTGGTGTGTGTGTGTGTGTTTTTGTTGGGAAATTTATTAAGAATGCCGTGTGGTCTTAAAAGAACTAAACATGAGATAGATTAAAGTTCCGAGCCAGAGAACTCTACTTACAAAATATTGATAAATAATCACAGACATACTAAGATGAAAGATGTATACTCATAAAACATTATCTGTTCATAATGTGTATATATAAGTAATATGCATGCCAGAATAATAAAGTAGATCATACTTACCAGAGTGTGTCATCGTGGGATCGATGGCTACGCCTGAAAACAAAAAATTACAACCGAAATATTCTCTTCCGCCCTCGTGAAATCCTATCGAAGCACCGTTTGTGAGCACAAACGATTCGTCCGTGACTGTCTGCCTTCAGAGTGGCAATGGTGTAACTGTTTTGGCCTCGCTCTGAGTAAAATTCCCGTCTTTGATGCGCTCACTTTAGCTTTCCCTCCCCCTTAGTTTAGCTGATGAGGAGTTAATGGTACCGATTTCGTTTTCAAATCGAGGCACGGTCGTGCGCCTGCGCCCTGAGAATATAGCTCGTATATTCCCTCCGACGCGTGCTGTAGACGACGAGACGGTAATACATCTGAACGCGTGTTCGAACATCCGACTCTCTCCGATTATAAAAGAATAAATTTATCGAGTGCTCCCATTGGTTATTCAAGTGTGAAGGCTGTTCCATTTGAACGGAGGTGGTATATACCATCATTATTATCATCATTTCTTTCTATTTCATATTCAATGCATTGGGCGCATTATGTGTGTTTAATCAAGCCAGACGATTTTAACGCTTAATGAATTTCTGCGATGGCAACAAAATGTCATTATGAATTTATGTCAATATTTTTGTTCTGACATGGGGAGAGCGTATCGTAATAGCAGCATGTAGGATAGTGCACTGGAATTGGGGTTGGGTTGTATATTGATAATGAGCAAGTAAATATTACCAATACAATTTAATGAATCTTTACAGAGTGACTATAAATTAAACATGACTATACACTGCCAAAGGAATGAATGATAATTCTAATAATAATCGTTTTTTTTGCATGCATGTCCTTTTAGTTTGATTGCGAGCAATTTGATCCATTTCACTCAAGCATATCATGAAGAAAAAAAAAAACGCCAAAATATCGATAGTAATGGGGATTACTATATCCCTATACCTTATTTTGGTGTGATTCGTGAAAATATATCGAGCATTGTAATGGCATGTACTGTAAATGTAATATTAGGATTTTAGTGCGATTTTCGTCTTTTTCACATGCCATGAAATTGCATTTAAATTAATGGAAATGTGGATCATAATAATTATACATTTTTTAACAAAAAATAATGAATTAATGGAAATGTGGATCATATAATTACACATTTTTGTACAAAATATAATGAATTAATGTGTTTCCTCTCTTTAAATCGCTTTCGTAAAATCCACAGAATGTAAAAAATAAAGTTTGGACCCATTTACAAAAGTCATCGTTTCATTTTAATTCGAGATAGATTTCTAAATCTTCTCATATTCAAATACAACTGGTTTCACATAACTTCCGCTTCCGAGGTAATCTTTGTTTATATTTTCATTTATGTGGATTTTAGCAAAATGGTGTCATTTCACTTTATATTGTGCATGTCCCAATAATCTTACTGAACTGTAGAATGAGGTACCACTTACTACACGCATCTAATCTTACAAAACTAAGCTTCATTGCCTTTTTTAAAATGACGCCACTAATATGATCGAAATTTGGTTGATATAGTTAAATGCAATTGAAATTTTTGACTTTCAAGTATCGTATAATCCAGAACAAAAAAAGCACAGAATTTTTATTTTTTTTAATTGAATATTTAGGCATTGTCATCAATTTTCTGTGTTTTAATGACTCTTGGTAATAAGACTTCGAATTGTAGATCGTCTGCAGATAACTTTCTTTTATGCTTCGGTCGATTATGGTCGAATGTGAACAATAATTATTAATTGGACGATATTTAGATCGAAATGACGGGATATATAGGTGAGTGTATTCTGTATATGTTAGACGATAAACACTTCTGCAAATGACAGGATCCTCTTAACTATTGTGTTAATAAATATTTTCTTTACAAACGATTGTGACCAACTTTTAAATTATATTGTTTCGTAGGGGCAATATAGTTGGGAAAACCTTACTTTTTAAAGCTGAAACATTTTCATGAGTGTATAATATTAGTCATGAAATCTCACAAGAACTTTTAGTTCGAGCAACTACCCTGAGACCACATTCCCCATATTCATCACGAAATCATCAAATTGCAAATAAGATTCCAACATTAAAGGCACCGTTTAACAATGTGAAATATGAGATGCATGGCCCTATGTGTTATCAGTGTCTGTGATTTTGGTGTAATACTGAAGCCCTTAAAAACTTGCGCTTCAAAATAATCATGAATGCCTCAAAAAAGTTAAATATTTGAGTGACCGATTTTACCATACTCATTTTCCTCAATAGACTGTAGTGTTATAAAAAAACCGTAAAATTTGATTTCGATTTTCAATCATAAATATCTTGATAATCAGACAGGCGATCGGCTTGTAGAAGTCATGCGATTCCTGACTGACCTGAAGGTTTATAATAACTTTCGGGCTCTTCAGAGTCTTCTGGTTCCTCTGACTCGGATTCTGTAAGGCAGGAATGAAAAACATCATATACTATCATTCAAAGAAATTAAAATTAGCTACTTCATTGTCGAACGTATTATGATCTAAATCCAGGATTTTGTTTCAGAGTCTGAGGAAATGTTACCGAGTCTCTTTAAAGTTCTTCAATAAACATCTTCTAATAATATTCTGTCTCAAAGTCAACTTTCACATTTTCCCCATCGACGTAAACAAGATTATGATATTTAGATATAGAAACTGCTTTTATGACCATTGTATCTTTTTTAACACTCGTGCGTCATGCCAAATCATAATGTCATTCACAAAGAAGAGGCACGGTGTTTAAACACAAATTTATTATATTATTAATCAATTATCTATTGATTGAGACAGAAGAAGACAACGAGAGAAGAAACGGAAAGGCCACGCCAGATAGAGGCAAAGAGAGAGAGAAGAGAGAGAGAGAGAGAGGAGAGAGAAGGAGAAGAGGGAAGAGGATGAGGAAGGAGAAGAGGAGAGAGAGAGAGATGAGAGGAGAGAAGTGGAAGGAGAAGAGAGAGAGAGAGAGAGAGAGATGAGAGAGAGAGAGAGAGAGAAGGGATTGTGTAGACATTCACGTAAGTCGTGAACCATTATGTAGCTGTTAACCATATTACAAATACAAAAACAAATATTTTGAAACCTTTTTCTTTAACATATATATACTTAAATAGACAGACATGGAGACGAAAAAGAAATTGATGCAAGAAAAGTCGAATTGAATAGAATATAGATAAGAGGATAAAAAAAAAAAAAACTGAAGAAGATTAACGTAAAGGGCGGAGGAAAAGTAGGAACTTTGTGCGGCTCTAAAAGAACGACGCTCCGCTGTAACACTATAGTGCAGTGACTCCCACATGCAGGTGTATTTTCTAATGAAGTTGAGAACGGACGATTTCAGCCGATCTATCTTAGGTTGCTACTTCACGGTGGAGCATTACGTTATCATGACGCATGACACTCATGTCACAAAAGTAAATGCTTAGCGATCAACTGAGAGTGGTCGCTTATATTTCGTTTTCTTTATGTTGCTGATTTTAATTAGTGTTAAAGCGATATTATATACACCTTTCCATTTTTTCTTAAAAATCAGGCCTTACAAGTCATTGTCTTTTAGATATCTAAAGGAAATTGTATTGCGTTTCAAATGAATATTGCTATAGTAACATACGCCTTTGCTATTTTCGACTACCAGTAGTTCAATTATTTTTTTAAGTTTAATGGTTGTTTACTGAATGACTGATGATACAGTATAATTTGATGGCCCTGTTTCAATTTTGTTTTACGATGTTTGAAGAAACCTCACTTTTAAGCAAAAATTGTCATCCGCCCCGAAACATCAACTACATTTACTTACCGTAGTTTACGCCAACAAGATAACTGACGAATACTGATTGCCTCAATGCATATTATTATGTCATAAAAACAGAGTATTTTTTGCTAGAGATCACAATCATAATCTGGTGCGCGTTTAACTAAAAATAAAGCGCACCACAGTAACCGCTGCCAGTAGCACTTTTTTTGTCTGGTCTTTGATTATTATTAAAATTTCCTCGAAGAAAAGACAAAGTGGTACTTAATTTCAATGTTAGTAACATCAAAGGGAATTTACGTTTTTCTTTAGTTTCCCTTTCCACCTAAAAAGAAAAATAGATAAATCTTAGGAAGATGTTGAAGTACTATCACTGTCCAGACAACATCAGTTTAGGAGAAGCCATTTGAGCTTGGTGCATGCGCGTTAGTGCTCGGTGAGCAGACAGCCCACGGTGATAACCTCTCCGTCGCGGCAAATCGCTAATCATCTGTGACAATAGGAACAAAAGACTGCACTCAGGCGGACCACCTGCCGGGTATACTTTAAATCGCTCCTTTTGCTCATTTTATCAAGAAGAGAAAATACGGCGGCGAAAGCGAAATCGCATAACACCACCCACAACGACTTCCGCGCATTGATTTTGGCTTCTTCCTGCCCGAGCAGCGCGATGCGCCTCCCGACTCCCAGGCCCCACCGGCCGAATACATCGCTCCATTCATGTGAGACGACACGAGAAATTTCTCCCTCGCGCCACGGCGGAAAAATCCATTGCCAGCGTATTTTAGTAGCTCTAGATATTTTCGAGTGCCTATGTGTGATGGGGATGATTTAAAAGGAAACATTACAACAAGCAGGTGTTTCGGTGTTTATTTGCCGAGGGGATTGCTTCTGGCAAGGCTGCCTTTTCATGTTTTATAAATGGAGGGCGACGAATAGAGAGGAAATACGGTAAACTTGGTACCTGTTTTACGCTACACGCCTTTGCGCATCCACGCGCAGACGTGTTAGATCACTTTTTGTGAGTATCGATCGGGGACCGATAGCAGGCCGGTTCATGATCGAGATAGCCGCTTGGCGGGAATAGCCGAGAAGTCTCTATTATATTTTCCATACTGACGATTAGCCAAAAATAGAAGGCCCCGTATGTGTCTGTTATGAATCGATTTTTAACATTCTATTAAGTTTCTCGATAAGAACAAAAGTTATATCGTCGCTGGCAAATGCCAATTCGAGAGAGAACTAAATATGCGCGTGGCCATTATTGATTTCTTTTTTAAACAGGCAAAGCAAAATAGAGAAGCGGGTAGTATTGCAGCTAATAATAATGATAACAGACAAAATAAAAGTACATATACTTGTCGATCGTCATGGTCTATTATTTTGTGTAACTTAAGTTATCTGGACATGTATATTCGATTATGCATTAATATCCTTATCATTTTG